ATGGCTTCTCCCCTTCCCCCTCTTCCTCCATTTGGGGTGGTAGCGGAGGCCTTCCCCCCTAGCCCATACACTATTCATGAAGTTTTATTGTTTGCTCGGCCAAAAGGGAGGACGAGGCGGAGGGAGAGCCGGGGCCTTCCGTGGCCTCCGAGGTGGGCCTCTGCCAGGCCAGGGCCGCCAGGATCGTAGCCCTCTGTGTGTCGGCTTCTATCGGCTTCTGCGCCCCTCTGGCTTCGCTAGACAACGGTGGCTTTTCTGGGGATATAAATGGATGGTTGGGTGGAAAAGCGGAAAAGAGGCTTTGTCCTTTTCATGGTTTTTGGAGAGAGAGTGAGGACACAAAAATATGCGAAAATTGTGAGTTTTTGAGGGGTGATGGTGGATTTTTGAGGGTCGTACGCTGGCTTGTAGATATATGCATTAATGGTTGTCTATTAATGCGTGTTCTGGTAGTGAAATTAGCTTAAATCTGAGTTAGATCTATATGCAAGGCTGCCCTTAAAGGGGTTAGGAAGCCAAAAGTCAACTTTCGAGGTCGGTGCATCCCCGGAAATTCTCAAGAAAAAAAAAGAGAGCGAGAGAGAGAGAGAGAGAGAGAGAGAGAGGGAGAGAGATAGGGAGAGAGTGACAGAGTTCAAGAGTGGACGTACTTTTTCACGCCCTCCTCGCGAATTGAATCGTGTTTAAAGGCACATGCAAGCCAAAATCTACCACCTACATCTAGACAACAAACAAATTCTCCCCTGACTTCAATGTCCCTTTAAAATCGACCTACTTTCTGCCGCCAACTTTACCACCATCTGCAGCTCATCATGACCTCCTACCCCCAAAAAAACTTATGCCAACTCGAGGGTGATTAACCGGGTAAATACGGTACCCCCCCGGATTTGTGGATCATGGTTGCCACCGGGAGGTAGAGTATGTTTGTCAATGGGATGCAGGTACAAGATGAATAGGGGCAGATGGTCACCCAGCGAGAGAGAGAGAGAGAGAGAGAGCGAGAGGAGGACCACTCCCGAATTATCACATCTACCCCAGCTAGCTGTGGCCCCACCGGAAGAGACCGATTGACTCCAGCCAACTGGTTACGGGGGACTGTCATTAGGAGCGACGCGTATTTACGTTTTTTGTGGATTTTGAAGATGGTTTGGCAATTTTAAAGAAATTGCAAAGGTAGCTTGGGCTTAAAAATTTGCATATAAAAATAAAAAACGTTTAAATTGTATTGCGCATTAATGGTAGGGTAATAAAGGGTCTAGAAATCGATATAAAGCCACAAGAATTCACCACTCTAAATCCACAAGCGAGGTATTTGAGGCTTTCAAAGGAAAAACTCGATTGTTTCGGGATTTTGCCTGGTTTTAAGGGGGTTGGAAAGTAGTTTAGGGGCGAAAAATTTGCATCTCCTGGAAGGGGTATAATTTTAAGGCGCGTTAATGGTAGGTCAGGTAATTTAGAAAATTTTAGAGTTTTAACAAAAAACTGTATTTTCGAGGGCATGGGCGGTGTTTTAAAGGGACAGGGAAGGCAGCTAGTTTTGCAAAATTTGCATAGTTTAAGCATAAGCTTGAATAATACTGGCGCATAAATGATGGGCCGGGAAGTAACGAAATTTAAGGGTTTTTCACAAAGAAAACTGTATTATCGAGGGGTTCGGGCTTGTTCTTAAAGAGGTTGGTAAGGCGGCCAAGATTGAAAATTAGCATGACGACCTCAAGAAGGTATAATTTTTCTAGCGTACGAAGCATAGGTCCTTGCAATCTTAGAAAAACCCACAAAACATTACAAAAAGCCAAACCGGATCCATCCTGATCACAGCATCAAAACCCAACAACCCGAATTTTTTGAGGATTACATGGTGATGCTTCAGCTTTGAAGGGGGGTGGTTGGTCGAGTCAATTGGCTGTGGCCAGCCTCGCAATGCATGTATGGAGACCCGAGGGGCCGACGACGGAGGGGGGGGGGGAGGCTGTATCAATGATTCAAAACAGCTGAAATAATTATACGGGCCCCCGGACGGGCCCTCTTCGCCGCCTCGACCGACTCGGGGCCCCCGGCCACTAGCCATCCCCCCCACTTCCAAGCCAGTCACTTTAACTTAACTGTATCAAGTTAAGGTTGGACCATATCCTCAGGTTCTGGCCTGGTTTTGGTATTCCCTCCCCTCTATGGGCCCTACTCTTCAATGGCCGCTATGGTTGGATGGAGAGCCAAGGGGGCGTGGCTAGGGCTACGGTAGGAGGTGGAGGCCCCGAGGGCATCGGGCCCTCCATTCGACGATGCAGTCCCAGCGCCTCTACCCCGCAGTATCCTTAAATCCCATTCCGTCGCTTACATCGGCCACCTCTACTGCCGCTTCAGCTTTTGGAACTGATTACCGAAGGATGCAGACAGTGCGTTTTTCAATGCATTTTTGGGAAATTTTGAATTATTCTACCAGGTGTCATTAATTTCTCATATTCTTTAATGCAGGGTAATATCTTGTATTTTCCAAATAGAATACCGTAATCTAGGATGCCTTTTTTCACACTAAGATTTAAGTGATAGTGAGGAAGCTACAAATTTAAGCAAGCCGACTATAGGATTTTATTGCTTGGCTAATTTTTCAGCTTTTTCTGGGCACGCAATGCGACGGATATACGATTTTTAACCACCAATTATTTATAGCTATTTCTTTAAATAAAATAGAACTAACTCTCGTAGCGGCATTAACCCTCCATTTCTGCTTTTGCCTAATTTCTGCCGATTTCTCTGTAGATTATACCTTTTATGCAAATTTGAAATGCAAAAGGTCTCGAGCTCCTTCTGATGGTCCCCGCTCCCCTTCAAAATTATTAAACACTTTCATAAAAAATAAGAATTAGCTCCTAGCTCGAGCTTCCAATTCCATTTTTTCCATCTAATAGCCATTAAATTGCTATATTGATAAATTGCTATTTTTGTGCTAGAAGGAGCCTTATTTCCCAGTAAATTGAGATCCTGATATGCAAATTGCAAGCTCGAAAATTCTCTAGAGCTCTTGATTCCTTATCTGTGCAATTTTATACCCATTAACCGTCCTTAAAAACCAGACGCCCCTCCCTAATTGACCACCAACATCAAAAAGCACCTGTTTTTGAAGCGCGGAGATGCCAATAGCCACTGACCCCAACTCCATAATTTAGAGGCTTAGCGCTGAAAAATTCATGTGAACCCCCCGGGTGGATTATAGATTTATGGACAGCCATAGGGGGAGGACGAGCATGAAGAGGAGCAAGAGTCAGTAGTGCCAATTTTTAATTAAGTCCTTGCCGGGTTGTGTAGAGGGGAAGTGGAAAAGGGGGACGAATTGCCGCGGCGAATGGCTACTCGGGAGGTTCGATGGGATGGAGAGTCATAAGAATAGCCCTATTTCTGGTTGGGATGCCAAATGTTGCTGGATGCAAAGTATCGTGAAATTTTGAAAAAACTCAAAATTGATGAAAATCGGCGAGAAAAAACCGAATTTTTGCTAAATTTCGAGATTTACTTGAAAATTTACGCAGTAATTTTATATAATTAGAGGCTAGGGTTAGTAGAATTGTAGCTTAGCTTGGGATAAAAAAAGCGAAATTTCCGAAAACCAAATTAAAAAGCAGATTTTCGTTTTTTTTTGCTGAGTTTCGGATACGATTTTCCACGCTTTGAAATACGTTGAAGCCGTATTTTGTTATATAAGTTAATCTAAACTGTTTCTGCGCTTAAACTACAAATATTAAATTTATAAAAGTTTTGGCGAAGTTTTTGAAAATAACAATTTTACAATATATCTGGCTCATACTGGCCTCAAAGACCGTGATTTTGCATTGTATTTTAATTCTCATCTCCATTATCAAGAATATGTAGGCGTAGCTTACCGAAAAACATTTTTCTTGCCATAATAATTCACCGTCATTTCGCCCTTGCCGCGTCCTATTCCTGCAAAAGCAAATTACAATTACCTCCTACCCTATTACAAACGATAATAAATAATCTATCAAAAAATACCACCCGCCCCCCTCCTCCCCATCCCTCATTTCCACGACTTCCCCCGAAATTACGTATTATTCTTTGTTGGGGGAACGGCGGAGGGTAAAAGGTAAAAAAGACGTGTATGTCTAGGGTATCACAGCCTCTCCGAAAATCACCTGTCAAATGCCAATTAATTTGGGGTGGCTAATACCGACAACCCTCACCTCCCCCTAGAAATATAATGTGGATCAATCCCGGGCTGTCTAGCATTATTGTATTGGCGGACATGGATTCAACGCAGCTTTTACAGTTCCAAAGCCAGTCCATCTTCGGCTTCGACAACTCGCTCTTTCATCCCGGAACCGCTCAGGTGGGTAATTTTACAGTAATTTTGACTAGGGAATTTCGAATTGAGCCGGACTCAGTATGGGCCGAAAATTTGCAAACGCAAAATCGAATGCTGATCACCACCTCATGCTCCGAGTTTGCTATTGATCAACTCGAGAATTCTACTTTAGAAGTAATTCTTCAGTTGAAAACGAAAGGTTCTAACATGGAAATCAGTTATTTTGATTTTTTCGGACGATTTATTTAAAAGCAAATATAGCCAACGCGTTCAACAAATTTTTCTCTTTCGAATCAACCCGCTCACCTAAAAATTTCGAAAAGCAAAAATTTAAAAAAATGACGGTATTTACTATGAGAAACGGTAGAAACCGCTCAACATAAGACGGATGTAAAACACTGTCTAGCATTTAGTGCACATGAATAAAATACTCCATTTAAATCAGAAGAAAATTCTCTATCAGTGTCTATTAACATAATTATAAATAATGTAAATAATTAAAATAGAGACAAAAAAGTTCGGTATCCGGACAAATCACTTCTCGGAGCAAAGATGCAAAAATGGAGCAGGCGGTGATGATCCACTCTATCTGTATCCAAATTTTCATAAAATTCCGAGCCCGGCTTCATTCGAGGTTCCCTAGTGTGGGTATACCTCAACTATCATCCTAAAAACAACATTCCAGATGCATTTTCAGGCCCTGGCTGACATTGATGTCAAAAATGTTAACATGTTGCGACCGGAGATGTTCAGGTATTTTTGACAAGTATTGCTTAAATAATTTTTAGCAATTATTTGATGGGCCACGGCGACGGGGCTTATGGGCTGCCGTCAGCTTCGGGTGAAGCTTTCGAAACGGCGTCATTATTGCCCGTGTCTTCGCATGAGCCGCCGGATAGTATGGTGAATTTGCAGCAAGTGGGTTGAACTCGTTTTTGATTTAAAAACATCCGAAAATCTGATTTGATTAAGGTTTAAAGGGAAAGTGACAGGTAAAAAATCGACTGGAACGTTCTGGAACATTTAAAAAAATTAAACGTTGATAGGAACAAAATGCAGTACGTTTTAGAGTATCGTTGCTTAATCGACTTTTTACATTCAATTTTAGACATTTTAGAGTATTTAAACATTGATAATCTGTTTTTGGTCAAGCCAGACTCCTTTTAAAACCCGAATTACGCTAAATTTCAACCGGAAGGATCTGGAAAATACCAAAAATCGGCTAGGTTAGGATAAAAAATTTGGTGCGATTTGTATTACTACGAATCTGCGAAGTTACAGTATTTCCGCAATTTTGGAGTCTTTTTGTAGCTTTTTTGGAGTTTGTGAGCTATCTCTGTCCCTTTAAAACGAGGACCTTTTACAATGTTTTTCAAACTTACCTTCGAGATTTTTGAGCTGTCGCTGTACCTTTAAAAAGCTTTCAATATACGATTTGAAGCGTTATAACGTGCAGAAAATTTATATTTGATCTTATTCAAATTTTTGCAGGTGATGGCGATGCACAACTCGTACCCAGCCCCATTCCCACAATATCCGATGCCCCATCCATTCCCGGCCGGCGTCGTCAACCCAACACCCACCCTCCCTCGATACCCCCTCACTGCCCCAACATCAGGTTCGACAATTCCCCTTACCGTAATACCGTCCCGGCAAGCTTTTCTAGAAGTGGAGACCGACCCGAGGGAATTGGAACGTTTTGCTGAGCATTTTAAGCAACGCCGAATTAAGCTTGGTGTGACACAGGCTGATGTTGGAAAGGTATGGACTACTTGTATTTCCAAATTTTGCCATAATTTCCAGGCTCTTGCTCACCTAAAAATGCCGGGAGTCGGAAGTTTGTCTCAATCTACGATTTGCCGATTTGAGTCGCTGACTTTGTCGCATAATAATATGGTTGCGTTGAAGCCAATATTGCATTCATGGCTGGAGAAGGTGTGTTTTTGACGAAATAAAAATCCCTAGAATTAAGTAAAGTGTATTGTGATTAATTTTATGTAAATTCAGGCAGAAGAGGCTATGAAAGGAAAAGACGCAACGGGAGAACTTTCCGGAATTCTGCCTAATACGGACAAGAAGCGGAAACGGACCTCGATTGCGGCGCCGGAAAAGCGATTATTAGAGGATTTCTTTAGGTAAGTTAATTTTTTATATTGTACGAGTTTTGTAAAATACCCTTAATAATCATATAAATTTTAGACAACAACCTCGACCTTCTGGTGAACGTATAGCTGCCATCGCCGATAAGCTCGACCTCAAGAAAAATGTCGTCCGAGTATGGTTCTGTAATCAACGTCAAAAACAAAAACGGTTCGTTTTTTATTAATACGTAATTATACTTTTAATTTTTACACCCAAAATTCCAAAAGTACCCACAGCTTTTTTGATATTTTTACTATAGAACCTGGATCAGACGTTCCACACTAGTGCTCTGCACGTCTGAAACTCAACTTCCAGGTCTCGAATACGATCCAATCTCTAGGCAACGAGAATTTAGCATGCTTTTTGATTACCAGAACATTTTAGGGACTTTCGGAGTCAGTTTCGTGGCCGGGGCGGAGTACCGGGGATGCCCTCCGCCCTTCCTCGTCCCCTCATCCCTCCATCATCTTCCGCATCCGCCGCCGCTGCCGCCGCGCTCACCACCAAGTGCTCGCCCTTTCAGTACTTTGAATGAGCAGCAGCAGCAGCAAGAGCAGCAGGTAAAAAATTTGTTAGGCTTAACCGGATTATGGCCGAAAACTGGAAACAATATTAAACAAACAAAATTTAAAAGTTTTTATTTTTATTTAATTTGACGATTTCAATTACTTTGCTTTAATTTAGTTTTTAGTTATATAGTAGTATTCAAATTTAACTTGGAAAAAGAATTCCCTAAGTTACGGTACTAAGCTGAAGCCGTAATACTTCAAAATTGGCTCAAGCTAGTTTTAAATGGGAAAAAACGACGGTTTTCCATAAAAAAGGGTGGTATAGCTTTAAATTTAACTATTATTGTAAGAATAACTTCATAAACTTGTCTTAACTATATAAATAATGCTCCTTAACTAAATAAGCTTTTTAGCCCGATCCGCCAACCTCCGAAGCACACCGCCCAACCCTCTGCGACGTTCTGCTCCACTCCCTTGGCCACAGTACCCTTCCACCCCTCAGCCTCCCCTCCTCACCCCCTCAGAATCCAGGCCCATCCGCGTCCTCCTCCAATCCAACCCCATCTCTCCAACCATCACTTTCAATTAACCCTCAACCTCTAGATCTCCCTCTACCCGACCCTTACAATCGATTTTTACAAATGTAATTTTAGGTCTTCCGATACAGTAATCCCGGCCTCAAAATTTTATGCTTAATACCCGTAAGCAGGCCCGTAGCGGAACCGAAATTTCGGGGGGGGGGGGGCCCAAAAATTTTGGTGACCTCCCCCCCCCCGGTCGTCACTTTTAAAACATCCGAAAATCGCCTCAATAATAGCGCCGCAGGCAAAAAAAAAGCAAAAAAGCGTTCGCTATACTCAAATTCGTGTGAAAACACGGCAGAAAACGCGCCGCAGGCGAAAATTTTTTAAGAACAATTCGTTCACCAATGAAAAACCAGCGCCGCAGGCAAAAAATTTTGAAAAAATAGGCTTCAAAGAAGCAAAAACTGTTAGAAAAACAGTAATAAACAGCGCCGCAGGCAGAAAAATTTTTGTAACTAAAAATCATAAGGGTCCCCCCTTATGAATTTTTCGGACCTCGACCGATTTCGGGGGGGGGGGGGCCCAGGGCCCCCTGGGCCCCCCCCCCCTCCTACGGGCCTGCCCGTAAGCCTTCCTTATTTTTGTATACCTTTCTTATTTTGTGCCATAGAAGCCTTGAAAAAAAATATAGTCCTCCGGAAGTAGAAAATCCCTCCCCCCTCTTTGAACCGCGCCTACGGGATCTGCTTCCCATTCCCCTGACACCTGAAAATCCCCGAAAACCCCATGACTCCATATTTTTTACCTGATGATGATGAACAAATTATTTTTTTTATATATGCACCGTGTCGTTGTAGCAATAAAGACTGTTTTTCTAAGTTGGTTTACTGACTTATTGCTCATTTTTACGTACATTAAGGCACGGTACGTACAGTAACGTACAGTCAAGGGTGCAGCGATTTTTTCGGCGTTTTAAAACGGTCTCTGACCTTACATATTTTTTTAGAATTTGCTAGAGCTAAAATACATGCTAATTTTAATTTCAACGCCTTTGAAATCGAAAATTTATGAAAATCCATTTTCTTCGCTTTCCCCTTTTTGTATCACTATTTTCGGCCTGGTGTACAAGGAAGAATGCGTCAATAGGCATGGAAGGGACCTTCGCTCCCATACAGCGTCTTCTCCCGGAGCTCGTGCTCAATTATTTATCAGCAAGAACGCAGCAGAAGCGGGCGGTAGGCAAAAGGAGACGAGTGTTGATGAAAAGTGGAAAAATGTCTTGGTTTCGGGGAACGATTTTTACAGATTTTGTGCGAGGCCGTGAAGCTGTTCAGAGGGCGAGCGATCATTTTTCGAAGAGCACTTTTCCGAAAATGACAATTTCGAAAAAAATAGCATTGCTGTTTCCTGCATTTTGCGGATATTTCCCATTGATAGCTGGTCGCAAACGTCCAAAATTCTGATTTTCGGAAAGCCGATTTGCGAAAAATATGACTTTCGAAAGAATGACTTTCGGAAATCTGATTTTCGAAAATGGGTGCGCAAATCGTTCAGAGACCCGGTTCGGCGCCTTCCGCGCCTTGAATACAAAATGCAAAAAAAATGCATAAATTCCCACGTTCAAAAGCTACAGTCTGTAGCTTACAAAATTAGCAGCTAAAATAAGAACGCCGCAAGTGTTCTCGCGCCGTGGGTGTCACCCGCAAATGTCGGGTAGCCATTTCACACCCTCGCCCCCTCTCCTCTCCACCGCTATCTGGTCATCGGTCTGCTTTTGCGCAACAAAAACCCGCCATCCAACCGTCAAATTCCATTGCTTCTTTTCCCCATTTCCGGTTTTCATTCTCCAATTTTTACAAGTTTTCGTAGCTAGTTCCCCACTTGAAAATTTTTTGAATCAATTATTAATTATTGAATCCATTTAATTTTGAATGTAAACACCGCTAAAAAATTTTATCACGTTAATGAGAGCATACGATTTGAATGTTCGTCCTTCCGACCTCGCGAATTTTGACGGTTTTCAAATGCCGATTTTTCGAAATGCTGATTTTCGAAACTCTGACTTTCGTAATGCTGATTTTTGTAAGCGCTTCATTGGAAATGCGTATTTTCGAAATTGTGACTTCCGATTCCTGATTTCGAAAACGAAAAGGTCTCGATCAAGATCCTGAACGCAGAATATCTCGATCAAGAAGCCGGTAATAACATTCAGTCGATTTAAACTTTTTTTAGTGAGCGTCCGGTTAGCAGCCGTGTACGCGATAAGCATCCTGAGAAGAATGCGGAGAAGGAAAGCGCTAAATTAGAGGAGGCAGTGAAAAAAGAGGTGGGAAGTGTTACTGGTTCTCGAATCCAAAGTTTAGATACCTGGGTATGGACAAGGGCAAGAAAAATCGCAGTCGTAGCCTCCATGGGCGCAAATTTGTGTTCGATTGGGATGTCGGCGAAGACACGAGTCGCGATCAAAACAAACATGAGGTGTCTACGATCGCATTTACACAAATTAGCGCTTAGGTCCAATTTTTCGGGCGCGGTTTGACTGCTGGGGTGGACGTGAATGCTCAGAAGAAATCGAGATCCACGTTCTACAAGGATGAGAAGCGGCGGACTGAGAAGGAGACGGAAAAAGGAGACAGGTGAGAATTTGCTTTCTTTTTCTACTGATTTTTAGGCTAGCACATGAACTGAATAAGCAGAGACGTTGCGATGAGCGCCATTGGAGGGACAAGCCACTCAATGAAATGACGGAACGGGATTGGCGTATTTTCCGTGAGGATTTTAATATTACTATCAAGGTAAGCGCTAACGCCCGACTACACCTCGATTTTTAGGGTGGGCCGGTCCCGAAACCTCTCCGAAGCTGGGATGAAGCCGGAATTCCGAACGAGATCTACAAGGCCATCCTGAAGGTAAGTCTTGTAAAACCCTGTGGAGTCCGTGTTTAGGTTGGTTACAAAGACCCGACGCCAATCCAACGACAGGCCATCCCCATCGGCCTGCAGAACCGTGATATCATCGGGGTAGCCGAGACGGGTTCGGGCAAAACGTGTGCTTTCCTGATACCTCTTTTGGTGAGTCAAAACTTTATGGATAAAGCTTAGAAAATATTTAGTCGTGGATCACATCTTTGCCTAAAATGGAACGCCAAGAAGACAAAGATGAAGGGCCTTACGCGATCATCCTCGCTCCAACCCGTGAATTGGCACAGCAGGTAGGAATAAACATTTTCTTGCCACGTTTCCTTTAGATTGAAGTGGAAACGAAGAAAGTTGGAGAGCTACTCGATATCAACACTTTGGCCATTATTGGAGGCGCCAGCAAGGAAGATCAAGGAATGAAACTGCGAATGGGAGTGGAGGTTAAATTTTTGATCAAACCCGAACCGTGCCGATAGGTGGTGATCGCGACACCCGGACGTCTGCTTGATGTGCTGGAGAATCGATATTTAATGCTGAATCAATGTTCGTATGTGATTCTCGATGAGGCAGATCGCATGTTGGACCTGGGTTTTGAAGCGGATGTCAAGAAGGTAGGGCCCTTTTGTAAAGATATCGTTTATTTTGTAGATTTTGGAATACTTGCCAATGTCGAATATGAAGCCGGACACTGATGACACAGAGAATGAAGAAATTTTGATGAAGAACTTTCAATCAAGGGAGAAGTATCGTCAGGTTGGATCAGATTACCTTAGTACCCGGTTATCTAATCTCATTTCAGACAGTCATGTTCACCGCTACGATGTCTCCAGCCATTGAACGCCTAGCGCGCTTATTTGAGACGACCAGCTGTTGTACATATTGGTTCTATAGGCAAGTCTTGAAACGATTTTTTGTGGTTTGTGAAAGAGACGATCGTGCCACAACCCTTTACTGATTCAGGACGCCCGGCTGAACGCACCGAACAAGTCGTCTACATGATTTCCAAAGAACAAAAGAGGAAGAAGCTGATCGAGGTAACTGATTTATGCGTGACAAAACTTTCCGTCTAGATCCTCCCCGGCTTTGAAGCGCCAATCATCATTTTTGTCAACCAGAGGCAGGGTGCCGACGTGCTAGCCAAGAGTCTCACAAAACTCGGCCACCAGACGGTTGTACTACATGGTGGTAAGAATCAAGAAGCACGCGAATACGCGCTGAAGGCGCTTCAGGAACGCTCGAAGAGTATTCTAGTAGCTACGGATGTAGCTGGACGAGGTTCGATTTGCGTTTTTTGTATGAGTAAGTTCGATTTCTTAGGTATCGACATCAAGGACGTGACGCTCGTGGTGAATTACGATATGGCAAAGTCGATCGAAGACTACACACATAGAATCGGGCGTACCGGCCGCGCTGGAAAGACGGGTAAAGCCATAACGTTTCTGACGGCCGAGGATAAGGAGGTGTTTTATGATCTCAAAAAGGTGAGGGATGTTTTGAACGGTTTTAACTTTGTTGTTTTAGTGTCTTCTCGAATCACCGGTATCAAATTGTCCGCCGGAACTGGCGAATCATCCGGACGCAATGCACAAGCCCGGAAGCATCGTGACCAAGAAGCGCGACATGGAAGCAGCTTTTTAAAATTAGTTTTTTGTTGTTATGACAAGTCCCTGTGCCAAAACGTAACGTGTATGGGTTTACTTAATTTCTTAATAAAGACATAATATCGATTATACGATGACAAATTTAAATTAAAAAACGGAATTTAAATCTTTAAAGGGCTTTCAACAGAAAGTTTTTAGACAGAAAAATGATGTAATATTTTAATTTTTAGAACACGGATTTTTCGTTTTTATTTGCCCTGTAGACTATATGCTTCCGATTGAGGTGCTTTCAAAAATTCACACTCCATTGAAGTGTTTCATAATGTCTGATCACATCTAAAATCCTATCCATCTTTTCCCCAAATCAGGAACTCAAATTCACCCCTCCCCTTGAAGGATGAGACTACAATCATAGTCACACTCCCCCTGGCTCTTTTTCGTACCCTGAGGCTACAGAACCGTGTATCCCCCTGCCCGCGCGATCATTCCCTTCAACTCCTTTTGACACCGGCAGCCCCCCCCCCCCCCCCCTGCCCCTCCACCATCACCGGCATCAGGTCTTGGATCTGGTTTCGGGAAAACAAAAAGCCCGCCATCCAACCACATCACACTGCCCCTCGATTCTGACAAACACACACCATAGAGGGCAAAAACGAGAAATTTGTATTTCCGCTCGAGAGCGTTTATGCGGGTCGAGGACTAATCGAATTTGAATCGGGAGGAGTGTGAGGAGGAGGATGAGGAGGGCTGGGAAAACGGCTGAATTGGAGGATTTGGTGGTCTGGTTTTCGAGGAGATCCCGAGGGGAAGATCCAGGAGAGAGTTGATGATTCAGCCAGGGCAGCTGATTTTGAGTTGTTTTGGCAGTGGTTCGAGCGTTGCAATTCAGATTCCATTTATGTTTAAATAAACATGAAAAAATGAAAACAAAATTGTAATAAAATACAGGCAGTTTTGTTTGATCCTACTAAGCGTGACGTGCTTAATGACGACGCTCAGTTTTGTCAAGCCTATCTCGAGTCGTCTCTCTTGCTCACACGCTCCCTAACTCGCTCTCACAATGCCTCTTTTTCCTGCTTTTTATAATCTCGTGCTTTTGTACTCTCTTCATCTCGCGCTCCTCCGATCTCTGGCTCTGGCGCTCTGATTTCTCTCTCAATCTCGTGCTCTTACACGCTCTTCACCTTTGCTCACTCTACCCCCCACTCTCTCGCCATTTCGGGACTTCTTTTTCTCTGAATCTCGTGCTCACACAAGCTCTTCATCTATAGTTCTCTCTCTTTCTCTCTCTCTCTCTCTCTCTCTCTCTCTCTCTCTCTCTCTCTCTCTCTCTCTCTCTCTCTCTCTCTCTCTGTTTAAATGTCTCTGTTTAAATGTCTCTATAAACGCTATAGGTATCACTATTTTGCATTGCCAAGGCAGGGTTCGTTCCAGAGAGTGTGGTCGTGCTCCTCGCTGGTGCTAAACCCGTTGTGTAGACGCGTGCCATCCTCCCTCTTGCTCCCCTGCCAGCTGATCCTCAACCCATTCCTTGAACCATTTCAGGCATTGCCATCCCATCCTTGGAGGCGTCATTTTCTGAATGGCAGCTGCTCGGGCAGCTCTTCTCAAACCGGCTCCGGCCGTCATTCATATTTTATACAAGGAGCCGCATTTTCAGCTGCAGGAGTCCATTAAAAAGGTGTTAATTAAGTCGAGCTCAATTTTTGGCAGGCGAAGTATTAATGAAAGTATATATGTTTATTTTATAGTTTGTCGATCGGGAGGTGAATCCAAAAGTCGAAGAATGGGAGTCGAAACGCCAATTTCCGGCGCATACCGTATTCAAAAATTTGGGGCAACTGGGAGCTTTTGCAGTTAATAAACCTATAGGTCGGCATTATACTGTAATAAGCAAATTACTTGGATATTTTCCTATAAAATTAAATTTAGAATACGGTGGCCTAGGCCTTGATTGCTCATATTCCATAGCTGTAGCCGAAGAAATGGGTACAGTAAGGTGCGGAGCGATTCCGATGGCAACGGCCGTACAGGTTTGTACCTATTATAGACCAGCGCCCAAAACCCGCTTCGCGGGCCTTGGGCGCTGGAATGCGGCCTTTGCATGAAAAGTTTGACTTTCTCATAGCTCGGCTCCTGCGGACCCTCCCCCCCAGCCCCCCACCACCCGCGAGTGCAACTGGCAAGAATGAGGAATTTTGGATTTTTCGCATTATGCAAATTAGCCTTCAGGTACCCCCAAAAATGAATAAAACCGCCTTTAACTTTGTAAACTTGTATTTTATCGAAATTCTGAAAACGCCATCGGAAACAGAACGGTCGATTTCCCCGGGTGACGGAGAATTGAGGCGTTTTGGACACGGGAAGGCCCTCAAATCGGGCCTCGAAAGTGACATCCACACACACACACACATACACTCCAAAATTATATAAGGTAGGATACGGTAGTGGTAGTGTAGCGTACTGTAATAACTTGTAACATGCAAACTACGACCATGATCCATTTTAGAGCGATATGGCCACCCCAGCACTTGCAAGATTTGGCAGTGAATATTTAAAAGAAGAATTTTTACGTCCAACAATCGCAGGTAAATCTTTATTTTTTTTAAATGACCGGCAAAATAAAATAGGTACCTATAGTATACTTTCAAAAATTTAATATGATATATACGTTTAGGAGACCTAGTCGCCTGTATTGCTGTCAGTGAACCCTGTGCCGGAAGCGATGTAGCAGGTATATATCGCTTTTTGACATTTAGTTTCAACTTTTTAGCCATTCGCACTGTGGCCCACACCATCAATGGAGATCTTGTCATTAATGGTATTAAAATTTGACAAACTACATCATTTTTAAGGCACAAAAACCTGGATTACCAATGGCGCCCAAGCCGATTGGGCCTGTGTATTAGCGAGCACCAGGTCTGGGCTTCCGCATAAAAATAAGAGCCTAATTATCGTACCCCTTACTTTGCCAGGTATACTTTGCTTTAATTATGCTAATTTCTAGGGATTTTAGGTGTACATAGAAAACGAACGATCGATAAGCTTGGAATGCACTCCTCAGATACTGCCGAGCTAATTTTTGATAATGTTCGGGTCCCAACGAGTCATATTATAGGTCATTAATGAATTTTAATGCTATTATATTGCCTGGTTTTAATATACTGAAAAAATATTTCATTTAAGCCATTTAATCTTATCCTAGGAGAGGAAGGGCGAGGCTTTGAATACCAGATGCAACAATTTCAAGATGAAAGACTGGTCACGATTGCAGTTTGTAAGTATCTAGTTTTTATGCAGAATTCTTTAGTATTAAAACCGATGGAAAGGTGTATTTCCCTAACTCGAGAATATACCAAAGAACGGAAAGTATTTGGCAAACCCATCTACGAAAATCAGGTAGGATCTTTGGTCGAATGTTATGGTCAGACTGTTCATTTCCGTCTTGCTGAGCTGCAAACCGAAATCGAGGCGTTGAGAGCTTTGCTATATAGAGCGGTTTTGGAGAGGATGGCTGGTAAATTATTACTATATGTAAATGAAGATATACGCGTAATTCAGGAAAAGACGTAACGCGCCTGGCCAGTATGGGAAAGCTAAAAGCTGGCCGTCTAGCCCGACAAGTCACCGATCAGTGTCTACAGGTGTAAAATGTACTTAATTCTCAAAACCTGTTTTTAGTTTTGGGGCGGAGTCGGTTATACTTGGGAGAACGAGGTATCCCGGCTATATAGAGACCTCAGGCTCCATTCGATAGGAGCAGGAGCTGATGAGGTAAGCGAAAATAGATAGAAAAACCATTAAATTTAATTTTTTAGATAATGCTATCTATAATCTCAAGATTTGAAGACACTAAATAAAGAAATTGACCATCTATAAATAATTTGTATAAATATATCTTGATTTTTGAACGTTTACAGCAATTTTACACTTGATATAGCTTTCATTAATGCCAGATTTCTTAAGGACAGATTTTTCTTTTGAATTTTAATGACCTTTCTGTCTCTCTGTAGCTGAATTTCGGTTTTTTGGCACATTAATAGAACACACTCTCTCATAATTTCAATCTCGCGCCATTTGGGTCCCGCGGTGCCGCCGATTACGGTAGATAAATAGCGACGCCCGTCGTCGGCTGCGGGCGGGCCAAGCGCTAAAGAAGTGCGGGTGGCCACCCAGCACCCCTGAATCTACCTTGTTTCATCCAAATTTATATGTAAAAACTTAGTTATGTTCCTTATTATATGCTTACCTATATTTTTCGAGCTTCCTCTCTTATTTCCCCGCTTTTTGCACTTTTAAAGCTAGCTTAGGTTTCAAAATGCCGTAACCAGCTTCCGCATGCTTGCCAACACTTTTTCTTTGCTTATTAACTCCTATAACTCTTTAAATAGCTAATTTTAGACCTTAATACTGCATGGAGTGAGCATGAATGATGTCCGTATTTGTACTAACAACCTCGTTGTTCGTTTTAACATCAGCGATCCCGCTTCTTCCCGTGAATTCAAATCCATTACGCCCGGATCACCTCAAAGGAGTCCCACTCGAGCGGGATGGTGATTTGAATAAGGATTTCAGAAAGGAAGTTCTTTTGGCGGGAGTTGGGGAATCTTCTGATCCAGATGACGACAAATCGCTTATTATTCGACTATTTGTAACGGCAGATTTGAATTCTGACCAATTCCTTTCCTTGGATGAACTTGAAAAAGAGATCCATAAAAATGCTATTCTCCATATTAATGCTAGCAAAGAAGAAGCGGCAAAAACCTTCCATGAAGTCGATTTAGACAAAAATAACGTAATCGATTGGAATGAGTATATTCAAGCAAAAGCTCAGCATGCGGAGGAGCATCATGACCATAAAGAAGGAGTCGATGAGAAAGAAGCATTCCGGGAAGCTGACCTTAACTTTGATAACCAATTGGATATGGCTGAATGGGCTGGTTTCTTACATCCTGAACTTTCTACTTATACTCTCACAAAGCTAGCGGAGGACCTTTTGAGGAGCTATGACAAGGATGAGAATGGAATGCTTTCCAGGGCGGAATTTGTAGATTATGCTGATGGAGAATTGGAAGGACCGTATGCTGAGCAAGAGAAGAATGAAGAGCAAGCCAGAGAGGTCGAGTTCGATCGAGACTTGGACCAGAATGGAGACGGATATGCTACGCTAGAGGAACTGATCGCCTATGTGGATCCACAAGGAGAGGGAAGACACAGAAGAGAAGCTTCTGAATTGTTATGGCAAGTTGATACCGATGAAGATGGGAAGCTCTCGCTCAACGAGATGATGGCTCAAAATCTCGTGCTCGAAAGGTCGTCCCTATTTTCAGCCGGGAAGCGGATGCATGAGGATTTGTGAGCATGAGCTTTTGTGTCGTTTGTGGTCTTGCATGTTTGTTTCGAGAAGCTTCATTTTTCCTAAAAATCATTTTTCTATTTTTTTTTTAGCGTACGTACCTCAGTTAGGAGCTATGAGCAATAACTGGAGGATGAGCATGAGTAGGCAAAACAATTTTAGGAAAAGCGAAGTTAGGAAAGATGATTGTATCTCGATTTTTGTAACACTTCTGTCATTTTGCATTTACACTCGATTCGCCTCCGGTCATACCGATTCTTGCCTTGAATCTCACTTTCCTGCATGAATGTATATATTTAAATGTATAAAGTATCAAAATTCAGGGATGAACCGCCCGCTTCTCCAGCTGAGCCGCCAGTTCGTCGCCGCGCAGAAGCGGTCCCTTCATAAGGGAGTGGATTCGACTCCTCCCCTACGTTGGGTGTCCGTTCCGGAGAAGTTGGGTAGGTATTTAACATCATAAATATAAATAGAATCAAAATAAGTATATGTTAATCAAAAAAAATCTCGGTTTTTAGGTCTGTATGCCTTCATCGCTCTTACCTTCCTGTCGTACCCCACCTCCGTGATGCTCCGATTGGACTCCCTTCGTCCTAGGGTAAGTAGAACATCTCATTAAGTAACAAAATATCAGGCTGTCCGGAAAGTCCTTGCGGTTTTTCCTTTCGGGCATTTTTTTGAAAGCCCTGTTGATCTAGGAGCTAGACGTAATATATGATTTGGAAGTACTTTTGATGCTCTAGACAGTGGCGAAGCTGATCTTCTCAAAAAACCTTTTTTATGATTTTTAACAGGGCTTGAAAGTCGGGACCGAAATTAACCGATTTTCTGTCTTTGTTAAAAACTCCCCCAATAAGCGGCTTGCAAACTTTTTAAAACTAGCAATCGGCTGAGCTGGTCAAGCGCTACAAAACGTATCGTAAAAGTTTTGTTTGAAAAATTATTCTGGGGAGATACAACTTGTCAAAATTTGGTCGACGGATGGGGGTTTTTGGGCGACTAAAGAGGCAAGTCACTCGAATAAATCATCAAATGATCTTAGAAACGCCTAAATAGCATTAATATAACCTGAAACCAAAACTAATACTCTTTCCAGCTCTACCGGAGTGGACACAGCCATATATTATTACATTCGAGAAAGTCAGCATCTTGAGGTCAACCAAATTTTGACAAGTTGTATCTCCCCAGAATAATTTTTCAAACAAAACTTTTACGATACGTTTTGTAGCGCTTGACCAGCTCAGCCGATTGCTAGTTTTAAAAAGTTTGCAAGCCGCTTATTGGAGGGAGTTTTTAACAAAGACAGAAAAACGGTTAATTTTGGTACCGACTTTCAAGCCCTGTTAAAAATCATAAAAATGTTTTTAGACAAGATCAGCTTCGCCACTGTGTAGAGCATCAAAAGTACTTCCAAATCATATATTACGTCTAGCTCCTAGATCAACAGGGCTTTCAAAAAAATGCCCGAAAGGAAAAACCGCAAGGACTTTCCGGACAGCCTGATACGATTAGAAACATGTAGAAAACACCTTAAAATTTAGATCAAATTATTTTATATTTTTTTAGGCCGAGAACGACCTCGCCCCAGAAGTCCAGGCCCAAATCGACGAGATCCGCGCCGCCAAGCTGGCCGCCAAGCACTAGAGCTCTATACTTGCTGAGCTGAGGGATAGAAACTTGCGAAACCGGATTGTCATATAGCCCATTTTAATAGTTTTGTATATTGGAATAAAGTTTTTCATCGTTGCTTTAAAAATTATTGCAATTTATACTCCTTTACGCTTTTTTTTTTTGGCTTGTTGGATTTTTAGTTTTATAGATTTTCCCCTTAGGAATTTATGGATTTCCTTGGGGGATAAGGACGCCCGCGACACGCTATGCGCACGTGACGCAGGCAGGGGCGTAGCCAGAAAAAAATTTCGGGGGGCAAAAAATTTTTCCAAAAAACTCAAAACTTCCACGAGAAAACAGCGCCGCAGGCAAAAAATTTTGAAAAAAAGTTCCATAGCACTACAAATAGCCGTAAAAACGTAAAAAAGTAGCGCCGCGAGCAGCAAATTTTTTGAGAAAATGAAAATCATAAGGGGCCCCCCTTATGAAATTTTCGGGCCCCGGCCGATTTCGGGGGGGGCGGGCCCCCGGGGCCTGTATTACGACGCTACGTCCCTGGACGCAGGGCAGGTAAACGCAGGCACCTGGGCATCTCATTACGCAACGTAAATGAGCGCGCTTCGTGTCGCCGTCCCTTTAAAAACAGTGTTTCCCAGGCTTCCGGGCCGCGACCCGCAACGCCAACGTGACTTACGCCAAATATAAGCTAGTGGAGCCAGGGAATCTCGTTACGCAATGTAAAAGCAGTGTTTCTGATCTTCTGGCCCGCGCCAAGCAATGCACCCGCGCCGCTTCGCGGGTAGGAACCGACCGTTTTGCATTACGCTACGAAAATGCAGGCGAACGCATCGCGTATCGCGGCTTGATCAATTCATAGAAATTTCCTGCACGTCCATTTAAACAAAAAACTGAACCCCTCCCTTCAACTCTCAAAACTTCCAAAACAGAACCCCCTCCTCGCGAACATTTCCGCAGATTTGCCCTTCCGCCCCCCCCTCGATTCTTGCACCGGAAGCCCGTAACACGTTTATGCATTGGTGAGCATTCTCTGGGCCCCCTTCGGCTTCATCCCTAAACCCAGGTATTCGTTTCGATTTGCCAGGAACTTAAAAACTAGCGCTATATTGACCCTATATCTGCGAAAATCATGCGCTACTGCGATAACCAATCAATTCCACTAAACGAATCGTTGCAGAACGTCTTCTGCGCGTAATTCTGTACTTTATACCTAATTTTTTGGGCTTTTTAGATTGGTCCAATGGCAGTGGGTGTTGGTCGGAATTGCTGGCGGGATTTCGATACCTCTATATATACTGGTTCTACGGTTATTGCTTAAATTACGATCTACAGTCAACTTTGGGTCTCCATTTTATACATTGCTGTTTTCACAGGTACTATAAGACGACTGTAGAAATTACGGGTTTTAGGGAGTGCTTGATATTGGAGGCTTTTTAAGCTATTTCTTCTTTTCGGATTTGCGCCATGTTATAAAGGTGAGACGGATTACGATTTTTCATTAATTAATCTAATTTGTAAACGATTTTAATTCATTTATATACTTTTTAATAGGGTTTATTCTGGTATATTCGCGAGAGCTATCTACCCTCTCTTGGCTACGCTTGCGAACAAATATTTCTGGTGGGAAGAATTCTTGGGGTTACCTTACTGGCGCTTCAACGTATTGCATCTGTCACGTTTCCAAATTCAATGATGAATTATGTAAGTTAGAAAATATATACTTTTGATGCTTTTAGGCGTTTAATGGATTTCCAAAAGCGCTACTAATTGGCTCACACTGGGCCTTACCAATCCTCTCAAGCGTCCCGGTATTAACGCAATACCATACCTACGATGATGAAGTCAAAATGAATCTGGTGGTACCGATGTTGGATTTTACGGTATAAGGATTTATGTCTATATTTTAATAATTTTTGGAAATAGATTAACGCGCTTTCTGTGGCGGTCCTAGCTTCCGTTTCACTTGTCGTTGTCACATTTTGCTTTGTACGAATTTTACTCCAGATTACGGTAGATTTGGCTGTCGGGAATCAGTAAGTTTTTGTAAAAATGTTTAAAAATTTCATAATTAAATTACAGTAGCAGAAGAGCTAGGAAAGAGCTGTCTGCGACGTTTATCCTGGCCGGAATGCTGGCCGGTTACTATCTTTGTTCTGGATTTCATTTGCTGCAGTATTTCTATGTTAGTACGAGGGATCAAGAGGTAAAAACATATTGAAATTTTATGCTTAAGAATAATACAGTACTTTGAATCTAACTGTAATTTTAGAAAATTGATCAAATCTACGCAATTCGTCTGTTTTACCCAACCATGAACGCGATTTTCTCTCTGATTACACCATGGCTAATTTGCATATGTAATGACGAGGTGATTTTTGAGATTCAAATTTTGGAAATTATTTATTTTTAGATTCGAAAAATGATCTGCTTTTCAAAAGCGGAAATTGACGCCTATCAACGGAAAAACCTGGCGAATAATGTATAATTTTGCATAAAAATCTATTTAAATTTTGATCGTAATTGAATTCGTTAATTTTATTGGATAAATTTCCGTGTGACCAAAATTAGACTAAAACATTTTATTCCCGTAAACACCTATAAACAATCGATGGTTTCGGAAGTGAGTCGGCCGAGGGGCTTGCATTAAATCGGGCGAATTTTATGCAAATTTGCATTTTCTTTGATCAAAACCCGACCCGATTTTAGAAATAAAGTATTTAATTTAGATAGCAAAATAAAAATTATTCTTTAGTTTTGAATCCATCAAAAATCTATTTTCTGACTGCTAGATAGACAATTTTTACCGGATAACAACCATCTCACAACAAAAATAAAGGATTGAAAGACGACATTTGAATTGACTAGCGGCATGGTAATTTTGGATCGACAACAAATGACGAGGAAATCAAGGGAATTATAAGAATCGAAAGTCCATCACAAATTGCAAAATGATCCGTTTGACTTTGTGGCTGGCTAAATAAAATAGTTTTTCCAACTCTCGTATGCAAATTAGGGGGTAAAATGGACACCAAAGGGTTTTAATATTTGAATTTTTTGGGATCAATAAATTTTGGTGAGCAAAAAAGTCGAATTGTTGAAGACGTGTAGAGTGTGACGATCGTCTCCTAGTGCCCGTTTCCCAGGAATTTTTGCGGTTGTTTCATCAGCGTGGACGTGGCGCCCTTGATGCTCGCGAACACCCGCATTTTTTCTGTTGACCCGTACTGAAAAAAATTAATTCCAAATGATTGTGGAATTTTGGACGCTTGAACAAGTTTTAAATACTAAATTTAGAAAAAACCGTATTTTCCTGCTTTTTGTTGCTTGAAAAAGTAAAATAAATTTGGAACGGACCGCAAAATCCGATTATTTGCAATTTAGCTTACAACGGAAGGTCTAAAGGGATCGGCAAGGATTTCTTGTAGACTTCACCGCGATACGCAACGCGCTCGCCACAACTTCCATTACATAATCAATTACGACAGTTTTATCGCCGAAACGCATTGCGAGCGGGCGTGCGTTGCGTGTCGCGGATGCGTGCGCGGGCGTTTTCTAGCGACCATTAGAAGGCCGCGACACGCAACGCGCACACCCTTTTTCCAGCGCGTAATCGGTTCCTACTCCCTGGCAAAAACTTTATCAAATCCGTATTATGTCAAATTGATAATTGCCTTGCTTGACTCTTTAAAAAGCATAAATTCAGTTATATTTTAGCGAATTTTGAATATATAACTGGAGATTAGCCTTCATAATCCCTTTAAAACCGCCACTGACCTTCTCAGAGTTCCTATCCTGCGACTTTCTCCTCTGCTTCTCCGACGACCTCTTCGCGGACCCATTTTGCACCAGAGTCTTTGAAGACGTCCGAGAATCAGCGGAGGCTGCCCTTTCTAAAACTATTTCCACACTTTTTTACAGTTTCCAGGTCTTACCCCTCATTTTCGGTTGTTGTTCCTTGTAATAGCCATTGCCATAATGGTTATAATACGGCGGTTGATTTGATTGTTGCTGTACTTGTTGCTGATGTTGTTGTGGATGATTTTGATATTGATATTGATGTCGAGACGCGTTTTTCTGTTCCCTGGCGAGCGATCTGGCGGTGTCATAGTCCGTATCGCTACACTCCGCCTGAACCTTTTAAAAATAAGATATAAATAGAATACTTGGGCTATGGGTGCTGTTCTCTCGCCGCCGGCTACGGTATTTTGAGAGCGTTGTGGTTGTTGTTGTTGTTGATTTTGAAGAGTTCTTGAGGGTGTTGGTTGGGGTTGTCGCTCGTTGTTACCCTGGAAATTTTTGAATTAAAATTAAATAAATAATTTTAGTAAAGTAAGAATGTGTTGTGTTGGCAATGGCAATCCGATGGAGATAGGCATCGGGTTCTGGACTGTTAGCGGGGGGGGGGGGGCGAATGGGAAACCGCTTTGTGTTTTTCCAAACGTTGGTGATATATTATAATATTTTTATCCTGTTTTAGTAATTTTTGGCTGTTAGAAAATTTTTAAAAATACTTTAAAATGTCAAAAATCAGAAGTTTTCGATCTTTTTGGTCATTTTTTTAGGTTTTCGACGAAAAATCAAAAATTATCGAAATCCTTTATAATTTTTTCTGGTTTTTATATCTAAAAACTATGTAAAATGCTATAAAGATGGTCTATATTTCTTTATAGGGCCTAGAAACCCCCGCTAAAAATCCCCCCCCCCCCCGCTAACAGTCCAGTACCCAGATATCTCCTAGTATAACGTTTAAAGTATAAGGCAAGCAAAATGTCCGGTCATTCGGGGGGAGGCAAAACTCGAGAGGGGGGTGCAGCCGCGTTCTCAGATGCGAACAACTCACGGGGGCTCAGCTGCCTTTGGTACTGTGTGCGTGCTGGATTATCGGAAACGGTGTACACGGGGAGACTCTAACAAAACTCACGCGGATGCGCTCGTGTTGGATGCGGCGGATGTGGGTCTTTTTCGCGGAGATCATGTCGTAGAGTTTGTTTCTGAAATCAGCCAGTTTCAACTAAAAACCCTAATTTTTCTATTTTTCTTGGAAAATCCCTAATTTTTATCCTGATCGATGTTCTATTTTAATTCCAAGTGTTTATATTTGTTTTTAATCATTTTAAAACCTAAATTTCTTTTTGAAGCTTCAGATTAAGATCTACTGAGGCAAGCTTTTAAAGGGGCTAGTAAGACATGACTATAGTTTTTCTGCTGCGAATTGCTACACATGGATTTCGTACGCGCCGCGACACGCAACGCGCGCGAATTTTTTTCGGTTTTAAGGAACGTAATTCATAACGCAATCGAAAAGCCAAGAATTTAAGGATTTTTGTGCTATGGATTTTCTATCGGTTCGGGCCTGACCGCGACACGCAACGCGCACGCCTTCGCCGGCCGTGCGCAACGAACTACAACGCTCTCCGTTGTCCCGACGTCACGTTGCGGGCGCTTAAGGATGCGTCGCGTGTGGTAAGTTAGTTAAGTCTACAAGAAACCCATAGTAATGAATTCACAGCCCCTTTCACTACCTATAAACGCTTAAATTAAACCTTCAAACGCTCTTAAACGACCTTACGCTACAAAATACGAAAATCCGTTAAAATCTTGCTAGATGAAACAATTTTTTTAGATGCCATACCTATAATCATCAATCGTCAATTGTATATGGTCAGGAAGAGGCAGAGAGACGTCATACGGTAGTGCAGGTTCATCAGAAGGATTGTGGAATTGGAGGACATAGGGGTGGACGAGGCATTGCTCAACGGTCAGCCGGCGATGAGGAGCGAAAAGGAGAAGCCGGTGGATCAAGTCGATCGCGTTCGGGTTGCTCGACGGAATGAAGATATCGATCGGTTTTCGTGGTCTGGCATTCAAATCATACTTTATTAAGACTTATTCAATCGTGAAATATGACTGAAATTAGTATAATTATAAGGTATCTTGACTACGCTACACGCCGCTGTGCAATAAGTTTCTCTTTCTGCATTACTTGCTCCAAAAAAGCTAATTCAGGCCGCGCGAACTCAATTACCTACGATACGCGCGCGGAGAATTGCGTTTTTTTGCTTGAATGAAATAAAAATAACCAATTTCCGGAAACATACCTCGTCGGCATTTTCTCCAAAACCGATGCAGCGTAGTGGCTCCCAATACTGTCAATGTCCCCCTTTGAAGGCCTCGCTATCGTATTCATTATCCTCTCGATCTGAAATTTACATAATTTTAATTTTTTCATTAAGTTTAAAACCTGATTTATTGTAGAAGTCCCGGGAAACAGGGCCCGTCCTAACAACATTTCTCCAAGAATACACCCCAAACTCCACATATCCACGCCTTTCGTATACCTTAAAAATGCAAATTATAGAGATAAATTTGCGGAATATACTACCTTTTAGCCGCTAGTAATATCTCCGGGCTTCGATACCACCTGGTGGCTACGTATTCCTAAAAAGCAATAAAAATCGATTTTTTTTTTAAATTACCGTAAGCTCCGGCATTTGTTCACCCTCGGGATAGTCTTCTAACTAAAATGATTTGCATTAAAATGCGACTAATTTATTTCCTACCGATGATAATGACCTCGCCAAGCCAAAATCTGCCAGCTTCACTCGGCAATCGGCGTCCAGGAGTACGTTTGACGGTTTTAAATCACTAAAAAAATTTGAATAAATGTAGCGAATAAGTTATATGTACTTAAATACAACAACTTAAATTTAATTCGCATACCGATGCAGCACATTTCCAGAATGCAAAAATCGAATTGCCCGAAAGAGCTGGCACATAATATATTGCTTGTGGATGTCCTTCAGAATCGTCATTTTCTTGATGACGTTATGCAAATCGGCCTCCATATATTCAAATACAAGATACATGTCTCTAAAATGATAATTTAAATACTAAAATCGCTAAATCAAATACCAACCTATCGTTATCTGCTTTTAATATATTAAACAATTTTATAACATTTGGATGACGCCCAAATTCTTGCAAAAACATTACTTCACGAAACGTACGCTGGGAATCAGTCTAAAAAATAGATTTTTGATATTTGGTTCCGCTTTTTACCTGATTCCGAAACGCGTCAAATATCTTCTTGAGGGCAACGGTCTCCTTTGTGCGTTTGTCGTGCGCCTTCCAGACAATCCCTTAATATTCTGTTTTTGAGAGGGAGCGGATTATCGCGACCAACCATATGCCCCTTTGCCCAAGCGCTTCTGAAGCTCGTATTTGTCGAGGATGTGCTGGTCGACATCTTCTGTCATACTGAAAAAATATAGGATGAATACAAGCTTATATGCTTAAAAGAATATATGCAATATAGAATATAAATTCTAGATATTTAAGGAGCCTTTAAAATGCGCCTATGGATTAAGAGAAAAAAATGCGAGCTCGTGCTCGATAAAAGCTCAACCTCCACCCCACGGCTTTGAGAAATCCGTCTGGCATGACATCTCGTCTAGCCCGATGGCGTAATCGCCGGAAGATTGAGAAAAAGGCCACAGATGCAAGGAGGAATCCATCGGCTTCCATTTTAGCGCAGTAAAAGTTGGGAATTCTTTGAGGTAGCAAGGATTGGATTAAATATACTACTTAAGTACTCCTTAAAAACTAGTGAACCGTAACGTGTGATTAGAATAATTTTACAAACTAATTATACGTTAAATTAAATAGATAGCTGAGCGGAAATGCAGCATTCTATCTAGTTAAAAGGACGATTTTAGGTCTTCGAAACGTTGGATGTAGGCGGCGGGAATGCCAGACCAAAAATACTTCAAGCTACTTGACGCAAATGACTCCCAGAAATTTGAGACCGAAATGTCGAGACACAAATCATAAATTTGAATCTGTGGCTTGCATATGGTAGAGGATGTTTGAAACGAACTAACTATGACAAAAAAGCCGATAGACCAGAAGAACACCGACAAAAATTCTTTTATTTACACGTCCAAATCTAGGAATCGTTTCAACTTAGTTAGGGCTTACGTAAAGCACCAAAATCGTCAAAAGCTTCATTTAATCGATAAACCAGCCAAAAACCTAGCGATTAAACATCTAGTGAAGTTCAGACAAATCTGGCTTTAAGGAGTAGTCCAAAGCTATCAGAAGCTCAAAATTCAAAAATTGAATGCATAGCTTACATCCTAAAAAGTGACCAATCAACAGTGAGAGGCGAGAGAGCAAAATTTCTAACTTTCAAAAGTCCCTCAAAGCTATCGACAACCCAACCCCGATTCCGCAATGCTCCAAAGTTTGTTCAGGTAATTTGAGTGTGGGATCCACAGGCTGGTGCGTGGGGCGAAAAAGAGCGCGACACCCTGGCAAGAGGGGGGCGAAAGGGCTTGTTCAGGATGTATAAGTTTGAAAGCGGCGAAGCGAACACAATCCATCGGCTGCGTCGAAGAGGAGGGGGGAGGGCCAGGTGGGAGAGCAGGTATGGAGCTAGAGAGAAATAGAGAGTAAAAGGGAATATTAGGAGAAGTAGACGAGAGAGACAGAGAGAGAGAGAGAGAGAGAGAGAAGCTTCGGGCCCTCCTGGGCCCCTTCCGCAGCCATGGTGACCGCGCCCGGGGCGGGCGATGAGCGCGCAGCCCTACGGCGGGGGGGCTGCCCCCCTCTTTTGCTAAAAGACGCCCCCACTTCGATCCTCCCTTCCACCACACGACCCGGATGTCATCTTGCATGGCTTACACCCTCCCTCATATTACGCATTCCGCAAAAAAACAACCCGGATAACGCGGGATGACTATTGACACCTGGGCAGGAAAACGCTAAAAACCGCGTCATTTCTAAAAAGTTGTTTTGGGTGCTTTAGCGGGTACCACGTTTCACAAGAAGCCGATTTACCGGCCTTCTAAAAAACAATAGTAAAATTACTGTAGCTCATAAATAGATTGAATGAACATTTTTGACAACAATCTAGCTTTGTTTGCACTGCAGAATTTACGAAAAAATCGTTTACAGCTAAAAAAGTAAAATAGCAAAATGGTTTTTAGCCCTAGTTTTTCTGGTTCCAGCCCCTTGAATCAATTTACAGCAAAATCCAGTTTTGCCATTGCAGTTTTAATTCGACTAGCGTCGTAACCTGCCACTAAAATCGTACTTTCCCCAAAAAAAAACCCCGGTTTTAATAAGCATCTAGCCGCTGAACTTTTGGGTTTTCGGTTGTAGCCAAAAATCCATCGACAAAGATCCGGACCAGTTTGTAGCTGCTTGACTGCCCTTATTGTTTTGAAAAATGCTGGAGGGGTGCAAAAATGGGCGATGAGAGGGAAGAGCGGAAATTGGGGTGGAAAAGGGTAAGGCGGTGGATTCTGGTTTTAGCTAAAAATGGGGTGGAAATGGATGTAAAAAGGGGAGAAATCGTACTGTAGCACGTACAGAAAAACGCGAATAAAATATCATAAAGCTACAATAACTAAAACGAGTTGAAAAAGGTAGCTTAAAGGCATATATAAGACAACCACAAATTCGCAATAATAATCCAGTTTATGCGGTAGGAGCTGGGTTTAATTATGCTAATTGCATGAGGTATGAGCAGAGAGAGAGAGCGAGAGATAGAGAGATAGCGAGAGAGAGAGAGAGAGAGAGAGAGAGAGAGAGAGAAAGAGATGTCTGTCTCGATGTTGGTGGTGTTGAGAATAGTAATGGGTGTGCATAGGGTAGGTAGGTAGAGGTGGGTAGGGTAGAGCCATAGGTCCAGGTGTCCCATTTAAGCCTCACCCCCCGGTCCCCTCTATTCTCGGGAGTCTACTGCCCCCTCCCTCTAGCCCTCTACTAGGTGAACCCGTCGACTGGCACCAATATATCAATAGCCACCCACATGAATATGTCCCATGACAACCTCCCTAAATATGGCTTGAGAGGTAGTGGTTGAGAAGGGGGATTTTAAGAGAAGAAAATAAATAATAAAGATGAGTTTTTATACTATATTAATACTAAATAAGATTTTCCATTGTCGTTGAAAATTTTATGGGAAACTGCCCGCAAGACGAACGCAATAGACAACACACAACGCAGTACGCAACGCAGCTTTAACGCAACGGGCAACACAGCGCTACGCACAACCTGGTGCGCTACGCAACACACAATGAAGTACGCGGCGCCACGCACAACGTAGTGCGCAGCGCCTAAATGACTGAGATTTCGGTCATTCATTACATCTTGGAGTAGCGAGCGCACACGTTGCGTAACCTGGAGCGGGAAATTCATTGGAAATCCACAATCATCCCTTTTCGATTACTATACTAACATGGCTAATCACCATTAATGCATGAACGATACTGTATTGCGATTTAAAAGTGCGCAAAATTGCAACGAAAAAGGATACAAATTTCGATTAAAGGAGTGAAAAAAACAAATATCCACCCAGTCACCATCCCCTTAAACCCGCCCACTTCTGACTAACATCCCAAAACAGAAAGGACACCCCATTGGCTAAGCCCCAATGCCTGGAACCGGCGCCACGCAAGGATTTTTGGCTAAAACCCATCATTTCAGAGGGGATAATGGGTCCCGGTTGGAATATAGGGGGGATATTAGAGGAAGCGGAGGAATCGCCTAGACTCCTTCAATATTATAGATGAGTCTTTAAGAATATATATACAATTTAAGGGTAATTCTTTACATAGAAATTGGGTTTTTAGATTTTAAAGGGGCTGAGAAGTCAAAATTACCTAGAGCAAATTGGGACTATACCAGTTTAAAGAACACCGAAAAATAAGATATCCAGATCTAGAGTTCAAACAAAAATCACATACCGTTTTGGTGACATAGTGAAGCCGGCGTTGATGCAAAAGCAGGCCTCGGATGCACCTGCCAGCGAATCGGCGGCCCACGACAGCGGGGGTCGGACGAATGAACAAGCGAAAAATCGCGGTCCCGACGCTTCCCTAAACAACGGATGGAAGGGGGGGCTGTGACGGATGTTACGGATGTGTGAATTATTCGGCGAGTTTTGGTGACTACGAAAATATACTTTGGTTCGTGGATCAAGATCAAAAATTGGGGTTGAAAGGAGCTCGTAAAGGGGTTTTTAATGCGAAATCGAAGAGGGGATCGAGACGGCATCAGAAAGATGTTCTAAAGGGTCTGGCAAGGCAAAAACATGGAGTTTTTCCCTCCCAACTCCCATTATTGCTTGGTTCCATTTCTCCCAAAATCAAGCTTCATGTCGCCGGAAAACGAGGGCTGTTGTTTGCCTTCAATGTACCTTTAAAGAAACAAAAAAAAATTCCTGGCTTTTAATCAAAAAGCAAAAATCCACGCCACCGCTGGGGGTCGAACCCTGGCCGTGTGCGCAGCAAGCGGACACAAAACCAATGTACCAGCAGGCCGATGCAATGCCGACCGGACAGGGCCTCTTCCCCCAGGCGCCTTATGCACGCAGGAAACAGACCCTGCCTGCTATAGCGTGGACCAAGTTCATTAAACTGGGAGGTGAAGGTTTTTGAACCCATTTCCAGGCTATTTAGCTTTTTTAAGCTACCTCCCATTAGTGTCCCAGCCCCTTTAGCTCAAACAAAGCTCAAACCTTGACCCCCCTCATCCTGATAAATCGCTTTTCCGTATGTGAATGTGTGGATGTGCGAGGGCGGGCGCATCTTCTATGTGCAGAAATTGAGGAAGACTCATTCTCATGCTCCCCTCTCTCCCTCCCCTGACTCCCCAATGAGCCTCAGCATTTCTTTCTTGACATGGGGTTGCTGCCTGCCTTCTTCCACCGGCCAAATGTCCAGCCTAACAGGGAGAAGCTCCTCCTGTGAATGCATTTCTGATGTTGGGGCGGCTCTTCTCCACTTGTTCTCATCGCAACCATTGTTGAAGACATTGGCTCCTCCTCCTTAGATGGACACTCTTCCTCCTCGTCCCCTACCTCCCGTACCCATCTGGCCCCCCATCTATCGGCTGACGACATCGATTTCCGGTTTTTACGGAATTACGGAATTCTATTGGCTATCGTGAGGATGCAATCGCATACGTTTTCGAGGACAAGGGGTGTCCCGATATTTTGTAATGGATCGCCGAGTCATGTTAATCAGAATCAGGTAATTTGTATTGGGTAGAGGTTAAGGTATTTAAAATAGCAGCGGATTACTGGCATTGACTTTCTATAACTTGAAAATATGAACGGTAAAAATAAAAATGTTATTAAATTGTCACGCCAAAATATTCATGTTATTGGTTTTTTATAACTTAACATATAGAAATTAAAAACCACGCTATAACATTAACGATTACCGTATCATATAATTACTATGGAAGAGTTAAGGTAGCTAAAAATATAAGCGGATTAATGTTGATAGGTTTTTATAGCTTGAAAACAGTATCTAGAAACTAAAAATTCTGCATTATCGATTACAGTATCATCAATTTAAATTTAAAGTATACCTAGCCTTTTAGTACAAGCGTATCTTAACGGAATTCCAAGCCTTAGGTAGCAATAAATCTTAATAAAACCGCGAGGTAGTATTAGAATTCAAACCAGCGAATTTTTGGAGTATATTTTGGCAAAAACGCACGTCACGCGACGCTCAAAATTTTGAATCTTAAAAAACACGTTCCCACGCATTTTTGCTAGCCCGAGCATTTTGAATGGAGCTGATTTTCAAAAGCACGGCCAAAAATGATGTGGCAGCCGAAAATAACCTGAAAGCTGAATAAATCTTGCGTAAATTACCTCTATTTTTTAGCCCTCAACCTCCCGAGCCACGTCCCATTCTCGAACAAACAATACGCGCGCGATGAATGGCCAAAAACACCAATTGGAGGCGAAAACGGCTCGGCAAAGATTGGCGGACAGGAAGAAGCAGGACAGTAGTACCAGTGGATTGCCATCAACATTTGTGCCTGGATTTCATGAAGAAGCTGTTGTGCGGAGGATGCCTTATAGGATTCTTGGGAATACCGGGCTCAAGGTGTCTGTTGTATCGTTTGGTAGGTTTTGAAGCTTGGCTTAGGCTAAATCCACCACCCTTGCCAGCTCTTTAAACTTTTTAAATGCTAAATCAAACCCCACAAATAAATTCCAAACAATCCTCGTAATCAAATTTGAATCTTAAAACTTTTAATACCGAAATTTTTAAGCCAAAATTTCGAAAAAGTCATTTCTCCTTTCAGGAAGTGCAGCGATCGGAGGACTTTTTGGCGATATTGACGACTCTATATCAGGTTTTTAAGCTTTGATATATTTAGTAAAACCGTTTCTGACTTTAGAAATGATCGAATCCGCCCTAAAACAAGGCATAAACCTCATCGACACTGCCTATTGGTATGGCCAAGCGAGAAGTGAAAGTATCTTAGGAAAAGTGATTACTTCCAGTCTTCCTTTTAACTTTTTTCAAGGTTCTGGCCACGATTCCAAGGCGATCCTATTACATATCAACGCGAGTCGGCCGTTTCGAGCTGGATTTCGCTCGAAATTTCGATTTTCGAGCTGATAAAGTGCTAGAAAGCTTGCAAGAGAGCTTGAAGCGGCTCCGGCTTTCTTATGTTGATATCTGCTTTCTTCAGGTAATTGAGCCAATTTTTAAATAGTTTTTTTCAGCTTCATGACGTCGAATTCGACCCAACAATATCGATTGTGCTCAATGAAACGTTACAAGTAGGATCTTATCGATTTTTAACCCACCAAAATTAATTAAGGCTCTCGAAATGGCGCGTGCATCGGGTAAAGTGCGTCACTTGGGGATTGCTGGATATCCGTTAAAGAAGATTAGGTAGGAAAATCTGACTTAAAATAGTTTTATTTATATTTACACGAATTGTATATGAATTTTAGGGCTATAATTGAAAATTCTCCCGCAAAAATCGATGTCGTGCTCACGTACAGCCACGCAACGCTCAATGACAATTCACTTGGGGAGGTTGTCCCATTTTTTCAGGTATGGATTTTGGTTTAAAGGGGCTTGAACAGCAAAAATTTTACGTTGTAATTTTTAGCAAAAAGTTAAGCCTTGCGAATATTTAAAAAATGGTGATGGTCATCTGAACCTCTTGCCAAGCTCGTTTTTGCCTTCAGAGGCCCTCTAGTATAAAACACAGTTTTTTTTTTAACTTACTCTATAATTTTATTATATTTTAGTCAGTCGGTATCGCCGTCCTAAACGGCTCTCCCCTTTCGATGGGCCTCCTGAGCTCGGAGGGCCCACCCCCTTGGCACCCGGCCAATCAACAGGTCCGCGAAGCGGTGCTTGCAGCTGAGGAGTATGTTCATGTAAGCTTGTATACCTTTTAATATTTTATAGCTTAATTTTATCACCATGAGTACGTCGTTCTCATTTACCATCAATTACAATAATTTCAGAGTAAAAACCTGCGACTTGAACGTCTTGCCCTCGATTATTCAATGCATTTTCCGGGGACAGTTTCTTGTCTAGTTGGTATTGGAAGTATGATACAGCTCGATGAGGCAATTAGAATTGGAGGTAGGTTTAGCTATAGTTTTGCCTTGATTATCGATTTTATAGAAACTTGCGATGGAAAACGATCAACCTCACTGAGTGAGGTCGAGCGCAGGGTCAGAGATCGGATTATGAGGAGGTAAGTTTCAAAAAATTTAACTTAAAATGTTTCTAGACATTTTGATGCCTTGAACAATCAAGGGTGGGAAGGTGTTGATGTGGCGAGATATTGGAAGCGGTTGAAAACATTGGGTATATTTAAATATATAGAAAAGAAAGGTATCGATTTTTTTAGGTTTAGGAAGCTTGGCTACACACCGAAGACATGCTTCTGTCGAGTCGTTGGCTTCGACTTTGAATGGGTTGTCGATGGACAGTTTTAGTGAATTTCGAAAAACACCGGTTTGTTCTTTTAAAGGGACTAGAAAGCCTGGATACTTGTAACCTCGAAAAAACACAATTCTGCCTTCTAAGTACCTTTAAAAACACCTAGAATTAATCTCCAAACTGCCAAGTCTCTTTAAAAATATCTAAAAGTAATTTTCAAACCTCTTAAGGTCGGTGGAAGTCGACCAAGCCGCCTAAACATGTCGGGAATGTCACGTAGCCGCAATACCATACCAGTAGGTACTACCGTAACCATTTAATATCACCATTTTCTAGGGCAACTCCATGTCCCGGGCCTCGAGCGTCGTCCCCATTTCCGGTCGGATGGAGGCCATCGAAGAGAATCGACGTCTCCGCCGCCCATTTCTAGCCAAAGAAACGTCCCGTGATTTCTCGTGGAAACCGTGATTTTCGGATTTTTACTTCAAATAAAGCTCAGTGTTGTTTTTACGATCAGATGCAAATGACGAGAGAGATTTCAAAAACAACGAATATCCACTGGGCGTTTGTATTCGCTAGTAATTTGAAACCTCCATCGGCATGTAGCAGTGATTACTGGGGACACAGGGTGTAGGAGGAACTACAGTACGCTACAAAATAACTAAATAAAACCAAAATCAATTTTTTTGAATAATAGCTACTTTGAATCAACGAGGTTAGGCTGAGGTTTAGGCATAGGCATTGGCTTAGGCTTCGCATAGGATTCGCTTAGGCTAAGTCAAGCTTAGGAATAAGCTTAGGCATGAACTTAGGCTTAGTTAGGGCTTAGGCTTAGGCTTGGGCTTACAAGGGAACCTCGCGGAGACATGGTGGAATTTCGGAAAACGCTCGCGGCTACCCCCGGGTAATCGACCATTGCGATCACGATGCGCTTGTCAGATTTTTCTAAATAGACCTGTGGACAGAGATACAGCACTTCCGGAAAATGCTGATTTACATGCCAAAAAATTTGCATAGAAGGATGGTTTATGAGGCTCTCCCATCACTATGGAATCAGCAGTTGAATGGCCGAGTGGTAAGGGACTCGCTTGATAGGATTCTGACCAGGGTTCGAATCCGCTTACGATTTTTTGTTCTTGCTTTTTGGACAGAAATTTTTGTACAAGTCCAAAACCATACGTGCTAAAAGTACTTCTAAATTTTATGACAGTGGTCGACGTTACGTGGTCAGAAAATTATTCTTGTAAAATTTTTTTCATTTTTTTTTGCAGATGGTCAGGTGTAGGAACTCTAGCCGGCAGAACTGCTTTCATTTTTCGATTTTTTCGATTTGGCTAAACATTAGGGATTTCGGGCTATTACTAGTAACATTCTGGATTTGTACAAAAATCACTGGCCAAAAAGCAAAAACATAAAATCGTGAGCGGATTCGAACCCTCGTCAGAATCCTGTCAAGCGAGTCCCTTACCACTCGGCCATTCAACTGGTGATTCCATAGTGATGGGAGAGCCTCATAAACCATCCTTCTATGCAAATTTTTTGCATGTAAATCAGCATTTTCCGGAAGTGCTGTATCTCTGTCCACAGGTCTATTTAGAAAAATCTGACAAGCGCATCGTGATCGCAATGGCCGATTACCCGGGGGTAGCCGCGAGCGTTTTCCGAAATTCCACCATGTCTCCGTGAGGTTCCCTTGTTAGGCTTAGGCTACGTTTAGGCTAAGGCTTCATTTGGGCTATGGCTTAGGCATAGATTTAGGCTTATGCTCGGCTTCGCTAAGGCTTCGTTAACGCTTAGGCTTAGACCGACTTGCCAAATTCCATAGAAATCGATACTTCTTTAATGATGCGCTAAGAGCGAAGATACCTACCTATCTTAACTACAGTAACCTGCCGCAGTACAGTACGACCCAATTACCGTACCTCGTTTAGTGCAGTGTTATACAGAAATATATACAATTAAATATAGAAATCCAACTAGCTGGATGTCGGTAGTTAGTGAATGGCCTTCAGACGCCGTTGTGGCCTCGGATGTGGCCCAACATAGACTGGGCCCCCCCATCCTCCCATTCCGCCCTCCGGAGGCCCAGCCTCCCGGTAACACGATCGTTTGTTTGCCGTCGTTCGATTGGTCCGGCGAGGGTAGGCAGGGACTGAGAGAACGAGCACAAGAATGATAGAAAGACGAGAGATCCATCGTCCATCTAAGGCATGTGCATGTACGGCAATCAGAAAAGGGAAGCCTTCAGGAGGGGGGAGCCGGAGATGGCCCTCGAACCGTGTACCCACACACTCACCATCAGCTGCCCCACTACCACCACTACCCGGCCCCCCTTCTAACGCTCTCTAACCAATCCTGCCATCCGAGAAGCCGACCCCTTGGATACTCAATGGGTGGATGGAGACATTAAATCTATAGTGGAAGGAGGAGGAGGGGATGGTGAACTGGTTGGAGTTGATGATACAGATTTTATAGTGAAATCGGGTGGATGAGCAAGAGCTAAAGATGACGCGCCTGGTCGCAAATTTGAAGAGAATGGCAATGCAAAGGAGCTTTTAACCTAAAACATCTTCAACAGATCAGTACCACAGATTTAATTGTCTGAACGAGATACGCATCGCTTCAGCCGAGATTCGCCCCGAATTCATGCTTCTTAGAAGACTACAAGGGGCTCCAAACGCCGTTTTTTAAACTCTCAGTCTTTGAAAAAGCGAATTACTTGCTTTTAAATAGACAGGAACGCAAAAAAAGCACAGAAATCCCAATAAAAATGACTGCAATCCCTAAAAAACGCGAAAGAAATGGTAATTTTCGGGTCGCCCCATCGAATTAAAGTTAAAAACGACGTTTAAGGTTTTCGAAAGTATTCTAAAGACTTTGCAGGAAATTTTAGTGATAATTAAAACAAATTAATTTAAAAAAATCTGAAAATGTGGTGAAACCTCCGATTAGTGGTGTTCCGCAAAGCACCACCGTACCGAAAACGTCAACTGGAGCGTGCGTACTGAACATTTTTCTGCCGCCTAAATCGAAAAATCTAATGTTTAATTATTCTGTTTTAACCTTATACTCTACACGTGTAAAGTGCGTTTTCTATGACTGGAGTGTTGTTAGCGGCTTTTTCCATACCTTTTGGTGGCCAATTAACTTCGAAAGTAAAACGCCGTAGCCCGGTTATCCACGAAAATGCTTTATTTCCCGCTTTTTGTAGCTTTTCTTTCTTTTTAATTGCTGCGCGCTTATTCTCGGGTACATATTCGTCTTTTTTTAGAAAGGCGCTGCTTCCGCTTCTCCCCGGTTTCATCGTGGCATCAGCGGAAAGGGAAGCTCGGCGAGAAGCTGCTCGCAGATTCTTGATAGCGGTTAGTCGTCGACCTTTCAACTTCTCCGTCCTGTTTTTAGGCTTGTTCTACGACTCGAAATCTGGGAGAATCTGGATCGCTCAAGGGTTGCGTCACCAAGAAAACGTCATTTCCGGCCGATTTCGTCAAGAAAATGGCATTCTAAAGGTTTGCTTTGTTTTGAAATCAAGCAATCCAGCAGGGGCAATTTGCGGAAATCTCTAACTTCAACTCTAGCGCTAGACTCAGAAGAAACACGTGTTTGCAAAAGATTTTTTCGCTACTTTTTGCTTTTCCAAAAGATTCTTGGTTCTGAAAAGGCCGATTTGGTCAAAAGAATGGGGATTTTACAGGTTTTCTTACTTTTGGACAACGAGCAGGCTAGCGGGGATATTTGCGGAAGCCTATATCTTCAACGCTAGCATTATTACTAAAAGAAAAGCGCGTTTTTCAATAACTGATGTCATCCCGAAATTCATAAAGTTAGATCTTGGATTTTAGAAACTTTTAATATTGTACTTGTTAAAAAAGCTTGAATTTTACAAACCGGCCGATATTTACAAAGCGCTCGAACGCTCAAATCTTACAAGTTACCCGATTTTGCGATTTTGAGAGCTCGCGGGTGGTAGACGGCGATAATGGCTAGGTTGAGTACCGTTCACTACTTTCACAACCCACAGAATAGCTGAATACATGTGTGCTTTAACCGGCCGGCGCCGCGTCACACGACCCAGCATTCATATTTAGATATTCTGTGGGTTATGCTAGCTAGTGGCGATGCCATGCCAGCGAGGATACCTATGGGAAACGGGGACCTTCGTGTTTATTATGATCGGATTTTTCGAAGGTTAGGGGTTTCTCGAAAATCTCGGCGGTTTAGCTGCTGATCGCCATGGAAAAAAAATAATACCTTATCATGCAATATTGATGCAGTTAGTTTTGGTTTTCTCAGCTGCGCATTAATGGTAGCGATTTAGGTCAATTTAGCGTCATTTTGAACTTTTCGGTTTAATTAGCTTTGGCCAGTTTGTAGGGATGATATATTGGAAGTTGACTTTTTACTACGCGTTAATAAACTCTAACACATACCTCTTTTGTAAAGCTATTTTACAGAACCAAAACGCTAATTTGCTATCGAAGCGTTTCTAGTTTTTTTTTTTGACTTTTTAAAGTCAAGTCAGCTAAATCGTAAAGCGCGATTTTAGATTTCTGGGTTTAGCGATTTTTAGTACTATATAATACTCTAGAAACCAGAAAAATAAAATGATTTTTGCCTTTAGATAGTCTCTATAAAATATTTCCGGTTTTTCTGGAACTATTTCTAGTGCCGAAACGTCAACTCTTTAGCTATCAAATGGTTTTTCGTCATTTCTGACTCCTACAAGTCTCTCCCCGGGGTCAACCGAACCTTAGAGCCTCCCCCGCTCCCATTGTAGCTTGTATTTTGTTTACGCCATTGCTTGTGTGTGCAAAAAAAAGCGAGTGCGGGGCAGAGATCTTGATAAATACACCTGCCTGCCCCGGTCCCCGCAAAGAGTCGACCCCGCTATTTCTTATCGCGCCCACCCGTTTTTCTCCTCAAAGAAAATCCCTCTTAAATATTCTGTCTTGGCTCTGCTGGTGTTTCCATAGCAACAAATTACGTTTCTGCCTGTTTTCAGGAATGGCTAGATTTCGAAACTTTCGGACCTTAACCTCAAAAACGCCCAAAAATCAAAAATCCCATATTTTCAGGCTTGGAAATGGCGACCGAAAGTAAACCGCTACTGGAGCAAGTTAAAAAGTAGGTTTTTGAAGACTTAGATACACTTCAAATTGTGTAAAATTTAACAAAATTTATTTTAGAGCCGCCCCAAAAATCCTTGAAGCCATTATCGGCTGGACGATCATCACTTTCTACACGATTCTTGTATTTTTCCAGTTGCTATGGAGCAGGTAAACCTCGATCTTGGCTTTTTAAGCTTTAATTGTAAACATAAGCTAAAATAAGGTTTAAAAACTTTAAAAAGGCAATTTTTAGAATTCGCGGTCACAAACTTTGCCATCGGGAACTACATCAGCGCCCGGAAATCCTGGATAAGGACTGGAAACATCATTATATTCAGCTGGCTGTAAGTAACAAACCCAATATATTTTTAAAGAAAATTGAATTGCTAAAATGACTCTATATTTTGAGTTTAGACGGTTCGCCTGCACTACGTTCAAGCTGGCGAGGACGATAAGCCGCTAATGGTGTTGATTCACGGCTTCCCGGAATTCTGGTATTCCTGGAGATACCAGTTGGAACATTTCCAAAAGGATTATCGGTAAGTATTTTAATTGATTTTAATGAAAACACTATTTTAATTCTAAAAAATACCATTTTCAGGGTGGTTGCCATTGATCAGCGGGGATACCACGAGTCTGATCGCCCTATGGGAGTCGCCGAATACACCACCAAGATCCTGGCTTCAGATATTGAGCAGCTGATCAAGAAATTAGGTATGTAAATATAATTAAATAATTATATGAATATATTCAGGAGAATTAAATATTAATTTAGGCTACAAAAACGCGGTGGTTGGAGGACATGATTGGGGAGCAATGGTGGCTTGGCATGTTGCTTTGAACCATCCTCAAGTAAGAAAATTATATGTACATCAAATACCTTAATAGTCAAAATTGAAAATATATAATTTAAAATAGATGAAAAATAATAATTACAAAATCTTTTTTTAGGTCGTCAAGAAGCTTATCATCTGCAACGTCCCCCATCCCGGTGTGGCCACGCATAATATGAGGACCAACTGGAAGCAGTTCTTGGCTTCTTGGTATGTTAAACATATTAATTAAACTACATTTTATTTTATGTAATTGTAAAAAAACTAAGTAAATCTGATACCTTATCTCAAATTAATGGTTTAGGTACATCTTCTTCTTCCAAGTCCCGCTCTTCCCCGAATTCCTCGTCTCCACTGAAGACTACAAAATGATGGAAGTTGTAAGTAGACCAAAATCGTAACTTAATTTTTTTAAATTTTGAGATGATGCGCGGTAAGAAAGGCGGACTCCGACTTCACCCGGAAAACTTTGGGCCTGAAGAAGTCGAGGCCTGGAAATACGTGTTTTCGCAGCAAGGTAGAGCTTTCGGCTCAAATTTTAGAATTCGCCTCTAAATTCAGGCGCTCTAACCGGTCCAATCAACTATTATCGAGCTGCTCTACGATATCCATCAAAAACAACGTTGAATGATATTGTTAAGGTATGAAATCATACCTTTGCGTTAAAACCACTGATTTTTAGCCCCCAACTCTTGTCGTCTGGGGTACCGATGATCCGTTTTTAATCAAGGTAAGTTGATCAGTCGTTGGTCTAGGCAAACTAGCAGAGATTTTTTAGGAAATTAGAATGTACCAATTAATTAATTAATTTATTTTGTTATTAGGTTCGAACATAAGTTCGCGCAATCGAACATTGGAAATTTTTTTTTGAAAATTTAGTGGCCAGATTCCGATGTTCCCTCTTTGCATTTATCTATTGGGTTCATGCGTATGTGGGACCAAAATTACAGGTTTTTAGCCCCAGTAGTTTTGAAGATTTTTGCGTTTCTCTCGAGTGCGCTTCAAATTTTTGACCCGGACATCTTTCCGAACCGCCATAAAGTCACCATAGGAACCGATCATCACTAAAATAATAAGTTATATCTATCAGCTGCATGCCGAATTAGCCTAAAAAGGAAGCCAATTTTGTTTTGTAAAGGCGGGCCGAAGCGATTTTTCATTTTCGCTTACATCTAGCTTTAAAAAATTCTAATAGGGAAGCAACGCGATTCCGTCTTACACATCGAATAGAGAATTTTATTGCATATCCGTTCATCCAAAACACATTTTGGTTCTTGCCCGTTTTCCGATCCGAAACTTACAAAGAAAGAAAAATATTGCGCGAACTTTAGTTCCAACCTAATATTTATTAATGTGTTTAGGAGGGCGCTGAACAATCCATTAGCTGCTGCCAGAACGGACGTGTCGCGTACGTGGAGGGTGCCTCTCACTGGGTGCAACAAGATGATCCCGTTGCCGTCAATCGGCACATTGAGGAATTTTTGGCTGAGAAATAAGCGTTTTTCTATTGTTTTTGGGTTACGGTAGTTGGGGGGTTGTTTTATGAAAAACGGGATTGTTTCATCAAAGACATTTTTGTTCTGATTGCTTAATAAATTATCGCATACACATTCAACGTGTCTTTAGATTTTTAGACACCTTTATAAAATGACCAAAGGGAATAATTAGGTCTAAATTTCTATTTTACAAACTACAATAATTTTTGTACGCCACGCAAAACGAAAAAATCTTAAAAAAGCTTCGCCACATCAAATCTGACAGCGTTTATTTTTCGTTTCTGTCTATAATTCCTTTAAAAAATCCCAGCGAACCTTAAACATTTTATATACTCAAATCACATTGTAATTCAATGATTTTTTGATTTTTGCATCTACCGTAAGGTTTTCCTTTATTTCTACAGTATGCTCTTTGAAACCGGTCACCCTTCCGGTGCTGTAGGTGATGATACCACAGTGGCTTCCCTCTGTCGTGACGCCCGGCGGGAATTGTTTGTTCAATTCGATCGAGCAGATGCTATCAGAATGAAACAGATGTCAGCATCCCCCCTTGCTTCCGTTCCGTTCCTTCCTCCCCTTCCACCCCCTCAGGGTTCCCCTCCGAATCTTCGAAGGAATCCATGTTTGCAGAAGGATCCGGGTGCCCAGGCCTAGAAAGTGTAATAGCAGCCCTTACGATGTACTTCCCCAAAACACCTCATCTTTAAAAAACATTCCAGAATCGAAATTCACCTCAAAAAGATATTTCGAGCCCATTGGCCACCCATTTCCAGCTGTTTTCGGCCGTGATCTCCGCGCTGACGTTTCGCGCGCGAACAATGGAAGACCACGGAACCGTCGAAATGGGACCCTCCAATCCCCCCGACTGCCAAAAGTGCCGGCGAACCGGGCGAAGAAGCCGCGAAGCCGGCGCTGGCCAGTTTATGGAGAGTGGCCCCCGTCTTGGTGGACTGCTGCTGGCCACTGGCATTCTTTGGAAATTGCAACAAAGGGGCGTGGGAATGCGGCGTGTTGTAAGGGAGAACGGAGACAGATTTTTTTGGGTGGAATGTGGGTTCCGGGACAAATTTTGATGGTTTACCGAAGAAAATTTTAAGCCTAATGGACTTTGAAGTTAGCTTCGCGCCTTGTTGAAGGTATAAAAATCCGAAAAATGCACAATTTTTGATGAAAATTAGGATTTTTTCTAAGCTACTGAAAGCATTAACCTAAAAACCGAAGCTTAACGATAGCTAGCCTTAAGCCTAGAGATACGTCAAGGCCTAAGCCTAAGTCTAAGCCCGAGCTTGACTTAAGCCCAAGCCTAAGACTCAGACAAAGCCTAATTCTAAGCCTGAGCTTCAACCTAAGCGTAAGCCTAAGCTTAAGCGAAACCCAAGTCTAACAAGGAGACGTTTTTAGGTGGGCACGGAGTTTCGTAACGAGACCTAGCTCATTCGAAACAGCTTGAAAAACTGAGCAAGTACCCGTTTTCCATTTCTGCGAAACGATAGCGATTGATTTTTAATAATTAAATTAAAGAATCAGCATAAATTGGTGTGATTCCCCTCGCGCGGAGCGATTTCCTTCATAGATCCCCACTGTCGGAAAGCCAGGCCCCGTCTTCCCTTCCCCATAGCGATTTGGCGCAGTCGGTACGGCGTTTGCCTCTCACGAAATTTTTTTGGACTGTTGTCAGTTCGACCCCTGAGCTTAGAATTCGTTTTGCTTTTTAATTCCTGAACACTTTCTAAACGTAGAATCTAGTCCAAAATTATTTTTTTTTTTGTGGTATGCCCCAAACCGGTAGCGTTGCACTCGCGTCTCCGCGATTGAAATCAACTGGCCCGCTTGGGCCTACACCGATGCTGTTCAGAACATATATGTAACGCATTGCGATAATTAAATTACAATAAATAATAAATTCAGCCTCCTAAAATAAAAAGCAAAACGAATTCTGGGCTCAGGGGTCGAACTGCCAAAAGGTCCAAAAAAATTTCGTGAGAGGCGAACGCCGTACCGATTGCGCCAAATCGCTATGGGGAGGGGGAGACGGGGCCTGGCTTTCCGACAGAGGGGATATCTTGAAGGAAATCGCTCCGCGCGAGGGGAATCATGCCAATTCTCCTAATTCTTTAATTTAATTATTAAAAATCAATCGCTATCGTTTCGCAGAAATGGAAAACGGGTACTTGCTCAGTTTTTCAAGCTGTTTCGAATGAGCTAGGTCTCGTTACGAAACTCCGTGCCCACCTAAAAACGTCTCCTTGTAAGCCGAGGCATAAACCTGAGCCTAAACCTAAGCCTATGCCGAGCCTAAGCCTAAGAATCTGCTAAGCCTAAGCGTAAGCTCAGCTCTAAGACCAAAACCAAGCCTAAGCCTAGCTTAATCGAAGCCAAAAACTAAGTTTCACCTAAACTAAACCTAAGCTAAAGCCTAAGGTTGGACCTAAGCTTAAAAACCACAATTCAAAAGCTAGAATTGCTGTTCGACTACGAAAGCTATACGACATTCCGCATTTGAGGGCTAGTGTAGTCCCGAAAACCAAACTTTTCAATTTTTACCTATCTATTAAGTTGTAAAAAAGTATAAAACCATGCCCAATCAATTAGTGTTACCAGTGGGTTACGGTAGTTGGGAAGCTCAGAAATTTGGTTTTGGATATCTTCTATGTTTAAAAAAAGTGACAAACCCATGTCCAATCAATTAGTGTTCCCAGTTCCCCAGCAGATCTCCCCCCGAGCTAGTCCCCCTGAGGGGATGGTAGATAGCGATGGATAGGAACGTTGTTTGCATTCGGAAGGAGCGCTCCCTAAGCAGTCGAGAGATGGGGTAGAGCGGATGGTCCGGGAATGCCGCTAAGCCGCACGCAAAACGGCTCAGGTCCCTCTCTTGGCCTTCTTCTTCTCTTGGCCCCCCTCCTCCCTCAATTCCCAAATGGTTCAAGGAAGCGGAGGTGTGCGCGCGCGACTTCGCGGGTGGTCTGCCCTCCGCAGCCTGGCGAGGCTATTCCCTCTGCTATTTTCAACACTCCCAAGTTCCTCAACTCCGCCCTCTCCCCCCTCCGGTCATAGTGCAGCTCATGCGGAAACGGACCGTCCTCAGGAAGGGCCCCCGCGCCGCCGCGCAAAAGGCGCTGCGCGCCCGGCTGCGTGAACCGCAAACATATCGGCGGCCACTGATTAGGACGGCCCGTTGTCTCTCTTTCTCTGCCCTCGCCTTTTCTACGGCTGGAACAATGGCCGCACAGCCGGAAGCGCAACGTCCACCCCACTACAATCAACGGCTTGGCGCCGTGCGGCGCGCACACGCTGGCGGGGAATTCCGTGGAATTCGTTTGGAGATTGTGGTGGCACGGAGGAGGGTGTGGGATTCTTGGAAATGTGGCGTGCAGGGTGCAGAACTGGAATGGGGTGCACGGTATGTAGAAAAAAGTAGATAGCGGGTTTGGTCTATTGCCTTAAGGGGATTGGCAGGCAAAAATGTGATCTACTAAAATTTGCAGAAATGCTTAACCTAAAACTATCATTAAAAATATAGCTGAGGAATTTTTAGGAACCTGATCTATCGCTAGCTTTAAATTCAGAATTGCTTGAAAGGGACGGGAAAGGCATCCTATGCAGTTTTTTGACTATGGATTCTATAAGGCTTCTACTGACACGCAACGTGCACACCAAAATTCCATTGCGTAATGGATGGCCTTCAGAATGGCCAAGCGGCGTGCGCTTTGCTTGTCGCGGGATAATCAGAATCCATAGCGAATCCATGACCAGAAAACCCATACTCGTGGCTTGCCAGTCCATTTAAACCTGAGGGAAAAGCAAAAAAAAATCAGTAGAAAGGACTTAAAAAGATTTACTGCTTTTCAAATAGCTAGACGCTGTGAGGACGTTGAAGTTATGAAAGGATATCCAAACCCTAGATTCGATTCTGGCAAAAGTAGACACCCAAGGGGCCCCAGACTTGAACCACGTCCTCAAACAGTACATGCCTCTTTTTTAAAACCCCGAGAATGTCATGTAATCCCCCACCCCAACTCCTCCAAACGACGTCAAGACCGAAAAGCGCTACCAGGTACCTGGTCGAGGACATCCCCCCTCATCCCCCCAGGGCTAAAAAGAAACCGCACCTCCCCTACCAGATGCCCCGAGTTAAAACAAACACCGATATTGAGGTTCACCAGTCCTTGAGTGGAAGAGCAATGTGTCCCGATGTGCAAGGCGGTGGTGCAAGGTGCCGACAAAGTGCCCGGCGGACAACTTTCAACACTTATCACTTGTCACGAGAAGACGGTTTCCGGTGGTGGGGCTAGCGACTGGAGTCCGCCTTTTCCTCGTCCTTCTTTTCCCCTTCTTCTTCTTCTTCTTTCTTCGACCAACCCCCCGGAGGCGACACCGTTCCCAAATAGACGTGCTTTAGGACAGATTTGGAGGAGAGCGCGGCCCGCGCTGCACAACCCTTTTGCGTGTCTGCGCCTCTTGAAATGAGGCTTCTCTATGTCGCCTTCGTCTTCTTGCTCTCCAGAGCACGGTCGACTCAAAATCCTGGACGGCCTTCTTCCCCTCTTTCCGGTGCGACCACCACCGGCTCGGGAATCGGGCCCACGACCTACAGCAGTCCGGGTGGTGGTGCTGGTGATGGTGGTGGATACGGAGTTGTGTAACGTTGTGGAATTTGGTGTAATGTGAAAAGTGGGAGTTAAAAAAGCCATAGTTAGGCTTCTAGGGGTGCTCCGGAACTTAGCTTCTGTCTGGAAGGGAAGAACGAGTTAGAAAAATCTGAAACTCACTTTTAAATGGCTTAATTTGTTCTGTAAAGGCACTGATAGTTCTAAAGCTCTGGAATGTAGCTTATAAATTGTGTACCTTGTTCAGCTCGCTGAGTTTTAAAGAGTCTTTGCTAGCTCGCCTAAGTTTTCGCTGTTTTTGAGATTTACTTAGCTCTCAATGACAAAAATCACTTCAAATATTAAAAATTCAATTTTTTTATTGCCTTTGCTCAGAAAAAACAACGTTTTAAAAGTGTGATAAGTGGTTTCCTCGTTTTAGAGCTGTTTTCAGAGCTCTACCGGCGTCATAACCTTTAATTTCCCTATAAAACTACCTTGAAACGTTATTGAAAAATTTGGTTTTAGTAGTTCTGGCATTTCGAGGCTTTTCAGATCTTCCCGCCTTTTGCTTTACCATCTAACTCCTCAGCTTAACGCTTAATTAGCATTAATGACAACCTTTGATACCCAACAAGTTCAACACGTTCAGTTTGAAAACAACCCGCCCCAAGGGCGAATGCATAGACCCTAAACCCAAAGAGAGAAAGAAGCGAGGACAGCACTCTTCCGCTCTGACAACAGTCTCGAAATGTGCGGTGGGACCTACAGCCGTGTGCTAGGGGGACCCATCCTCTCCAACCTGGCCCTCTCTTTCTCTCTCTCACTCTCCCTCTCTCTCTTTCTCTCTCTCACACACCTACAAACACACAAACGAACGCGGGAGGCTTCTATCAAAATTCCGTTGTCTGGGAATGCTGGCTAAACGGAAGGAGGAAATGAAGTCTGATGAAACATACATAAGTGTCAAGATGGATGGTGAGGTGCACGTCATCCTGGGTGAATCATGTTTTTGTGGGAGGGGGACGACTGGAAGGCAATGTTGGTTCGGGTGTCTTGTCCGGTTTCGGGTGGACGGGTCGAAGATGTGCGGCGGGAAATGTGTTTTGGACACTAGAGAAAGTCTTTCTATAAAAATTTTAGAAAACGCGGAGCGCTGGCTTCTTTATTAGATTGGCGACATTACACAGAATTGCAAAAAAATGGCTAAAAACTGTGGTAGTCATCTTAAAAAGGTGTTTCCGCTCCAACCAAAATACGTCAAAGCCACCCGTTCACGCCTGAAAATTTGAAACTATCACAAAATAGCGACTACGATATGGAAATATTACAGCAAGCTAGAAAACGGCAACAATTCGAATTTTACGGATTCGAAAATCTGCAAAATAATCAAAGTAGCTAAATTCCTAGCGAATCCGAACTTGAAAAACTCGTTGTCATTAATGTTCCTGCGGAAAAATTACTAGGAAAACAATTACAGATGGAAAGACTGCGATCGCGTACGCTACACTACGTTGCAATACATTACAGTACGCTGCCAGACGCCACGCTACAGCATGTTACACTACGCCTACAATATCTCACAAGATGTGGCTAAAACAGAATTTCAGAGCGTAATTCTACAAACTTGATGCGATGCCGCTAAAAAGCCATATAAAAATCTAGGGTCATTGTATCTAAAAAAATACAACATTGTAGTGAAGCCGTCTAGACGAACATCAACACGCCCCGTTTTCTCTTCCCCTTTCACCGTACTGTCTCCTAAAAATAACCACGTTCAGCGGAATCCTTTGCGTTTCCTTGCTCTCTCTCTCTCTCTCTCTATCTCTCTCTCCCGTCCCCTTAGTTGCACAACCAGGAAAGGAGTAGCTATTTGGGATTTGGGCTGAGTGTGGCTGGCGTATGTCTTCATCTTCATCTTCCTGTCTTTCTCTTTATCTTCTCTGACCCTGGATGGTGATTCCCAACTTTGAACAAGCCGTCCAGACACAAAGGGGGGCGGAGCCAGTCCCCTTATAGCAGAAGCTCGGGCCCAGCCCCTCCGAGTCTCCCCCATTCCACCACACACCCCTTTACCCCACCCCCTTCCTTCCCTCCACCCCCCGAACCACAGCATTCACCACAACATCACCCCCGCTCTTCTTGCTTGAGGACGGCTCTACCACTAGCGATGGCCCGAGTCTCCACTCTACTGCTCTTCACGGCAGCCCTCATTAATTACGGTGGGATCTCCTACCGAATATTCACTTATCTCGCCTTTTTTTTCTTTAGCTTATACACAGACCCCGGTCATCGGTGGATCATGCAAAGTCGGCACCGCTGATGTTCAGATTGGCGGCAAGCAGACGCAATTTTTCCTGAAATGCGAAGCCACCGCAGAGTAAGTAGACTTTCGTTTTTTTTTGGTATTTGCATAAAACTGGTAGCCCGCCCTTGTCTCAAGGTCTCCATTTCCTCTTCTTTCAACCACCACCAAACAAGGCACTGTCCCCGACTCAAGCGCAAACAAACCGTTTTCACAAAGAGTCGCCTGAACTTGTAGAAGTGGAATTGTCACCTCAGCTCAGTTCTATTGCCAATTTCCGCTTTTTCAGAAGCACGAACGGTGAGGGAGTTTGGGTGGTAAAGTCGAGGTCGGCTGCCTCGCCGACCGCCGCGCCGACGACGTCGGCCCCGGCTGAGAATACTCAACCCCAGCAGAGGCCACCCATGTTCAAGTATAACCCGAACATTTGCGGTGAGTCTTTTTCGAAGAATTCGCACTTTTCTCTTACAGTATTCACATTTTTTCTTATCACTCAGGCCGGTTTTTCTATCTTGTGACGCTACATCAGCTTTTCTTCTCATTTGAAAATTTCTGTAAAAGCAGAATTTTTACTTATTTCTAGTTCTGAAATTCTGAAAAACCTGAAATTTGCAACCAACTAGTACTTTTGTTACGTTTTCTAATTTTCATGAAGGTTCTCTCATTTTCAAGGTTTTTCAAAGTCTCAATTTTTATTGCCATTCCAAATTCCAATAACCCACATCCCAAACCTCCTTCAAATTCCTTCCATCCCTCCTTGATTCGAGAATATGGATGATCTAGCAAATAAAGAACCGGATCCGCGCCCCCCTCTTCTCCTTCCCTTTTTCGTCTCGGACACTTCCGCTTCGGTCCCCCTTTTGTGGTCCTCGCGCGTCCGTTTTGCGCCAATCGCCTTTGGCCCTGCGCGCGCAGGTTTTGCGCACCAAAAAAATGGGTCCCGCCAGTTGGGGAGTGAAAACTGTTAGAATCTGGCGGTTAGCATCGGATTTGTACTTTTCCGGGATTTCGATTTATTAAGCGATTTATGCAGATTTTGTATAATGAGCATTAGCTTTGTCTGAACTTCCGCTTCTGAGCAATCTTTATCTGTTAAGGGAAAAGCTATAAATAACGATATTCGTATTTTTGGATCTAATGACAATTTCCCATCCATTTAGACCCCCCTAATCCCTTCATCAGCTCCCCCTCACCCCCCATTGATCCATCCCAAAAAACACCAAAATCCCAAATGGGCGGTAAAGCCCTCCCGGCGACAGGACGAGGGTGTTCCCGATTCCTGGAGACGACAGAAAGTCTTGAGACCCCCCCATCCTCACCAGCCGGGGCAAAGACAAAGAAGCCTCTGTTTGGGTTCCCCTCCCGGCCCCTAGTCACTGTGGTGCTGAGGGAAGGGAAGCGCCCCGGGGGGAAAAAGCTCTCGTGGGTCTTGAAGCGCTGGTCACGACGCGTTCGGTGTCCACTCGATAGAGGACGACGCAAACAGATATGTGGGGGGAGGGGGGAAGGGCCCGAGGGGGGGACGCACTCAGCCGACTGTAGTCGCGGGCGACGCTGCTAGAAGACGCGCTTCGATCCAGACATTCTTTCCGGAAGCGGAAACATTTGTCTGAGGGGGAGATGAAAGGCGATAAGGGGGTTGAGAAGGTTTATAGATCCTCTTAAAGTACAAGCCCAGGCATTAGAACGCCTAAGCTTAAACGGTAAACGTCTGCTTTTCTCTCTCCCTCTCTCTCTCTCTCTGCCTCACTCTGTCTCCCTCTCTTTCCTAGTATCTCGCCATAGTGAGGCACATACAAAAAATATAGATAGATATATACACTTTAAGTCTATAAAAACCCTACTGTTTTTATCAACGGTTCCAACCTCTCCCCTTTTTCAGAGCAAGACAACGGTGCCCGCGAGGGCGACTCTTGCACCGTGTCGGCCACCTGCCTTCAGGCCAACCTCGACAATCCGACCACATTCCTCCAGTGCGAGCAGGCCTCGCAGCGCTGGATCAAGAAGTCGTGCCAGGACACCTACATCTTCAACTTTGAGCAGCAGGCCTGCATCGTCCCCAAGCGCAACCCCGGCAGCCTTCACCGTAAGTTGCCAGATTCTTTTAAAAGCTCCCTGATCCCTATTAACAACCTAACCTCCAACCCCCGCCCAGCTAACAAACCGTGTGCCCGGTGCGAGGATGGATGCCCGAATGGGACGACCTGCTCGAAGTTGAGCGGCTGCTGCCGGCCGCTGATTTTTACTTCGCCGAGGATGAAGTTCAAGGACTACGTTTCGGGATACATAGAAGCGGAAGTGATCTCCGAGTCCGGAAAAGAACCTGGGAAAGAATGCCTTGAGCTGAGCTGCACCACACCAGAAGATTGCCCACCTACATTTGCATGCGAGACTGGCACTTGCCGGTTGATGATCTGCCCAGTCAGTGCCGCCAGGGTGCGCTTCAAATGCAAGCATAAATATCACTGCCGGGCTTCCGAAGAATGCATCCTTGGCGGATGCTGCCCAAAACGGGAGATGAACTCGACAACCCCAGGAAGTGTAGATAACATGGATGTGTACCGATCGATTATGAGCACTATGCAGACGAGGCAATATTCAAAAACAACGACGACGATCCTTCCGATTACCACTACCGCTCCAAAGACCTCATACGAGGGAGATGAAGCGCCTTCAGAAGATGGCTGCCAGCTCGATCAGACTTTTTTGGGACAATGCTCTATGGAAAGTCCATGTTCTGATGAAGCTGAATGCAGAGACGGAAAGTGTTGCTTCTTGATGCAGGGTAGATGCGCGAATACGCTAATGCCACTTGCGTATCCGGCAAGCTGCAGTGAGGCTGAAGAATGCCCATTTGGATCTTCATGTGAAGAATCGAAATGCTGTCCGGCAGAAGAGGAAACGACTACAGCCACTGTTGCGACTACCACGATTGCGAGGAGGCCAAGAAAACCTAAAGCAAAGGTAATAATTAATATTTGGATATCTCTAACTCTCCAATTTCAGGATCCCTGCCTTGACTCACATCAATGTAACGCCACTTCACTATGTCCTCCGGAATTTACCTGTTCTCTGACCGGACAGTGCTGCCGATATTCTCAACTCTGCCCGGATCGCACGGTACCTGAGGCACTGTGTGGAGACGCTAAAATCTGCCCGAGCGCCGAACATGCATGCATGCGGCTTGGGAAAGAACACTTTGCGTGCTGCCCATCAGGTAAAAGGTTTATTAAAAGTCAAAATCATTTATTTTAGATAACAGCTCTGGGATCGAGAGGCTGTCGGAAGAAGATATGATGGAAATGGCGGTTCCGCGAAAGTTCTTCGATGAGAAACGTCTCATTAAGACCCGTTTTGGCAAGCGCGGAAGTTGCCCAACAGGCAGTATTCAAGTAAGAATATTCAAAATTATTAAATTGTTGTATAATTCCAGGTTCCGCCTAAAATCGGGAGACTTTGCCGACTCAGCATTCAATGCCCGTACCCATATTACTGTACCCGGAAAGGAAAATGCTGTACAGTCGAAAAATGGTAAAAATTAATTCACAAAACTTTACCTGGTTTTTAGAAAAATTCCGCCAGCCACTTGCCCACATCGACGATCTCGACATGCCTTGCCTAACCCCGTGCCTTTGAATATATACTAATAAACCTAAAACTAAAAACTGACTAATCCAACTCCGTATCATGCTAACAATATAAAATAATTGAGATTTATTAGAGCCTTTAGATGTCATTACTTTCAGGTCAATCCACCTCCGGACTTGTCTGCACTTTCTCCTCGTGCTCAAACTCGAACCCGTGCTCATCCGGAACCTGCAACAACGGATACTGCTGCTCCTCCGGCTCGTCCGCTCCCCAAATCATTGGTCCGTATTTATCACCATTTTTTGCTTCTAGGCATGACCCACAATATGCACCAACACACATCACCCAGCACCTAAACACCGCTAGTGTTACTGATTCAGTTGATTTTTGTTTTTGCTAACGTCCCTAACCGCTTCAGGCCTTGAGCACCACAGGGTGAAGCGCGTCAAGCGGTCGAAGAAGCCGAAGCGGAAGGTATCCAGAAATCCCGCCAACTTTCTCGCACCCACCGCTGATTGGCCGATTGGTCCGCCCGGCTATGGATTTCCGGCCGAGATCGCGAAGCTGGATTCGGTGCTGATCAAGGCGCGCGGGGATGGGAGTACGCTACCTTCCAAATCACCCTTAATCCCAGAATAACCGTCTAGATGTTTGTGCCGGCGGATTTGAGTCGCCGATAGCGTGTGGAACGGCTGGGCTTGAGCCGTGCCCAGTCGGGTTGCACTGTGATGAGCTGCTCCATGTGTGTTGCCCCTTGCTTCTACCACTTATCGATACGCGCAACCCGGTCCGATCAATCGAACTTCCGACTCCTACTTACCATACTCGGCTCGACGGGTTCCGAATCGAGCCCGAGTCGGGACCCATCCGTATGCACTCACTCTCCAGGAAGCCAGCTAATTACCGTAATCTTTGCACAAATTACACCCTTTTTGCATGAGCATGTTCTGCACATTCACTTTACTACCGGAAGATTGCGTTAGCTCGGTTTTCAAAACCAAAAGCTCAAGCAATCCTCTCTTGATATTTCGTGCCGTTTTCTTTGGTTTCTTTTGTTGACAGTGTGCTGTTTAGTTGCTCAACCTAGCAGCTCTTGCAACGGATGCCAGCAGGCCCCGCAAATCATCTCCATCCGTAAGTGTGCCATGGCCATAATCCCTCAGCTTCACTAATCGGTCGATGCCAACTCGAAGCCGTGTGTACCCCTTCCTAAAACACACCTAAGCACTTTTTGTTTTGGCGCCGCGTAACATTTTTAGCCAGCTGCACCCCCGGATGCCCCCGGGGTTACTCGGGGTGTTGTGGGACTGCTCGAGCGAGTTGTTGCCTAAGAGAGGCGTGTCCCAAGGGCACTATCGCTTCCGGCCAAAGATGCTCTACCGGCTGCCCCTCCGGCCAGCTCTGCGTTGCCGGCGTCTGCTGTGCTACCCTCGCTTACCAGCCCTCGTGTACCGTAACCGAGTTTTTGGTTAACTTCCGTCCACAAACCCCTGGCTGTCCCGCAACGCTGTTCCCCACTATCTTCCGAGTTGATTGCATTTCAGCTTTACTGTTTGCTGTGCTTCCCTAATACTTTCAATCTTCATCTTTCCCCCAAAACTCCCTTCCAAAGCCCTTCTTTCAGCTGTCTGCCCTGGTGGTGGATCTTCTCTTGGCAGCTGTGGCTCGACTGGCTTCTGCGCCACCGGATACCAGTGCGTCCAGGGATCTTGCTGCCCCTCGTACAACCAGCCCTCCATCTCTGTCTGTAGGTCTCCAAATTAAAGCTCAAATTAATTTTATTCCGCAGTGTCTTGCCCTGGTGGCGGACAAGCCGTCGGATCTTGCATCTCGGGAGGTTGCGCCACCGGCTACTCGTGCTCTTCCAACAACCAGTGCTGCCCGACCACCAACCCCTTCGTCTGCAATGACGGCACCCAGGCTGCCGGAGGCTGCGTGAACGGCCAATGCGGTACCGGATACACCTGCTCCAACGGACTCTGCTGCGCCTCCACCTCCAGCTCCCCGAAGTGCCTTGACGGAACCGCCGCTGTTGGTGCTTGCATCCCATCGTGCACTGGCAACGGATGCGGAGGAACCACCCTCTCCTACTACTGCGGATCTGGCTACACCTGCACCACCGGAAACATTTGCTGCCCAACCCAGAGCTGCCCAGATGGTGGTGAGCCAATCGGACCGACTGTCAACGGACTCTGCCCAACTGGCTACACCGCTCAGGGCAACCAATGCTGCTCCGTTGTTGCCACTTGCTTGACCGGGGAGGAGAACATTGGACTTCCGATCAACGAATTCTGCCCGGCTGGATCCACCCTTCGTGGAACTGTCTGCTGCCGTGCTGCTCTTGTCTTCGCTGCCGACTGTATCCCGACAGTTCAGCTCGCCAACGCTGGATGTGACGCTGCCGGAGATGCTTGCGGAGCTGGCGGTACCGTCCAACTTGGATACGCTTGCCGTGATGTCGACAGCAGCCTCGTTTGCTGCCCGCTCGTTGACTACACCGTAAGGATTTTGAAAATTTGTAATAACAAATGATAAGCGCCAGGTCCCTTAGAAAACACAGCTGTTTTCAGGACACCAGCTGCATCATTGGACCAGTCATCCTCGATAGCTGCCCTATTGACTACACTGCCGTCTTTGTCAATGGCGAGAACCAGTGCGTCGCCCTCTCTTGCAGTAAGTTTTAATGAACCCGACGCAACAACATTCTTTCCAGTCAGCGGTCTCTGCGATGCGTCTGAGCAGTCTGGACCTTGCGTCTCTGATGAATGCCCCACTGGTTACACTTGCAATGTTTACGCTGGAGTAAGTAATTCTAGGATTTTCTATAAAAAATTCAGGTGTGCTGCTCTGACTCTTCAACTGCCCTCATGAGGATGAGCCGTCTGAAGACCAAGCCAACCATCGTTATGCCACCCCGGTCCATTTTCTCCAGGCCCGCACCTCAAGGTAGGCTTGTTTCCACTTCCCCAGTATCCTTTCTTCAATCCCAACAAAATTACCGCAACCCCCAACGCTTTTTTCCACATTTTTGCTGAGTAGGGCATTCAACGCCGAAACACATTCTCAAAAACCGGAAACCCGGATGTTGATTGGCGTTCGTGGTGGGAATGCGCTTCGGTGCCAAACGCTTTAACCCAAGCTTCAACCACCCCCCAGTATTTGCGATCAGTTTCCCTGTGGGAACCTACCGGTCATTGCAGCCTGCCCGAGCGGGGACGAGCCCGTCTCGGCATGCATTAATGGGCTGTGCGGTGCCGGCCTTGAATGCTTCAACAACAAGCTGTGCTGCCCCGCCGGCACGAATCCATCGTTCGGATCCCGGGAAAATCTGCATTCCCTGCTGTCCGCTGTCGCCACCCAGAAACCCAAGAGTACGTGTGCTATAACCTGACTCGGTGGAGTTGTGGTGGTGGATGTTGGTGAAATGGAGACCGGAAGGAGCAACCAAGCTCGAGATTTCACCTCCATCCCCACCACTTCTTCTACCGAATCCCGTAACCCTTGCCGAGCCCTAACCCTTGTTGCCCCTTCAGGGTTATGTCCGAATGGCGAAGAAGCGCTGAGCAGCTGCTTCCCCGATGGATCCTGTGGAGAAGATCTCATCTGCCTCGGCGGAGTCTGCTGTGGGACGCCTGGCCTCCAGTTCAGCCAAGCCAAGCATAGTAAGTGGCGGGATGCGCGTAACCCACCCCCTTCTGCAGAATGTGGCTTCTTGTGTTGTTGCCCCATTTGAGTTCAAACTTCATTTTGCCGCAGCTAACTAAAAAGCAAATCCTATAATCAGCCTGCCAACGCACAACCCAAACCCTTATGTTCCCGCTCCTCCTCACGCCTGAACTACTAAAATCGCCCCCCGTGATATTCTTGGTAGACTTGGAATGGCACCTCCAACTGTCGGCCATCTCTTCACACCGGCCATTCAGGAAACACCTCGATCGGAACGTCGTGCTCCTCATCGCAGCAGTGCGCCGGATTCACCGAGGGTCTGTCGAAGTGCGAGCGTCGCGTCTGCCGCTGCACCTCCATCGCCTACGCCAAGGGAATCGCCTGCGTCAGGAAGAAGATGCTCAGTATGTTTTCTGGTCTAACATTTGATTTTGACGCTTCTGGATTTCGTTTTTCTCTCTGCACGTTAAAAACGGAGCAAGGTTTAGTTGCAAAATTTCTACTGCTTGGATTTCGTTAAAATACTAGACCCAGGTGTTCCAAAAAAATCTCATATTTTAGTGTTCAACGACGAGCCGATGCCAGTTGACTCGAACTCGGTGATTGCCGCCGCCCCACCCAGCTAGACGAGGTCCAGATATCATGACGTCATCCCCATCGATCGTCCAGCTTCTCCATCCTAACTGTGATCGACAACCCGTTAGCATATTTATTCTATCTATTCAATTCGGCACCATGTGACGAACCCGTTCGTTCAACCAAAATCTCTCCCAGTCATCCCCGTAATTCCATTGTTGGAATGCCCCGCTTATACTCGGTGCCAAAAGTTTTGGCACAACGTCTGGCGGCTTCTTTTATAATGCTCTAAACCGGAACTCTCTATTTTGCCATAAATGTCTCCTGGTTTTGGACATTTTAAAAAACTAGCCGCCCCTTTTACATCGTTTTTTCTTCCGCTTATTCTTGCAAAATAATTATATTTTACCCTTGCGTCTTTCATTTCCGCCGACACGACCCAACGTGTTGAAAACCCTTCCCCCCACTCAATTTTCGAATAAATCCGTGAAGCTCAAAAAAAAACACCAATTGGTTCTGTGACAAAATGGGAAAACGTAGTGGTTTACTCCTGGTAGAGGGAGTAGGGCTCCAGCTTTTTCGACACGCTTTGAAATGCCAAACGTCTCACGTCTCACGTACGAAATCAAACAAAAACAATGTGTAGGAATTGCCGTGGCATGCCTCCTGTTTGTTTCCGCCTATTCTTCTATCTCCTTTCCTGACCCGATAAATTTACGACTAATAGTTCATTTTGTGCTTAATAAATGGTAACTAGTGTGTTGTGAAGACTAACATAAACTTACAAAGAGGGACTATTGATTCCCGGCAAGCAGAGAACTATGAAAACCAGAGTTGACTCTGATAGCCGCATTGCAGTACCTACTAATCAAACGACCGGAACAAGCGGTAGCCTCAAATAAAGCTATAAAGCTATTCGTACAACCAAATAAAGCTGAAACCTCACTAGGCGCGGAATAGAAAGTGTAGGCGGGCTGACAGACAGCGTGGCGGATCAAATAAAACATCGAACCGGCAATATTTCCTGGTATAACGTTAGTGCAAGCTAGGCGCGGCTCCCTGAAACAAGTGTAACCGGGGCAGATCAGCAATAACGCGGAGCAAACGAGCGCAAAGTATTTAGGTTCCTTTAGAAAAACTTCCCAAGAATCGGTCATTTTTATTTCGAGGCACTTCTGCAATCCGACGAAAACTATGTGTCTGACAACACGAGCATTGATCAATGAAACTTTGATTTTGCCGACTTTTCTGCCAATAAACCCCAGGCCGAAAATTAGAGAAAACAATAGCATCCGCTTCCTACCTAAACCATGAATTGTGGAAATTACGAAAATTGAGTAATTTTTAGAGCAAAGCGTCATACGTAACAAACTGTGAACCTCTAACAGAACAATCTGAAAAGAATGTAGAATCCGGCTGAATCTAAAATAAAAGAATCGTCATTAACGCATTCAACGGCCTGTGGATATTCAGGGCGTTAACCCGCTCAAAGAAAACTATACAAGCCAACATACAAAATTATTTATTAAAATTATCACTAATATCCGTAACAAACAAAAATAGGCGTTAAACAATTTTAGAATTCGGGGGCTTCGAGGTGTTGTAGCTCGGGTTGAGGCGAGAAATAGACGTCAGGTGGCAGGCATGCAACGAATTTTGTAGTAGCGCCGGGAGCCTGCACGACAATATCGGTATCCTGGCCCCGAATGTTGAGCACCTTTCCGTCCTCTCGTACCACCTGTCCGCGAATTATTCCTGTCGAATTAGTGGCCAATGCATACTTCTTGGCCAGCTCGGGAAGCGCCATTTCCATAAAACCGAGATTATCGTCCGGATAATCGTCTTCAAAAATATCAACGACTTCGTAGTACCATCTTGTATAGGCTTCATCATTATGCGCCCATCCCCTCGGCCAGATCCAAATTGTTTCAATTTCTCGATGGCCGGTCATCCAATCGTCGATGAAGTTGAAAATAAGGTCCAACAATCGTTCGTCCGCCCTCTCCGTCCCAAAGGCAAGTTTTGGGGCCTTGAAATCGAGCAGCACCTGTGCCAATTGGAATACTTTAATTTGGCTAATCCATATCGGACATTTCAGCGAATCCAGTTCTTCCAATCCGTTTACCCAGGCGGATAAATGGATATATTTCGGCGCGAGGGATTTGAGAAGATTTGCATCGAAGAAGGCGGAACCTCGCAAATTGAAGAAAATTAGGTTGGTGCAGGTGAACGACGGCAGCTCTTTTACTTCATCTGCATAATCCCGGGAATTCTCGAATAGTACGGTGTTCACATGGCGTCCATCAAGTACGGACGGATTTTCGAGTAGAGCCCACTTGTTTTCTTGATCGCCGACCAGCATTTCCAATGCATACGTGGGGATTTTTACACATTCAACAGTGACTTGATGCCCGAGGGTGGCGAGTCGATTGTGGCAGTTCTCCACTTCGAGTAAAGTTAAAAGATCCAGCGGCTCGAGAATCGGGACGACCAATTCGATGGGCAACTCGAGGAGGCTGGTCGTTGAAGCAATATCGAGGCCGCTTCTTCTAACCACAACATCGGTTTTGCCTCCAGACATGGTCCCGTGTTAGGGTCAATGTCCGGTCGTCTCCTGCAAAAACAGTATGAATTGTGCTGAGAAAACCTGGGATACCCGAACGAAAATGAAGCCAGTGATCGAAATGAAAGAGCCTAAGTTCTTGAAGCGAAAATATCTTTGCCTAGATATGGTAAAATCTTGGGGTAAGTGGCGTCAATGGATAAACATGGATGACGAAGTAAGGCTAAGCGTTTAGCTTCTTTTTACGTCAATTTTTCAACATATTTTTGAAAAACGGGGAAAATATTGCGCCGCTTTTTTGAAAAAGGACAATAAAAGAGAAAAAATGGAAAAAAGCGCGTAGTACGGATGCTCCAATTTGCAAAATGCGGCAAGAGGAGCGGTCGGAACGAGCGTCGCGATTTTTCGGCGGAGGGAAAAGTCAAGCCTCTGGCTAAAAATTTATTATTCTCATTCATTATTACTATTATTTTAGGTTTATTTACTGAAAATAATGACTCCTAGATCATAAGCAGCTATTGGCTCAACAGTGACAAACATTTATTGAGGTATTTATTGAGGGATTTGAAAGTTTTGGGTTTTAAACCAAAAGTTTTGGTAAATATAGCGATACATTGTAATAAAAGAGGTGGTTTATTAAATGAACCTCGTTTTCTTTGATAATGCGTTGTTGGTAATGAGTGAAGGTAAAGCAATAACTTGCGCAGGAGGGTCTGTTTTTGCAATTTGGCCTGTTTTAGTTTATTAGGGCGCGAATTTTTTTGCATTTATTGTGGTTTGCAGGCGAGTAGTTTGAGGTTTTGTGCGTATTGACTGATTTGGCAGTTTTGTAGTTTTTAATGTCATTCATTCTGTGTTTTTGTGATAAGTTACCCTCGATTTCGTCGTTTTAGACCTTCGCATTGCCAGTATCTACGTAAGGTTACCCTATCAAAGCAAATCCAATGACAAATTCGATTTTCAAACTCATAATTTAGAATATTTAAGTGTTACCAGGGTTGAAAAGCCGCTTCGCGACTGACCCGTCTGATCCCATGAAATTCTGCACTTTACATAATTTTCACGAATTCAGATGACAAAAAAAAATGAAAAGCACGTCCTCTCTCCCCTTATATGGGCGATTACCACTTCCGGTGTATGTTAATTGATTCCTAACAAAGAGGGTCCCTGAAAATTTTAGAAAAACTTAAATTGAACGTTGTAGATAGCTGATTTTGTAAAATCTTTTATATGTGCAGTCATCTCGAGGCCATTACGCATCTAATGACGTATCAAGCATACCTTAAAAACCATCCTTTTCCGAGATATCCTCCGGACAGAATGACGGAAGTTGCATGCAAAGTGGCACGGACACACACACAGACACTATTTTTTTATATATAGTAGGATTGCTTGTTCTTCTATTGAATCGACCCTCAAAGTGCTCCGAGATGTCACGTTACAACCGTCAGCGTCAGATAGACAGCCTTGAAAACAAGCAATGTTCAGGTGACCCGGGGACTATCTGCAGCTCCAGGTGTTCCACCCTGAAAAGCAGCTGTCTCGAAGCTTCACCTGTCGTAACCAGAAGAGTGGGCTGCCGAAACCGGGGCGCTGGGCTAATGAAAATATTGGGTGATTGGGATTGGAAAATATGGGAGGCCTTGCCGTGGGTTGTAGCCCGTGGCGACATCCATAGTTGATGAAGTGTGTCTGCAAAATTTGAAGAAAAGTTCAAGTGTAAGGGGGGTGGTGTTTGATGGGAATCGAGATTGTTTATAGGTGATAAATTTCCATTGAATTCCACTAGGGTTTTCCCCAAATCGAAATCTAGTTGAGTGATGGCAAGGAGACGTTTTTGTGTCTCCACGGTCTTGAGTCTTGGAAATGTGAACAAGTCGAGTTTGTGCAGTATTTTGGAAAAGACACAGCAATCTGTTGCGCAAATTTCTTAAACAGCTACCGCTTTTAGAGCAGATTGTGGCTTTTTTCTAGAAGATTCTAAATCCTCCAGCACTATGTTGCATATTGTTATTTGTCAAAAAAGCGAAGCGCTTAGCGGACCAATCCGTTGGCCCTGGAGACGTTGTTTTGATTGATGCTGGGGTATGTAGAGATTTTGAGGCTTTTGGAAAATACTTTCAGACAAATTTTGCACCGCTGTTTTATAAGCTTCATCTCAAATATATTAAAGCTTCGTCATTTTTCCAGTTCCGCCTACCACCTAAATTTATTCACCTTTCGATGTACACCTCCCGAGCTGCCACTCCAAACTATAGTTTCCCCATTTCCGCATCAGTTCCCTCTAAAGCCAGCTGTACCCTGAAATATCGTAGAATGGCATCATCTCAGCGGGCGGTTAACACGGCATCCAAGCTTTCTTCGCCCCCAAGGGCCCCTCAGAAGCCAGGTGAAAGCATAGATGGGCGGGGCCCAATGGTTGGGCCCCTGGGCCCTTGCCTCTAGGGTCCCTTTCTCACTCATTCCTTTGAGCGGTCCTCCGGATAAGACATGCAGCCGGCGCTCTGTCTTTTTGCTGCTGCTGTGCTGCTGATCAGCGTGCACGCTTACGGTAGGTTGGGTGTGACCTAGGGTGTTGAAATTTAGGCTAGCTCAAGGGGGTTGAGGTGCGTTATAAGAAACGTAGAAGTTGTTACTGTAGATGTTGACCGGCTGTACTCCCGCTATGCGCAACTCATTGCAGAGGAGCCATTGCTGTGTCAGCAGCAGCCGCAGCTCTGCTCCAATCTCTACCTGCATCGTATGGTGCTCCCACGGTTCAGCAAGGGTACGGTTTTGGAGTTTGTAGATTGTAGTTTGTAGTTTGTAGTTTGTTAAAATCACATCTTAATAAAGGATCGCAGTTGAAATTCGTACTTTATAGGTATTATCGTTTTAATGGTACTGGCAGCTTGAGAGGCTTCAAAGTAATATTTCTTACTACTGCTAAAGAGATAGCTCTCTGTGCCTTGATTAAGTCATATACAGGGTGTCCCAAAAAAAAAACGACCCATCTGGCATTTCGCCGGGTTACATCCAACCGGCCCCAAATTTGGACCAGAGGTGTATCAGACCCTAAATAACAACAATCCTGACTTACAGCCCCGTAGCTACAGTCGTTCTCGAGTTATGGCAAAAACAAACTTTATTTTCTATTTTTCATAGGGTTTTCGTGGAATTAGACCCCCTAAACATTAAGTGAAAATGATCCGGTAGGCCTTCTTTACCGTAAGAAATTTTTTCCAGAGTAAAATTAATTAAATAAGCTTCGATATAAGCAATTTTTACAACGCAAAACTACCCCAGATCATAAGCGAAATTAGGGATTCGCAGCCGGAAGTCGATGCAAATCGATGCAAAGTCCAACAAGATAGCCGAAAAAACTGTTCAGAATTCCGGGAAAAACAGTATTTTCGTTATAAATTTAAAACTACTGTAGCTATGGGGCTGTAAGTCAGGATTGTTGTTATTTAGGCTATGATACACCTCTGGTCCAAATTTGGGGCCGGTTGGATGTAACCCGGCGAAATGCCAGATGGGTCGTTTTTTTTGGGACACCCTGTAGACGCACCTCTAGGTTAGAGCTTTTCGGCACTTCCGGTTTCCCCAAAATTCCATATTTTTTTAGCTATATCAAAAACTAATGAGACGCTATCTATAGTTATAGCCTCATTTTCAATCAAGCTCCCTCCTGAAAATCCACCTGCTCTGCCCTAAAAAACAAAGTCTACTGTATTTCCCACTTCTACCTTATGACTTTCCTGTGTTTTGACATCAACCCCACAAAATAGCCATTTCCTGGACGTTGGGGCTCCGCGCGAAGGAGGAACATTTTGAGCAGAGGTGGTAATTGGAGGCTTAGCGCCGGGGAGCAACATCCCGAACCACATTAATTAGTCAATGTCTGAACTTTTCCGAAGCATTGCTGCTCAAAATGAGCATTGTTTCGTGAAATTGCTTGCGCGCGAGAATATTTGATGCATAGAGGTGTTGCAGGGCAATTGTTCCGCGCGGCTAATTTTTGACATTTCCAGTTCCATCCAAGCGGGCTTATGACTTTGTGCGCTTCGGTCGCTCGGATCCGTCGTTGGGAAAGGAGAAGAAGAACAGCTACGATTACATCAGGTATTTTCGAAGGATGTATAAGTTTTCAGTCGTTTTTTTGAAAAGTCAGAAAACCAAAAAATTGTATCGTAATCAATGGTTGGCGGGTTTTCGCTTCGGGACCACCCACAGGCGGGCGATCTCATAAAAATTAATGTTTCTTGCGGAAAAAGACCGGGAAATCGGATCTCAAAAATTAGAAACTGGTGAAACTACTAGTGGAAAAACTTGCTTTATTAGGGCTTAGTTAGGCTACAAAATTTTATATAGAAAAGTTGAAGGATTAAAAGCCTAAAAGCACGGTTTTACAAGAAAATTGATGAAATCGATATCTTGGCCATAGTAATCAGTTTTCGGATTTTAGAAACATACAAAAAAGCTTATCAGTAAAGTCGTGGGCACGCTGGCTACCAAACAGCAATAAAATTGAATTCTTAATAACAGTAACGTGCTTTGGTATTTCAAAAACAAAATCGGAGATTTTTTTAAACTCTAAGACTGAATTGTAACATTTTTTTGAGATTCGGCAAGCGATCCTCACCCTCCGAGCTCCCAGCCCTCGATCAGGGTTTCTAAGCCGCAAAACGAGCTTGAAAATGGGTAGCTTCATCCCCTCAACAAGCCTCCGTCCTCCCCCTTCCCCCTTCCCAAAACCGAGCGTCCATCCCGGAGAACAGCCTCCCGTTTATTGTCCTAGTACTCCGTAAGAACGGCCATCAAACAGGCATTCCCCTCGATTGAACGCCCGCTCTTATAAGGCTCCAAAATATTCCGTCTACCCCCGGTTATAATGTCCCCTTGAAATATCCAATTCTGACACGTGTACATCGTAGTCTTGTCGGCGATAAAACAGATGGCAATTGTGAATAAAGGATTTCTGTGTTTGCGGGGTATTGTTAGGTACTTTAACAGCACCGGCACGGCACAGATATGGGTGTTTTTGGCCTTAGAGTCGCCTAGCCGCGACACGCAACGCAAGCCGCTGGTCATACACTAAAAAGTCTTAATTGTTTACGTAAATGCAGAACCGTCCTGAAGCGTTGTGTCCCGCGGCAAATTCTCTATGTTTTCCAATGGCCGCGATACGCAACGCGCGCAAACCGAACGTGTTAAAGGTTCGTAATTCAAGGTGCAGATGAATATAACTTGCGTGCGTGTTGCATGCCGCGGTCGTTTTCTTATAGCATGCACCGCGCACGTAGGTGTATGCGTCGTGTCGCGGGTTAAGCCAGGGGAAATCCACAGCGTAATTGCCTTGTCAGTCCCTTTAAAGAAGCCGTGAGAGCAAGAACAAGCGGCTGACTACGTGCTCGCTAAAAATGATGTTTCCAGTAAGCTTCACGAAGTGAGCACCAACTTCCGGTAGTCGCCATCCCAAAAAGCGCTCCCTATTTTCTTGTCTCATCATTGTTCCGCTCCCTGAGCCACTGCAAAGGGAGTGAGCGCCAAAGATATCCTTTCTCACTCCCAAAAAATGGAGCACCAAATAAAAACACGGTAGTGCTGTTGCTGATCTGCCAAGCCAAAAAATGTAAAATTGAGATTCAATTGATTTATTAGCAATTAAAAAATGTTTAGCGGTGGAGGCAGTCGGTGTCCTTGGTGTACAGAGAGAGTTCGATAGTTTGAGCATCATAGACCTAGAAAATTAAACGAATTATTGTTTTTCCAATAATTTTCATACCTGAGAAGGAGAGCCGCCGTGGCTGACATAACGGTCGGGGATGTTGAACGATCCCTTGAAGGTGCAGGTGGGGACGAAGCGCTTGAGCTGAAAAATTTGGAGATTTTATAGTTTGTAGCTTGTATTCGGCTTACCAGCGGGAGGGTTCCGCACTTGTGGTAGAAGTTGAACTTGGTCTTGATGCCTCCCCATTCGGCCTGTCTGCCCTGGAGACGGAAGTGGCCTCGGGAGTCGGTCTTGACGGAGGCGAGCTTGTCGTCGAAGACTGGAATTTGGCGGTACTTTAAATGATTATATCTATGCTTTGGAAAAGTCTGAAATGCTATGTATTTAGAAGTAGCAAGTCGAACCTCCAAGCTATCGTGAATCGAGGATTTTAGGCGATTTTCTTATAGATCTCGAACCCAAACTAATGTTCAGTTAATGCTTTAAAGATTTGCTTTTATCTTTGCCAAAAAAAACCTTTAAAGGTGATCAGAATATGAAAAACCTAATTTTTGGTATTGTAGTAACACGACCTGTGATTGAAATTATCAGTTTAGGAGTTTTCCTTACGAATTTAGGCAAATCCTTAAGGTTTTCCGAATTCTACCCGGGTTTTTGAAATGGATTTGGCAAAAACGTAATTTTTTGCGTTAAGTATCTATCCTCTTTCTGCCTTACGAATACCTTTAAACCCTAATATAAATACTTACGAGAATCCCTCTCGTACAGCTTTACCAGCACCCCAGAAGCCGGCTGCCCATCACACTTCAGAACTCCCTCAACGGCCACCGAATCCTCGCGGGCCCAGCAAACGCACAGCACCGCTCCGAGCGCCAAGAAACGAAGCATTCTAAGCTTATTTTTATATTAAAAATAGTTAAAAAATTAGAGCACAGGAAATAGACGTAGCCATCAAACAACAAAACCCCCACTGCCCTTCCAAGTTCCGGTGGGGCAGATACCACGAAAATAAGAAAATGTTGACAGGGGCGCGGCCCCGGGATATATCAATGGCTGGATCCACCGTATTTGCCGAGTTGAGAAGCAGGGCTGGCCTTGAGCAAGAAGAGGAGCAAGAGAATGGAGGAGGAGCTGATGAGGAGCAGATAACCGGTCATCCTTTTTCTATCTAAAGTAGTTCAGGTCAGGGCTTTTCACGGTCAAACATTTGCCTAGGTGGGTGAAAGAGCGGGACAATTGGGAAGATGTTTGTTAGGAGGTGTGAGAGGAAACTGATTTCGGGGAGATTGTGAATTGGAGGGAAGACATTTCCAGAAAATAGATATTTTTGGGGGAACAAGGAATGGGAAGGAAATTTGGAGAAAAATAGACCTGTGTCGCTTGGCTGACAATGGAAGTGCACCGCCTTATCTTGGATTTTGTATTCAAAAATAAGTTTATGTTATAAAACCGGCAATGGGGATTCCGAATCTGTAAACAAGATCTTCTAAAAACTACGCACACGAAATTTACAAAGGCTCAAAGCTGGCCACATTGTCGAAAAAGAAGACTTTAGATCCAAGTAAAACCCGAGACCCGGAATTAGCCAGGAAAAAGTATATCGTAGGAATTACGGCCTACTTACGGTATTGGGTAACATTAAAACCTATAAGATTTTTGCGTAGGGCCTAAGAATAGGCATGAATTTGCCGGTATTTGATTTGTTTTGTATTGATTCATCGTGCTTTTATTTTCACGCTTTTTGAATGGGCTACCTTTAGCTTTAAAAGCCACAATGTTAGATTCGAAACCCAGCTCGGTCGAAAGTGATGAAAAAAAGCTGAGCAAAATGACGATTTTCGTTTCTGGGGAGCGATAGCGATTAATTTTTAAGAATTAAATTAAAAAATCAGCAAAAATTGGCGTACTTTGTTAGCAAAATTCTGTTCAGTTACCTGTTGTAATTTTTCAAGATGAAAATAAAGTTTAGTTTCAACGTTAATGAGCCTTGTTTGTCAACTTTTATTTTGTTTTAGCTTAGTTTTGAGTTCAATTCCTAATTTTAGTAAATTTCCTCGAATCCCTATATTTTCTTGGTGTCCTATGCTTCTTTGAAGAATAGACCCGAAGTGGGGACCACCCCGATCGTGTTTACCTACGGCCTCGTTCTTCGTGTTGGTCTCGGTGGGTGGTCCCCGGGAATCCATCCAAAACACCCTCCAGAGCCATGGCTCAGCCACTCCATCCTTACCTCTACGCCTTAAAAACGTTCCGTAGCACACCAAAAGTCGCAGCAAAGGTCAAAAAAACATTTAGAAAATTAATAACACCTATTTTACACTATTTGGACAGAATTCTCAGCGAACTTTGATAGTCACCTTGAAAATTGGATAACTTGATGATAGATTCGAAGAATACCTTGAATCTCTAGGTTTCTCAACTAATTTTTTATGCCCTAAGCGTTTTATTTTCTAAAATGCCGTTTTTGAAACATTTCAAATTATTTTTCGCCACGATCAAGTGATTCCTGCAGCCAAAAACCAAGAAACAGTGAATCGCATCTTCATCACCCCTTAATCATCCGAAATTTTCAGCCCCAGAATATTTTTCGGGGTGATTCAAACCCGATACATCATCAACAATTCTATGGAAGACCAAAGGCGCCGGAAATGTTGCTGGAATCGAGGTTTTTGTTGTGGCTGTGAGTAAGTTGCATGGATTGTTAGGCGTCTGTATAAAACTGCGACTTCAGGAGAGGAAGTTTCTAAATTATTTTCTAGACTTCTTATCGCCTTTAAAACTGAAATATATTTTTTAGATGCTTCGTACGGTAATTATTCTGGGCTTCTGCTTAGCGGTGGCCACAGCCGAGATGTGGGCCGTTGGGGTCGCCGGAAAGCTGGCTTGTAATGGAAAGCCCTATAAAGATGCCAAGATCAAGCTCTATGATAACGACCACTGTAAGTAACTTTATTTACAAAATTAAAGCCAAAAAAAGTTGTAAAATCAATTGTTGCAATCGTGATCATCCCCAGTACCGAAACGGGCGGCCAGGTTGACGACGCCAATGTCGAAATACTAAAAAAATCGATAATTTTGTAGTTTGAAGGTTCTTACCCTCTCCGGAGTCGTAGAATTTTGGGTGATGAAGTTTTGGGGGATGAAGATTGTCAACTTTCGGAGGCATTCCTTGAATTAAAATTTTTAAGAGGTAGAATACGGTTTTTACCACAGTTTCATCGTCGCAATCGTGGAAAATCGTCAGTTTCGGCTCGATCCAGCCGGTTTCAGTTTGATTTCCTAGAGTAAGAAAGTGTAACCTGGAGTGAAAGGGAGCTAGATACCTTGAATTTTGAAGCATCCCTTTTGATCAGCTTCAGTTTCCATCAAAAAATCATCAGGGATGGGTCCTAAAATTGATAATATAATTTTACAAGAAAAGTCATACCAATATCAACCTCCCAGAATTTGACCTTAGCATGAGTATACGGCTTCCCATTGCACATTAAAATACCCTAAAAATTTGATTATTATTTTTCGATCATTCGTTAGTTACCTGAGCCCCAGCCGATTGTAACGTGCCCAATTCAAAGCCTAGAAAAGCCGCGGCAACTCCACAACAAACAAACAGCAACACCAACGACCTCATTGTTGATAGATTCCACAAGACAAAAATTCGTCGATAGGAATGCCCCGTATCTAGTGGAGTCTCCGAATTCCCGATCCCCGCCGATATTTCATCTCTTTTGTCGGGGCCGGGTGCCCTTGAAATTTTGTTCTCTCTTCTCTTCGCAAAATCGGCTCCGTTTTTCCGGAATGGCGAGCCGATTTTTTTGGGAGGAAGATTGGATTTGGAGGGTGAGGGTTGGGGTGAGTCATACGGTATTTTGGTTGTTGTTTCTTGGGGGTTAATGACGTGCGTGATAATCATCGGCCCGTTGGGTGGAACCGGAAGTGACTAACAATGGAAAATATAGGGATATGTTTTTTTATTAACAGTTTTTTTCAGTCACGAAAGATGACAAATTGGCCGAGACCAAGACCGGCCCCGATGGTGCCTTCGAACTGTTTGGCGTTTCCAACGAAAACTTGAAAATCACCGCCAAATTTAACCTCTACCATCAATGCGGAATGACGGTAAATTATACATTAAAAAAATAGTAAATTAAATATGTATCAAGTAAAATTTCGATACAGGTCCCGGTGTGCTACTACAAATTGAGCTACACCGTGCCATCCACTCACATCTTCAGCGGATCGAAGGCGAAAACGGTAGGGTTTTATTAATCGATGATTTTTACTGTATTAAAAAGGATTTGTTCTTATTTTTATCACCCTTCAATGTCAATAATTTAGTTTTACAACGCTGGTACGATCGAGCTGGCCCATCAGAAGCAGGAACGCGATTGCCTCAACTAAAATATGGCAAAAATTTGATTATCATAATTTTGTGCAATAAATGGTATTTATGCAAATTTAGGTGGAAATTGGTTAACTTTGGTTTTCAAAGGGGCACAAAAGGCAGAACTATATATATTGCTATGGATTTTCGATCGATATTCTTGCGCGAGGTGGGCAGCGCGGTTTTCAATTGGCTGTGATTAGAAGGTGCAATCGGTTACGCCATGAAAAAGCTATATGTACATTTTCTAGGTAATACATAGTTATATCCATTGAAATATACGAATTAATCGTCATTTTTACGCCTAAATTCAAATTTTTAAGGCAAGTGGAAAAATCGCGGGTATGCGTTCGCGTGTCGCGGGAGGGCAAAAATCTATAGTAAGATAGATCGAGAGTTAAATCCATCGATATTCACGACTTTCCGGTTCCTTTAAACCTTAGTTTCAGGTTTTAAGTATCAAAACATTTCTTTACTATCCTAGCTTAATCAAAAAATGTACAGTACCATTTCATCGACACCTAGCAAGCGCGTTGATAAATCGCGGGATCATCCTCGCACTTCCATTGCGCATCTATCCCATCACCACACAGGAAATGAGATACTTCTTTTTGCATCTTTTTCTCAATATCACCCCTCCACCCCTGCGCGACGGCAAACAACCCCATTCGCCAAATCGTGATTTCCACACGGCTCCGGTTCCGCAATGCCGCTTTTCGGGGTATAAGTTGCCCTCTAGGTATTGGGGCATCGAATTAGCTGTTGTGTTTTGATCTTAATATGATCTCAAGGAATTTCTACGATGTATTTTAATCATTTTGCTTCGATTATCGATCGATATAGACTTTAACCTATATTTTATAGATGTTACACTGCGTTTTTCTGCTCTCCAGTTTCCTGTATATCGCCTCGGCATCCCAACAAACCGTGGCTGTTGAGGGAATTGTCGTCTGCAACGGCAAACCCTACAAGGACGCCAAGATTAAGATCTATGAGAAAGATACGCGTACGTTTTTTCTTCAATACGGTTGGCTAGAAAGATTAGGATCGAATTTCAAGGTCGTTCAAGACCATTTAAAAACTACTTTAACATAAAAGCAAAAACAAATTTCCGCTTTTTTTACCTAAAAAAATCTGTATATTTATTTTTTGATTTTTTAGTCCATGACGACGAGCTAGCCCGTGTATATTCCGATGCCAACGGTCACTTCAAAGCCGCCGGCACCCAAAGCGAATTCCTCGGCATCCAAGCCCATATGAACCTCTACCACAAATGTGATATGCCATTCGTAAGCACTGTCTATAACTTAATTTTCATGAAATTATATTCCAGCTGAAGCGCCTCGTCCCCACCTGCTACTACAAGGCCAAATTCACCGTCCCGAGCCGCTACATCTCCACCGGATCGATTGCTAGCGAGGTAGGGCTATCACTTCCGGGTCCAAAGTACTTCCATTTAGACCTGGAACGCGCAGACCATCGAGCTGTCACTCTTCACAAAGGAGACTGATTGCTTGAACTAGCCAAAAAATGAGAAAGGAAAGAAGGAAAAACAACAAATATTGTATAAAGCTTTAACAGATTTTTTATGCCAAATAAAGAGCTATATTGACAACAAAAGTTTTAAAAGGCAGGAGAAAGCTTCCACAAGGGTCTCTGCTAGGTATGGTCAAAAAGCAAAAACTCCCGCAGCGGGGGGGGGGTCGAACCAGCGACGGGTCACTCCAGTCCCGGCGTGCTAACCAGTACACCAGGGGGGGGCTGGCGAGGCGGCGCGGCGAAAAGCCCTCAAATACCCTCTGGGCCTCTGCAGGCCGTTTCCGGATTTCACGCTTTGACCTGCGATGGAATGGGGCTTTCCATAAAAATTACTAATTCCGAAAAATACGTCGATAGTAGCGTCTCGTCGGTCCGTCACCCTGACGGACCCCTGGCCATCGTTCTGCAGCCTTTTAAAGGACTCTTCGTACGGAAAGACATTTTAAAAGAGCGCAAATTAAGTCAGCGCAGAATTCCGCAAGAACTTCTGCTAGCTTGCCCTCCTTCGATGTCGTAAACCCCCACTCCAAGGCTTCTTCCCCTTCCGGGATGACCATCACCCTCCCTCTTCCTTTGCCCAAAATTTGCATATGGGTGCGCCCCAAATTTTTTTGTTGACCATCACGTCCATGCCATTCTCAGAAAATCACAGACCATGCGGGCCTCCCAAATAATTCCCGCAATTTTCTTGATATTCCATACTATTAATGCATTACATAATATAACAATCACCCGGACTTTATTCCGGCAAACAGCATGGTTTGTTCAAGAAATTAGATGCTAATTTATAATATCAAATTTATTAATTTTTTTAGCGATTTCCCAGGCGAAAAGGAATGCGCGCCGTTGTTGAATTTTACGCTTGGACTTCCAGGTATCTTTAAATCCTGAAAACACAAGTTAATTTTTATTTTTTTAGAACAAACCATTTTAATGGCGCTAAAGACAACACACCAACAAGAAGAAAGTTTTATAATTACTGGGAAATATAATAAAGAGTAGTTTTTTGGTCCTTAGTATTTTTAAAGCTCGTTTCAGCCGCTCCAATACTTATAAAAAAGAAAAAGTCGACAATAGAGATATATCAATGGAATGGCTGCATTTAGGTATGTAGTATATTAACATTTATATCTTGTTAATCTATTACTCAAATAATATCTAATTCAAACATACCAAGTTTTAGAAGGCCTTCTAAAGAAAAACTTCACTTTTGCCCTCGCGATAAATCCAGATCGCGTCGAGACCGCGGAGGGGATTTTCGTACTTGATTATCGAGCCGAGGTATTTTAAATATGCTTTTTTGAAGATAACTTTGCTTAATTTATAATTTGATTTTAATCAGTTTAGATAAGAAAAGGTTCCTATTTTTTTCAGGACGGTGCGTTGAGTACAGTACCCCGACAATTTTTGCCTATTCTTATGGAACCGATTTTTACTATAAATCTAAATCAAGAGTATGTCGATTGTTACAGTAAGCTAAAACTAGATAAATCAGGAATTATCGACAAGATAAAACAATCGGGGAGTTAATTTTGGGGACCTATGATCTAAAATGTGGCACTCCAACGACATGGGTACGGGCGCTGAATCGAGGGGATGCAAATTGGGTGGTGGAAATTGATAGGTAAACTTCAATAAAATAATATACTTTTTATAGTTTTATGATAAACGCAAAACGATTTGATTTTGTGGAAATGGCAACGATTGAGGTGGAACGAGATAGTATTGAGGTGGAATTGAGGTTGATTCTCAAACCCTGAATTTTCTAGGTTCCTCCGGCTATATTTCGGTATATTCTGGAGAAGTCGCATTCACGGCATAGGCGATTTAGGTTTAGAAGATCTTTAATACAGGTAAATTGACAAGAAAAACGTAAATTTATGAAAAATCGGTTTTAAAGGGACGTTGAAGTCAAATTTTCGCGCCTACAAGGTTGTCAGCGGTTTTTGGATGGCGATTTGCCGTTAAAATACAGAAAGATATGGAAAATTGGATTTTAAAGAGCTGTTGAAGTCTGAATTTCAAGTTCTGGAGGTTGTTCGACAGCTTTTTCGAAAGCGTTTGTCATTAGAAACCTGAATAAAGCGTCGGCGTCCCTTTAACTCCCAACCCCTTTAAAGCCTCGATTTCAGTACATGGTCGCGTGCCCAATGAAGAAGCTCGGGCCGGTGGTCTCATTTTCCATGGATGGCCAATCATTCTCCATCCCGCCCTCCCAATTCATCCAAGAGGTAGTTTTTTTTGGCATGTCATCATGTTGATCTTGGATTTTTATCCGCTAAATTAATTCCAAATTTTAAGACCGGTTTCCATGACGGCTGCGCATTAACGATAACCCAGGGGCCTGTCAACTCAAGAATTATCCGCCTGGGCCGTCCCTTTCTGCGTGAATTCTGCACCACGTTCAGCTACGAGGGTATTTCAATAATTTTATTAAAATTATACATACCTTAAATGCTCAGGAAAAATTGGGTTCACCGAGAAAGAGTCGACAGTGGCAGTGGAAATATAATTAATGGTGGTCAAGCCAAAAAAACGGATTTTCAAGCCCAAAAATGTACTAAAAATAAAGCTTCTTGCATGAATCTAAGGCACTGGATGAAAGACCCGTAGGAAAGAGCGTAAGATAGAATTAATAGTGTAAAAGGTGGGAAATAGAAAATAAAAAAGAAATTGATACGAAATATATAAGTACGAAATTCACTAAATTTTTAATACGCATATTCCTCTTCCTTGTTGTTTTTCTGATTCACGCAGCAGCAGAGGCACATTGTGAGGATAATTCCGAGGAGCTACAAATGTCGATTTTATTTTTATATATTTGAGATTAAATCATAAGGTTAATAAGGTATCTAAATTTGTTTTAATATTACCTGAATAATACCAGCAACCACGCATACCACGACAATCATCGTAAGCCAGGTCTCGCTGAACTCGAAAAGCGCATCAGCACAGCCCTAAAAATCATTTTTTTAATTTTTAATAGTATAAAATAGGTAATTTGTATAAAACCCACCTTCTCATGCAAAAATTGGGTATAAGTATTGAGAGGAGCATGAGTGAATGACATTCCGCAATTCGAGGGGTAGGTGTTGATGCCATTTTCGTTACAGCAAGATGACGGGACTTTTCCTAAAACAAGAAGTTTAAAAAATATAATAAAATCGAAAATATGGTAGGTTTCTATACCTTAAATACAGTATTACTTACCAAATCCATTTCCGCGCCCACCCACAGCTCCAATGCCATGCTCGGGCTTTTCATAAGACTTTGGCTCTTCCTCCATTTTCGAGTCCCAGGTAGCGCCCAGCCAGTCTTCGTACGATTTTACTCCGCAGCATTCAAACTATAAAAATACATAAAAATTATTTTCTTACTTACCGAAGTCTGGATCTGGTCCATAGCCGATCGATAATTCGCGTCAGTCCCGTAGCGGTTGCGTACAGTATCGTACATGCTCGCCTCGACGAAGCGGCGGACGTTGTGTGATTTTTCAAAAGCCATGTACGCAGCGACGAGCTCGAGGGCAAAGACGACGATGAGGAGGAGCACGAACTAAATTTTGTTATGCAATTGAGGGGTAGGTAAGCTTACGCAAAGGAGGGCGGGCTGGTTCAGCTTGTAGGATCCCCAGCAGCCACAGCAGCCGAGGAGGGCGATCGGCAGTCCGACTCCGACGAGGAGCCAACCGATCCATCGCCAGGAGCCTGATTTAAATATCAATATAAATATAACTATTGTAAGTGGAACATAAAGCTAAAAATTAAGCTTTTTTATCGATTTTTCCATCATTTTGTCATCTGGAAAAAGTTTTAATATACTTTTTAAATTCTTCAAGCTTAATTTTATATAATTTTTTTGTAAATGAACCTAATTTGATTTAGCTTAATTTTAACAAAATTACTTACCTGGATGCGTGGCATTAACAGCAAAGTAATCGCTCGGATCGGCGATGCAAAGCAGGTAAATGCCCATCGCCAGGCACACGACGCCTCCCAGCTAAAAATCGCGATTTTCTTGTTCCTCTTTGCTTTCTCTGGTTTTGGGGCCCCCGATTTATCTGGGTCCCAAGATCTTGGCCCCCTGGCTGGACCCTTATTTACGCTGGGCAATTGGGGCCATTTTTTGTTCGGCGTCCTAGGTCGAGGATCTGGAAGAAAGAGAGAGACGGGAATGGTTTGATGGCAAACCAAAGAAATTCTATTTAGAACTGGATTTTTGACCTTATGGATTTGCCTTCAAGGTTTCTTTAGCTCATCATGAAAAGTTTTCAAAGTGGCTATAAAATCTGGAATTTACTAAAGCTATCTTTATAGATTTTTCGCGAAAGAATTTAATGATTAATTTTGATTTGAAGACATAAATCAGAGTTTTGTCGTGTTTTCGCGATTTATTGGGCATAAAATTTTGAGCATGAGTGCTTCAATCTTTCAAAAATCAGCCTTAAGGTTTAAATCCTGGAATTTGTGACAGAGATAAATCGACCAATTCAGTATTACGATTTCGTCCGGAAATGGTATTTGGCGGTATTTTAACAATGTTTATAGTTTGTAGATGTTTTTCTATAGCTATAAAAATCGCCGATTTCATTTAAATTTTGGAACTAACAGAATCTACTTCCTTAAATTACTACAAATCATCGTCGATTTTTTTTTGAGCAATTGTACATGTCGTTTTCTAGCGAATTCCATAGTTTTTTAGAGCATACGTCGAGGTTTGTAGTTTATACTTAACTTTCGTAGTATAGATATTACTTTCACGCCGTTCAGACCCTCGCCTATGCCCCCAATCACACCTCTTCCTCCCCCCTCGTCCTCCTCCCCGCCAGAAAGGATAAACAACGGTGTGCGCGTGGCCAGCGTGAAATCGAATCCAGCCGCTGGTCTGCCGGCCCTTACGAGACCCATTCTCCCCCTCTAGCCATCCCTAACCACCTTTTGCATACACACCCTCCCCCCTTGGTTCACCCCACTTTTTCATCTTGACGCTTGGAAGACAGAGAGCGAGAGAGGAGCCTGAGATACAGAGCAAGATTTCCTCCTCCCGCCTTGAGCACCAGCCCCCAACATGATCCCCGTGGCGCAGTAAAGTGGCCCTGTGACAGGCCCAGGGGGGGGGGCTTTTCCCCTTGCCTCGGCTCGTCCTCCTGCTCATGGACACTCGAAAAAATCAACACCCGGATAGAGCAAGAGGATCCGCTTTCTGTTGCTGAAATCGATGTGGTGGAAGATCGTTGGGGGCAGTGGTTATTTATGGGTTTTTTGGAGGAAAGGGGGAGATCGGAGGTTTCGAAAAAAATTATTTTAATTTAAAGAAAATTTTATTTAAAATTAGGAGCTGAAAATATCAAAACACGACAGTAAATACAGTGGGAAGCTAAAAAAGTAATATTCAAAAATTCCTGGGATTGCAGTGCAATTTAAGGGGAAATAACGATTATAATCGATATTTTGTAAATTAACAAAACTTAAAAACAGCATAAATATAGATTTAAGGCTGAATTTAGATACTTTAATAAAATTCGAAAATTTGGCAAGCAAGATAAGGACCGTATCTCCTGTCACCACCCCTTTAAAACCAAATTGCTTTAGATTTTTACCAAAAACTCACCCAAAACAGCAAATTAAAGATGAATAACAAACTCTGCAATATCTTCTCGCACCCCATTTCCTGAAAAAACAAAATAAATAATGATAAAAATCGCTAGAACGCGCCAATTAGTGTATCTAAACACGAAAAACCATAAAAAAGACACAGCCGAGGCGCCCGGATTTATTTTGCTTTTGGGCGGCAGGAAAAAGAGGAGGAGGAGAACGAGAAGAAGGAGGAAGAGTGGCTCTTCTCTGGGAGCCTTAGGCTTGGCCATGGCTCTGGCCTTGGCCATAGCCTTAGGACCCATTCCCGAGGGACCCGCCCCCTTTTTTCTGCTCCCAAGGGGGGCTCACATCAAACAACTCTCGCAAAATCACGAGGCACCACACATGCAAAAGCAAAGCTGAGAAAAGGGGATATTCTAGGGGGAGGTGGAGCTTGATTTGAGGTGTATGACAGCTTCGGGGAATTTTTAGCAGCCGCTGACTAATGGCTGGCATTTGGTCGGGGACTTGTGGTGATTTTTAAAGGGGCGGTGACAGCAAGGGATTTGAAAAATTCTTTTTCCAGTTTGAGTTTTTTAGTTTTTGTTAAGCTTTTTTTTTAGTTTTAGGATTGATGTTAGAAATACAGATTTGAAAATTGACAAGAGAGGACAATTCGATTTTACCAAAAATTTTAAAATTTACAATAATCACGTTATGTAGTTGCGCAACTTTTCTAACGAATTACGGCTGCAAAACACGCTGCAAAGAGCAACAAAATTAGCGCTTCAGCGCGAATTAATGATACATAAATTCTTAATTCAAATTCAATTAATAACCCAATATTTATTCGTATGGCACGGTATTCAAATTAATTCGTAACACACAGTATGAACAAACATGTACAACAAATTGTACTACAAAATGTGAATCAAAACCCCGTTGGATTCATCACTGATTAAAGCTCTTGAAGGCGTTTTTGAACCAGGAGCTGACCGAGTGCACGAACTGAAATATATAAGTCATAAATTGATTCAAAAATAATTTGGAATTTTTATGAAAATGGGATCTTTATAAAATTTCTTTATTTTCGTAGAGTATGTGAAAAAAATCATTTTATTAGATTACCTCTTTTGCGCCGGAATCTTCGTATTTCTGTTCAAGGGTGGCCTTGAATTCGGGGCCCTTCTCGTTGACGATGTGCTTAATTTAGAAGTTGTAAAATTTAGCTATTTTATTTAAATCTTAAATAACAAAAATGATACACGATAAAATACCTCATAAGTTTTCTGGACGTACTCCTTGAACTGCTTCCACAGCTCGACCATTTTGTTGTAGCTGGCACATTTCCAATCGCATTCCTAAATTCGGCGTATAATTCTATATTAAAATTTATTAATTTAAATGCGGTTTCACTCGTTTAGTTTATTTGTTTCATCTTTATTATTTTAAGCAACCTTCGATTTTTTTGAACGTACAGTTTCGAAAACCCAGCATACTGCTTAAATTTATGCAAATCGGATCGCCACTCTGACTCATAGTACGAATAATACCCCAAAAACACCTCACCTTGTTGATAGTGCAATTCGTAGGCTCAGCATTTCCACAGTCGCTCAAGATTGGGACCTAAAAATCATCAAAAATACCGTAGGCCAAGTTACCTCATGGAAATCATGCTGATCACACGCGAAATCGACATTTCCTTGCACGTCAATGCCCTAAAACATATTAAAATATATAGGTTAAAAATATATTTAAAAATCTACCTGAATATCTGGGAATGCAGCTTTGATGATACCCTCGCTGGGGAGCTTCACAATTTGGTTGCAGGTTAAAGCTGAGATTAAAAAATATAGAAAAACTTTTAAACTGCTTACCAATAAACTTATATCCGTAAAGAGGCGTTTCCGGAATTTGAAGTTTGGTTCGGCTGCCATGGTCGCATCTAAAAAAATCAAAGTAATTTCTCGTTGTCAAAAATTTTACCGTATGACCGCATCGAGCTGGTCGCAGACACAGCCATCCAAACAGTCGGTGTTTTGTGAGAAGGCGACTGGAAAATCAGTAATGAATCCAAGTTCGCAATGCGCTTTTAAACGAAGTTTTTAAAAAAGAGTTCATATTTGGGTCATTTTTGCGTAAATCTGCAAGTATTTTTGCCTTCACTGCTCCTTTAAACTACCGAAACGCGTGATGAACTTTTGAAAAATGACATTTTACCGTATTTTATAGAAAATTTGGTTTAAAGAAAATTAAGAGGTGCTAAAATTATTAATATTTGCCCCCCATAAAACCCATAGGTTTTCCAGGCTGCGCGTTCCTTCAAACTACTCAACCGCGCGAAAAATGCTGAAAATTGATATTTTACCGGATTTTCATAAAACATTGGTCTAGAGGAATTTAAAGGAAATATTTTAATCTTTTTGTAAAAATCCATAGCTCTTCCAAGTCCCTTTAACCCAACCCAAAGACCATTTCTTGATCTTCCATCTTTATTTGTGGTTGCAAGCCTCCCTCCGAATTGGAACCCTCGCGACCCCGGGGCCAACCGAACGGCTTAATGAGCCGTTTCCGATTGGGGCAAATATTTGGTATTTGAGGAAGAGGAAACTATGGAAAGGAGCCCTTCACGCACTATCTACATGTGTATTCCGGTGACTCTTGAAATCAATTATATATGAAATTCAGTTCAGCTTTGATCGGGAACTTTAGGTCGATTTGTCATAATAAACAGTGGTGTGGGGGCGAGGGACAAAGGGAGAGAGAGAGAGGGAGAGACAGAGAGAGAGAGAGAGTGAGAGAGTGGGTAGCAAACAAAAAAAAAAAACCGGGATCGCATGAATCATAATCTATACATACAAAGATTAACGATTTTACACTGAAATCACAGAAATTCCAGAGATTTGGCAATTCCTACAGTAGCCCGTTCAGACTAGAATCTCACTATTTAGTCGAAATAATGTTATTACAGGCAAATAATTTTGTTGTTGAGCACGAGGCACAAAAAATACCCCTCAAGGTCGCGCTACATCCGGGGAGGAGTACGATTTCCATAGCGTGAGTCAGAGCCATGTGCGGAAAATCGATGCGGATCCTGTTTTGGGCTGGTGATCAGGGAGGATGGATTTTGGGAGGCGTTCGGGATGAGCATGAACTTTAGAAAAATTCCCACGAAAGGAATTTAAACAAAATTTAAGAGTTTAACTCAAGGAAAACACCAAAACAAGCGCGAAACGCTGTGGAACTATATTTTTGATCAATAGCGACCTTAAAAATCGATAAACCAACCAACCTGTCGCAAATAAAATACATATGGCAATAGATGGGAGCATGATTGGAATCGTGTGGTCGGGAGGGGTGAATGAATGACTAGAGGGGGGATGGCCGATGAGAAGGGGCGAGTGGGTGTGGAATGGAATGGAAATAGGGGGAGGGAGGGAGGGTTGAGGATGAGAGGAATAGAGAGAACTAGGGAGTAGAGATAGCGAGATAGATAGATGACCAGACTGACGGGGTGACACAAAAACAGATGGACCATGGCAATAAACATTGGGCCGGACGGATTGCCGCTGGCGGTCTCTTTAATGAGCGTGGTAATCTATGGTCGGGGATCCAGATGTTCAGAAAATTGGTTATCGACTCTCTGGATTTTACCGCAACCGCGAGACCTTAATCGCACGTCGCGTGTCGCGCTCGCGCGCGCTCTATTTCGAGCCTTACATTTAGCAATCGATTACGAGAGCTTAAAAGGCCGTTTGTGAGTCATCCGAACAAGGCTTGGCACAATTTTTTTCGACCCCGTTTTTTTCGACGCCATGTGAAAGAACATAGTCGAATTAGTAGGGCTGCATGGTTTTGAAAGTTTAAAAAGTTTAATTTTGGGGCTTAAATGGCCCTTAAAGTTGCGTACCCCGAAAAACTATCTCCGAGCTCCCTGGGCCGATTTGTATGAAACTTCGGGACAATACCTAATTTGAGGCGCTGATCATTTTTGTAATACATTGCTAAGCACGAAAATGACCGGAACATAGGAATATCGCGTAGTCAAAACAGTTTTTGCGGGTTTTCGTCATGATGGAAAGTTTGCTGTAAGCTGAAAGTCATACCAAAAGATGCGCAAAAATTTTCTGCGTCGAATGGTGTATTTTTTAGGATGCAGCCAGTTTTCCATCATATCGAAAAATTCGATATACCAAGCCTCAGCTACAAAATACGAAAGTTGCAAATATAAAAAAACGTTGCCTGGTTTCTAGAGACGAAATCGGACCAATCGCAAAAAAGAGCAAAAAGAAATTCGGCTTCTGAGAGGGGGCTTGAATTGAACTCGGGTCGTTCGCGTGGGACATGGCGGCGCCCACTAGTCCCTGTCCCCCGTGCCCCCCAGGCGGACCATCGCGGGTTCGATCCCGGCAAATCGCCAGTTCCGCGTAGGAAGGGAATTTCCTTTTGCTTTTTTTGCTTTTGGTTTTGGCTAGTTTTTATATGGGGCTCCAATTACATCTGTTGAAAAAGAAGTTTTCTTATACATTTTGAGATGGTTTCTCTCGATTCTAGAAAAGCTAATTTTTCGATATGATGGAAAACTGGCTGCATCCTAAAAAATACACCATTCGACGCAGAAAATTTTTGCGCATCTTTTGGTATGACTTTCAGCTTACAGCAAACTTTCCACCATGACGAAAACCCGGAAAAACTGTTTTGACTACGCGATATTCCTATGTTCCGGTCATTTTCGTGCTTAGCAATGTATTACAAAAATGATCAGCGCCTCAAATTAGGTATTGTCCCGAAGTTTCATACAAATCGGCCCAGGGAGCTCGGAGATAGTTTTTCGGGGTACGCAACTTTAAGGGCCATTTAAGCCCCAAAATTAAACTTTTTAAACTTTCAAAACCATGCAGCCCTACTAATTCGACTATGCTCTTTCACATGGCGTCGAAAAAACGGGGTCGAAAAAAACTGTGCCAAGCCATAATGGGGATTGTTCGAGTGACCCGCGGACGGCCTTTTAACCGCTGCGCATCGGAGCATGCGTTGCGTGGATCTGTACAATGTTGCTGCAGCACGCGACGCAAACGCAAGGCGCGAACTTCCAAGCTTCTCGTGGGACATCAGGCTCCGTATGCGCGGGGGACGATGGGATCCAGGCCTTTTTTATAGGCTATCTTCTCCATATGTATGTTTCCTCTGCGCCACACGTAACGCGTGCTGCCGCTTTTGCATTGCAGAATAGATTCGAGCACTAACCGCTGTGCATTGTCGTGGGCGTCGTGTCTCGCGGCCATATGATTGCTATGGTTTTTTCAACTCTTTTCCATAAAAAGCATCGGGAGACGTCTCAGCACCAAAAATTCCCAAGAAGATGTTCAACAACGGCCAAATATGTCTGTGTTGCCAGCAAGTTTACCGTCCGCCAGATTTTTCAATACACTCTACTGCAAAAAAAAACAAATGTTAGGCTCTTTATTCGCAAAGGCAATCGCCGTACACTCAAATCGATTTAAGAAAAAGCGTGCATCATTAATCGTTCTTGCCCGGCAGCCGCTCAGTCCTTCTTGTCATTTGGTGGCTTCATCGGGAACGGGGAGTCGGACCTCGGATCCACCTTGAACCAAGCCGGAGGCGTGACGGGCGGTTGGGACCTCTCCACAGACTGCAACATTTTTTGATTAATGCCGCGTATCTACGCGAAAATTCTGAGCAAAAGCCTGCTTCCGAATGGCCTAATGGATAGTGCAGCCGCTTTCGAAACTGTTGCGAAATTTGGCATCGGTGCAAAACTCGCCGCTCTTAATTATTTTGCATTTTGCTTTTAAAATACAAAATTCTAGCGTTTCAGAGGAAAAACAAAGTTTTGCACTAGCTTGTATCCATACGCCAAGCCAAAAAGTTAAAAATTAATGAGCAAGCAACACCACCAATAGGCCAAAAGGAACAACCTAATGAGAATTCAGTAGCTTTCAAACGAACCCATGAATTTTACCCTGTATCTTTTCCATTACCAGGGGCGACGAATTTGGGCTAGACTCTAGTTTACCCCCCCAGCCACAACTTTTCAGCCATACGCCCTATTAATGCGCCGAGTATCCCCCCCCCGCTAAACTCCTCTCCCCTGATAATGCGAAAGAACCGATAAACCGATCACCGACAACGGCCAAAATTACATCCCCATAAACAGGAAACAGCTAAACACCTTCGACTTTTTGGCTACCTAATGTTTTTGAGCTACGCGTAGCTACTTGTACTCATTAAGAGCTGAAAGGAGCTACCGAGATCGACGGCGGCGAGGAGCAGTTAGCGTATGTTGACGACGCTGAGGCGGAGCGCACCGTTTTCACCATCAGTCCCGTGGCCGTCCCGAAATCCGATGCCTGAAAAAAAAGATTTATTCACGTTCTAATACCAATTTGTGACTTATTGGTATTATTGCCAGATTTTGTCCAGAAAACAAAAGTACGAAAATTATAAACTTGCACACACACACACACAAAGCTACGCGACCAAATTATATAAGGTAGGATAAAAAACATACCAACTGGCCGGTGTTCAAATTGATCGGTTTGGGCGAACGGGTCGAGCGCGAATTATCCGCCATGTTGTAGATGGCGTAGCGAAGTGAATGACGGACCAGTTCCCAATTTTCTTTTTATACCCGCAAACCCGGAAATGGGGAGCATTCAAATGAGGCATTTGGGCAAATTTCACATCCTTCCGGTTTTTCAGGTGGATTCAAATTCCCGGATACCTGGGCAGAGTAAGCGTGGTAGGCAACAGCAATATCGAGGTTTTTGCCGAACCAAATTCCATATGCAAATTTTGAACTTTTGGCTGACTATAGTCTGATATTTATGCGTTGGCTTTTTCGATAATCGTCTCGTATGCAAATTTAAAAATATTTTGAGTTGTCGTATTGTTTGCGGAAATTATTGCGTTCCGCTCCGTAGCGTCTTGCTGCAAAAACCTGGTTTCACGAATTACTGGGAAGTATGTATTGAGCGCTGATTTGGCGGAAATTTGACGTTATACAATAATTCGTCACCGAAAAATCACCCACGAACTCATGGACATTTGACCTTTCCCCCATCCAATAGACAGGAGAAGACACCCCCAAGATTATCAGGTGTCGAAATAGAAATGCTGATAAAATGCGATAGCCTGCAGCCGGGAGATCACACCAGCGGTTTTCCGAATTTTTGCGCTTTAAATTATAATATTTGAAAGTTTTTAATTTCCGCTGCTACCAGCTCTCCTTAAAAATAGTTTTTGCTTAATAAATAAATTTTTTAATAGCGCTATAATTCCTAAATGATAAAATTCGTTCCCGAACACGTTCATCCCTGGAGATGACCTTCGTCCTATCCTATCTTCCCCATTCCATTCCCTGTAGGTCTGATTTATGGCCCCTATCAAAAAAGGCATTCCCATTTTATGGCCCTTTCTCTAACACGAGTACAGCCTCTGTGGTCTCCGCAAAAAAACTCCCATAATCCTTATCGAAATGCTGAAAACCCACCCGGAAAACGTGGCTCCGTCTTTTCTCTGCGTTTTTAAAGGGTTTTATTGATGGATTTCGTCGCGCTGTTCGTTCCTAATCTCTTTGAAGCTTTTTGGGGTAAGGGTTTTTGCTATAAAAATGCCTGGTTTTGAGAAATCTGAATTCTCGGTACATCTAGCTACACTGGGAATTTAAGGGATGCTTGCTTGATTCGTCATTAGGATCGTAATGATCTATAAATCCACACCTATCAGAATTTTCGAAAAGTTTTCTTAGTTTTATTATATTAAGTTTGATTATTTATTTATAAATCTTTATTTACTGTGATACTCGTTTTTCTTGTTTATTTAATAGATTAACTTATATTTTTATAATCCATATTTATCAAACAGCTGACTGGAAGCGCATGGCAGTTTTATATATTAGCCAGAGATGCGGCACGTTTAAAGAAGCAAAAGAACTATACAAAGCACAGACTAAACGGACCAGAAAAAGCCCGCGAAGCGGTTTTTAACTTTATTTTTCCATAACATGTATTTTTATATATGGAAAAATATGTTCCCTTCTTTTAGTTAGTTATGAAACAAACAGCTGACCGGAAACGCATGGCAGTTTTATATACTGGCCAGAGACGCTGCTTTTTAATACATTTTCATTTGTACAGAACCAATAAAAAGCGGAGACCAAACCCGCAAAGCGGTTTTTCAATCCCATTTTCATTAAATCCTTACCCCTCAATTCCCACTGGCATCAATGACAGTCAAGTCGAGAGATGAGTGTCGAGGGTGAAGCCTTGAAGTGGCCCCCTCTTCACTGTTTCTTTCAACGAGACCGCTTCTTCTTCCTTTTCTTCAACCTCTTCTTCTTCTTCTTCTTCTTTTCCTTTTTATACCACACGTGCCCCTTCCTGCCCCCCTTTCTATTTGGCCTCAATCGGCTTCTCCCCCCTTTTCTCTCATCCTGAAATACGTCAATGATGGTCCCAGTCAGTCAGCCCCTGCTAAATAGTTCCACTCCCCCCGTGCGCGGTGCTCATTTTCTACGTCGGTTCGCAACTCCTCGAAAAAGTTGTTCTTTAGTGTCTTAGGGTGCCAAACTACTAAAACTTGTGCTTTTTCAGTTAGGAAAGTGCTTGAAAAACGCTTAAAACGGTCAGACTTTATCTACAGTACTTCCGACTTTCGTCAAAGGCCTTTTTTACAAAAATTTATTGTCCATTTTTAACATTACCGCCCCTTGTGGTGACTTCCCCTTCAAGATATTGGCCGTCTTTTGTTCCATAAATTGTTATGAAGAGGGTTTCGAAGAGAAGAATAGAGAACTACTGTGGGTATCTAAAGTGTCGCTTCAACCCCGGCTTAGGCTTCAAACTTGGGTAATTGGACCGAAAAGAGGTGTCGACGTCGAGACAACCTCAAGTTTTGGCTTTCCCAATGGTTGATATCGGCTAGAATGATCCATGAAATAACATAATATTCGTTTAATACAAGTAGCTTTTGTAAATGGCGAATCGACCGACCGCAAAATAGGTCCCTGAGGGTCTGGCCCTCCCCCGAGAAGCTGATAGAATTTTTGTCAGGCACGAAAGTGTCTCTCCTTTGAGAGGATACCATCAGGCCGTCACCCAAAAATTCGTATCAGCCGCCCGGGTTACAGGCTTTTTTTTTTATTTGAGTGGTGAGTAACCAACAGCACTGGCCCTTCCTCTGTCGCCCGAACCTCAGTGGGAGGGGTGGTCCAGATGGGGAGCGAGTGGGGACAGGCCGGGAAGCCTCCAGAGAACGCACAGAGCGCACCATCAGATACCCTATCGCCTTAATCATGGTCAGGCTTCAATCAAGTATTCAATAGCTTAAATCATCATAAAGCTAAATTTCAATATAAAAGGACGAAGATGATCTTCGTGAACCTTTACAGTTTCTCAGCTTCAGTTTGGGCTTTCAAATGGTTGATATCGGCTAGAATATTTATGAAATAACATAATATCAGTTTAGTAAAAATGGGACTGTAAAAGTAGCTGTTTGAAATCTAGAATCGACCGACCGTAAAATAGGTCCCGGAGGGTTTGACCTTCCCCGAAAACCCGATAGAATTTTTGTCAGACCCGAAATATCTACCTTTCGGAAGGACACCATCAGTTCATCATCCACAAATTCGTATCAGCCGCCCGGGGTACGGGGTTTTTGAATTTTATTTGAAAACCAGGGTTAAAAAGCCGCTTCGCGACTTGTCAAATCCCAATGATAAAAATGAGAAGCGCACCCTCTGCCCCTTTAAGTATGCAACCGAAACTTCCGGTGTATGTTAATTAATAATTCCTAACAAAGAGGATGCCCGATTTTTTACCACAAACATAATTTTAATGTCGAAAAGTCTTGATTTTGTAAAACCTACTTTGTGTGCACTCATCTCAGAGCCATTGCGCACCCCATGACGCATCATGGGCCCAAAATTTATTTCCTATCGCGGTATCCTCACCGTGACGGAAGTTGCATGCAAAGTGGCACACACACAGACCGCTATTCTCCTCCTCCTTTTTTATTCTCCACGAATTCTATATTGGATATTTCGTCTTCCCTCCAAACCTGACTGCGGGGGGTGGTCCAGTTGGGGGGCGAGTGGGGAGTGGGGAAGCATCCGGTGGACGCACAGGCAGTGGCTCCCGGTGCCCTACTGCGCTAACGGCCCTCGTTTTTCATACTAACTATTCCATAATATAATTTATCGAATATTAAATCTTCAGAAAATTTTAAAAGCTAAATGTTACTAAAATTGAGCGAAATAGAGTGCTTTCTTGATCTAGAGGAGGAGACCTACGATAACCATTTTTTTTGAAAATTAGAGCCCAGATTTTCCCAAGATAAGATCAATTTTGAGAACATGCTTTTATCGTCTCGTCGCGAGTTCAAAGGCCAATTTCCCCGATTTCGCTAAAAGCCGCCCAACAAAAGCATGACTTCCATTAATTCGGGCTCTTCAGAAAGCATGGGACCGCTTGAAAGACCTCGTGCTATTGAAATTCCCCCTTTTCGTGTTCATACAGGATCGAACGATTTTCGATTTGCGGCTTGGGAGATTCGCAGTCCGGGATAGAACGTACAGTTTCGTACTGTAGGCGAATTATGGTAGCTGTAGAGTGTTATTCATCTTTTTCTCTTAAATATTATTAAAACTGATTGGAGAAGAACTTCAAAATCTTTATCAACCCCTTTTGTATGGTTCTTTTATATCAACTTAGGACTTTAAAGGCTTTAGAGACAAGCCTAAGGCACGAAGAAGTTGATTTAAGCTTGAAATTTCTCCTCCGGCTCTCTTTCCGGGCCCCAGCCGCTTTTTTCTCTTTTTCGTGGTTGCCGTGGTCGGGTGATGCGTGGCCCCTTCAGAATGCTGTCCTCTCCTCCCAGAATCGATGAGTGTCCGACAGCCGGCCGAAAAAAACTCGGCTTCTCTTTTGGGTCTTTTCCGGGGCGCCGATAAAGTACAAACTCGTACTTTTAAAGGGCGCTGGAACTGTTAAATCGCTTTAAAAAATCTGGAATTTTTTAGAACTTACTTTAGAGTAGATTTTTGTGATTTTCGGCTTTCGAAAATGACCTGATAGCTGATTTTTACCCCTACAGCTTTACTTTGTCAATGTTTATTAAAAAAGTAGGTTTTTTGCCTTATTAGATTTTTTTGGGCATCTCTTTCCCTTATCTCTGCTTTTCAAAAGCTTCTCTTTGTTTTAAGTTTCAGAAAATAGGTGAATTTCTATAATAAATTCATTATTTAAAAACTTTAGATCTATATTTCTATTTTTTTTAAAACGGACAGTTTTTCTCGTAAAAATCGTTTTTATTCCATTTTTGAGCGTATTTAAATTTAATGAAAGCTGATTTCATTCCCAATAGCAATCCCCAAAGTCCAAAGCAATACAAACCCTCTTATCAACCCATAAAAATTCATGCTTTTCCGGGGCAAACAGCTGAATTCTAGCTGGTTCCCAGGCTCCTTTCCTGGTTCGTTGGTTTTATTTCGTGCTCCCTCTTCTCCTTGAAATTCCGTACGTCAAAAGAATTCAGCCGCTGCCTTTTCACGTTAATGTTCGTGTTTTGAATCTCCTCCTGGGCTCGAAAAAAATCAAAAAATTGCCGGGGCTCGAGGTCTCGGGCCGGGCGCTGAGAGCTTATTTTTTATACGAGGCCCTCGGAGGGAAAGGTAGAGGTAGTGTGGGACGGAGAATGAGGGTAAGAAAAAGAAGAGAAGAGGTAGTGGAGGAGGTAGAGCAGATCCAATCTCTAGAGGCAATATTTATAGCCTCTAGAGATGCTCGGCTCTTTTCCTTGGCTGGCCTCTGTTTGCGCAGGGGGGAGGTTGTCTTCAATTTGTGATCTGATCTGATCTCTCGACAGTCGCCGGGGCTCTCCGCGGGGGGCTGGTGCTCCTCCCTTTTTTGCGCGTCCTCATCCTCGGCTCGTATCGCGATAGATACGGCCATCCCCCCGATTTCACACCTTTTTTGGGGTTTTGTCGGCATTTGAACGGAACTGTGACCGGTTGATGGGGGGAGGAGTTCGCGGGTCATTTTCGAGTTTAAATTTTGGGAGCAGGGTGAGCAGGAGCTCATTCTCCTGGATTTTCAGTTTCGAATTTTTATCCTACAGTATCTCAGAAATGAGAACTATTTAAGATGAGGGCGAACAAAAGCTCCTTTTCTCGAATTCTGAGAATTTATCGTCCTATACAACAAAATATAGACTTTTAGGTTGACGCTGAACAGGGCTCATGCTCAGAAATTTTGAGATTAATTTTATCGTACACTATCTGTTTCTATGCTAAATTAAAAAAAAACTTTGAGAGTTAGTAAAGCGAGCCAGAGCTCGTTCTCACCGCATTTCTGCTCCCATTTTAGCCTATGGTACCTCAATTTTCTATCTTACAGTATCTTTCAAATTACGCAGTTTTGGAATAGGATCCGGGGCAGCTCGTGCTCATGGATTTCAGTTTCCGATTTTGTTCTATACATATCTGCTACTGAACTTACAGGATTCTCAATTGCGATGATTTTAAGTGTTAGTGAATGGAGTAGGGGCTCATACTCTTCCTCATTTTTTTTTCAGTATTTTGTATTCTATTTTTTGATTTATTAAGCATTGACCATTTCTTAGCCACGTTTCACTTCAAACTCCTTTATTTCCAGATGAACGGCAACGATCTTCGCCTCCAAAATGAGCACCTCGCCAGCAACACCGGCGATGATAGACTCTACCATTTCGGTCTTGGCAAGCAGACCACCGACTTGAAGCAGTTCAGCGACGTCAAGGTATCAATTTTCCGTTCCTTTTAAATGCCCCCCCGTTTTATAGTTCGTCTGCACCGGAGGCGCCGGGCATCGGATCCAGATTTATGCTGAGCTGTTCTCGAAGGAGACTGGGGTGGCGGCTTCTGGAAATTTGTCAAACTCGGATCGCTATGTTCTCTACAAGACTGGACCTATCTTGTGGGCTAATGTAAGTTATAAACATACACGTTGTGCCAAAAAATCGGGCTTGGGCTCCTCTAGCGCTCGGGCGCTTCCAGAACTTGGGCTCCCCTAGAGCTACGGCACATCTAGAGCTCCGGCTCCTCGAAAACCCAGCCTCCTCTAGACCTCCGGCTCCTCTAGAGTCACCGCGAAAAGTCCGATTTTTATGCTGTTGCTCTTTATCGATAGCACTCCAAATTAAAAAACGCCGTTTTGTTTGTAAAAATGACACTTAAAAAATAATATTTCAAGCACGGGATCGGCACCCCATCCCTCTCGGTCATGCTCAACGAGATCTTGAAGCTGCTCGCATACGCCGGGGCCAGTGATGTCAGCTTTTTCCGGCTCGGCACTAGCGGTAGTGCAAATAGATTGATTCGTCATCAAAGCCAACTTTTCTAGGGGGTATTGGAGTGGCGCCGGGTACTGTAGTCATCTCGAATGGAGCTATGAACGGCGAGTTGACGGATAAATATGTGATGTATATCCAGGGAAAGCGGGTAAGTAATTTTTGGGAGGCGCACGTACAGCAGATAATTTCGCGGACAGTTCGAGTTTCTGCAATTCTAAAACTTTTTATACAGCTTCAGGCCATCTAGCACCTTGAAAATCCAGAGATTCAGCCTTTTTAATACATTTATTATTCTGACTATGAGTGCGATCTTGAAAATACCTTTAAAGTCTAGATTTAGCGTTAGAACAACCTGAATAACTTTTGCTATAAGTTGGGCCTTTCGAACACCTTTCAAACCTACAGATTCACCCCTGTTTTGATTTTTATTGATTTTTCAGGTCGAAAAACCCACCCACCTCGACGAGGGTATCCGAGAAGCATTAAAGGCCAGCGCTGTCAAACTCTCGATTCCGTATGCAGAGGGAAAGACCCTGTGCGCTGATGATTTTTATGAGGGTAAGAAAATAACGAAATCCTTATTCTAAGTGATACTTTAGGCCAAATGCGCCTCGACGGGTTCTTCTGCAACTACGGTGCCGACGAGAAATTCGCATTTTTGCATCGCCTGAACGAGCTCGGGGTTCGTAACATTGAGATGGAGAGCACTTGCTTCTCTGCGACAACACTGCGCGCTGGAGTGAAGGGTTGGTTTTAATAGATTTAAAGGATTTGGAAGTCAAAATTTCGAGCGAGCTAGCTTTCAAAAACTGCTAAAAAAATTAGAATATCTAATCTGGCTTTATGCCGCGTTTAATGAAGCATGTAAGGCATAAAATGACCCATAAAACACTAACAATCGTCTAAAATATTAAAAGCTGGCTGAAAGTCGATCTTAAACGGACGCGCAAGGCACAAAACATGAAAACTACTATAGGGCTAAACTAAAGAGGAAGTGTGGCCCATCTAATACAGTCTCATCTGAATTGTCGGCATTTTTACAGGGACGTATAAGGCATAAAATGAGCAAAAACACTCTGACATAAGTTCGGCTATAAATTAGCTGCCTCGGCCCTAAACTGGCTAAATTTAGCCTTCACTGCTCCTTTAAACGCTCGAAAACTCGACAAAAATAAGTTTGGCAGGCCGCTAGTGCCCTAAACTAGCCAAATTTTGCCTTCAAAAGCCCTGTAAACCCAAAATTTTCCAGCCGCAATTTGTTGCGTGACGTTGCTGAACCGAATGGATGGAGACCAGGTGAATATCACGGCCGAACAGTATATGGAGTACGAAATGCGCCCCTTCCGCGTCGTCGTCGCCTATATCAGGTATCAAAAATCGTTTTTCCGATACATCACTGTATTCAGAAGCCTTCTCAACATCTGAAGAACCCTAAAACACAAAAACACGCTCTACGTACCGTACAACTAGAACCGTCAGAAAGCCCCTAATTTTTAGCATATAGCATTCAGACGAATCGTCAAAGTGCCTATTCCCCTGCTTTCTAAAACTCGCATTTCTTGGGTGTCAACAGCCTTTAATAGGTGATTTCTTTGTATGAAATATTTTTTGATATATCCCGATCAGTAAGAGTACGATTCTTTATAAGAAACAATGATCCCCATCTGTGAAATTGGCAGTATTACTATGTACGGAAGTCATTTTAAAAATTGAATAAAGTTTATTCGAAAAAAATCAGTGGAAAATGGAAAGTACACAACAATACACACAACACAACTAGGGTGAAAGAAAGAGGAGAGGTATCTGAAGTTTAACGCCGTTTTATTTTATAAAAATCGATTGAACCCAGGGTTTGGAATCGAATGTGTTATATAAAAATTAGAAAAACATTATAATCATTATTAAAAAAGATAGACAAGCTGGCAGCTCGAATACCGGCAAAAATGAGATAAAAGTGGGATGGAAAACACCGGTCGAATAAACCCATTTTCGATTTGGAGAATATTAAAGGAATTGAGAGATCGTGGGTGTCGTGGATTCTGGGGGGTTATATTCAAATTTATGTACAAAAATTAGGGTAAAATCAAAAGGGGTTAGTAGGAGGGCTTCAGGCGTTTCAGGCGTTTGCAGAAGTTGTAGCGGACCTGGAAAATTCAAAATTACTTGATTGATATTTTTGGGACCAGAAATGTCTTGTTAGCACTCGTTTCAGCGTTTAAAAATAATTATAATTTAGTTTTGGTATTTTTAAAGATACTGTAACAAACTTAAATTTGAGCATTACAAATCCTGTCTTTTGGATAAATTTTAAATTAAAATTACGTAGACGGATTTACTAGCTTGACTTACAAATTCATGATTATGATTTAACTTATACTTAAATAAATCTAGCTTTAAAAAACCTTAATTTTTTTGTGTAATTAGTGTAATTGTAATTTATGTGTAATTGATTCAAAAAGTAATCATTTTAATTCGAAAGTAAGTTACCAAAACCCGGATTTTTTAATTTTTCTGGCAGTTAATAAGTCATAATTTAAAGTTAATAATTTGTAGCTTTATGAATTTTATTATAAAGAATCTTATTGTCAAAACACCCACCTGACGCCACCGCTTCGAGAAAAACCGATTCAACGCAAGCCCAGCAGCCCCGATCGGCGATTTATCCTCGTTGAACTTCCGGCAATTCGCGAACATGAGCTCAACATCAGCATGGAAGTCTTCAGCAGTAGGATATTCTCCATCATCAGCCTTTTGCCGCATTGTCAGCATATCGATAGGTTGGTCAATGACATCCAAATAATCCGGAACTGCCTTCAGATCAACTGGCTCCAAAAACGGAAGTGAATGTTCTTGGGCTTCAAGCTCGTCCAGCATAGTTTTGGCCAACTCGGCGACCATGGGGGCCGGGAAGATGATGAGGTCGGAGCCTGGCTTCCTTTTTGGGGGTTTTCGACCGCCGGGGGTATCTTCGGAGCCCGTTTCTGAGGGAGCACGAGGTTCAAGTTCACGTTCGAGGATGCGGACGGATTTCTGAAAATTAGGAGTTAATTTAGATAGCGAGAGAGAGGGGGAGAGAGATAGAGAGAGAGACAGAGAAAGATAGAGAGAGAGAGAGAGAGAGAGAGAGAGAGAGAGAGAGGGGAGAGAGAGGGAAAGCGAGGAAGAGAGTGAGAGAGACAGCGAGAGAGCTAGAGAGGGCGAGAGAGAGAGAATGTCAGGGAAAGTGATAGAGAGCTAGAGAGAGACAGCGAGAGAGACAGTGAGAGGTAGAGAAAGACAGAAAGAGAGAGAGAGAGAGAGAGCGCGCGAGTGAGAGAAACAGGGGTATAGCAAAACACCCATTTTCTTCGAATTTAAACTGGTACTTACCTTCCGCCCATCACAAGCCGCACACTTATACGTCGACGGATTTTCTGGCGTCGGTTCCCCAGCACATTCGGTGTGGAAAAACGCGTGGCACTTTTGACAATTGTAGATCGGGGTCTTGTGGTCAGAGCAGAGTAAGCAAGTCGGCTTCCGGGATGCGGTTTCCTTGCATTTTGGGCAGAACCACTCCCCTTCCGGCACCTTGTCCATCGCCGGCTAAAAATTGGATCAATAATTTTAGATTTAGATTGTAGCTTACCTTAAAGCAATATAAATGGTATCCCAGCTCGCAGAGGTCGCACAACAAAAGCTTGTCATCGTGGTCGGAGGTATGACAAATCTGGCAAGCCGCCTTCATCACTGATCTTTCCCAGGCGATGTTTTGCTCCAATACCTAAGATATAAATTTTTATATTTAATCTTCTATTATGTTTTTAGTGATACTACTGTTAAAGTTTTGTATTAATACTTCTATAGTTTTTTTCTCGCTTACCTGTGCCAAAATGACGATACTCGCCGGTGTGGTAGCCTCTTGAACGGCTTGCTTCCAAATCTCGCACAGCTCCCCCTCTTCCTCCTCATCGTCCTCGTGCTCATCCTCCTTATCTTCCTTTTCTTCGTCCTTTTCCTCTTTTTCCTCAGCCTCCACAATTTGAAGATTCTCATCAGAAACGTCGAGCTGTGGATCAGCTTCAACGATCTTGGCTTTTTTGTTTTGGTCCTTGCCCATGACGCGTTTGATCGAGATCGTCTCACTAAAAAAACAATAAATAAAAGATGTCAAAAATCCGCTCTGGTAAACAACAATTTTTAATTTTTTGACAACTTACCCAGCATAAAAATCCTGCCTCAAATACCGGGGTTCCGTATTTTCTTCAACCTCTAGGAGCCGTTTTCTGAGCTGCTCCATGGTGGGCATCGGATCGAGGTGAGCAACATCTGGCACTTCATCAACCCAATTCGATTGGCTCGTTTCCTCATCCGGTTGGTCAAACGGTTCAAAAGGCGGTTTCCAGCCCTTCGTTTGGAGGTGAGCATCGAAGATGCGATTTTCGAGCTCGCGGAGAGCGCGTTCAGCTCGGAAAATTTGTTCTTCGCTGAGGGCTTTTGAGTCGGATCGGGTGGAGACGGGGGTCAAGTCCACTGAAAGAAAAATATAAATTAAATTTAACGATTTTTGAGAGCCAATTTTGGTTTTAACAAACTTACAATGTGCCCAGTGTTGCTCCTTCAAGAATGAGTCTCTGAGCAATAGTCGATGTAGAGCTCGTTCTCGAATACCACGTCCATGAAGGGAGTCACGAAGCGGTTTTAGGTGATTTCTTAACAAATATATAGTTTTAAAGGTATCTACTCACTCAGCAACAGTCCACCAGCCTCGCTTTGCATGATTTTCAAGGCGTCTCCTGCGTTTTGGCTTCTTCTTATCCGGTTTTCCGGCAATCACCTAAACCCAAAAATTCAGAATAAGGACATTTTCTTACCGCATCGATAGTATCTTCCAAACAAGCAATTACATCCGGATGGATGAAGCTGTCCGGATCTGAAATTTCGATGATTTTTGGACGACTCAAACGGGCTATTTTAATAGCTTTAATTTTATTTAAATTTTTCTAGCATTAATAGTTTAGTTTGAATTTTAAAAAATTACCTGTAACCCCAAGCGGATCAAATTGACACGTCTCATTCAAATTCACAGATGCATTATTTTTAGCGGCACTTTCGACACCTTCAACCAAAACACCATCGACAGTTGGGAGTTGCCAATAGATTCTAAACATATATAATAAGCTACTTAATAATTTTAAACACCTGTGGAATCGATCCTGGCCTAGTGGAAAGGTCCTGACGCGATTGCAAATCACGTTCACCTTCCCTCGGATTTCATCGGCCTCCGCGTTCAGACCTACGATTTGGTCCTCAAGCTCTTCTACGGTTTTGTTTTGTTCCTAAAATCGATTTAATTGATAAATTATTTTGAGAATTAAAGTACCTCTTCAGTCAACACTTCACATTGACCAATTCCAGGGGTAAATGTCTTTTTAGCGGCCGGGGATGGGGAGCGGGAGCTAAAAAATTGAGATAAGCTTTAGTTGTTGGCACTCACTGGTCGCTCATCGGGCTCTCAGGTCGTTCTCCTTCCGGAACATCACCTTCCTGTTTCACTTTTTCCTTCTTCTTGGCCTTCTTCGTTTGAACTCCTCGAAGGGCTCGGACCTAGAGAATCAAAAATTTTGTAAAATTGAGAAATCTTACCTTTCCTTCTCTCATCCACCTCTCACCCCTGAGTTTTGAAATTTCTTCAAGATTCGAATCGATTTCTCGGATAATATTTCTGGAATTTAAACGATTAAAACTCGATAAATGCATCAAACCTGCAAAACAGCAACTCGTTACAGATAAATCCCAAAATCTCCGCTTTCTTCTCTCCGGAAATCGATTCAAAGTGAGCATCAGCTAGGTATTCGGAGAGCTAAAAATTGGGTAACATTTGTGAAATTTTGTTACCTTAATCCCCTGCTTCTTACGAGTCTGAAGCCACATTCGCATGATTTCGGAGAAATTGTCGCGTGAGAGCTCGAGCTCACCGGCTTGTTTACTAAAAAATTTGATTTTTCTATTGTTTTGGACAATTAACATACCGTAACTCATTCGGGTCGTGTTTTGGGAATCCTGGGAATTCGAGAGCCAGGGTTAGGAGGGTTTTTGTTAACTAAAAAAAAGTATTAATAACAAAAATCTCAAAATACCGTAAATATGGTGGTACGGTACTTTTCATCACCAGCAAGCCCAGCGGTGAGTACATCCAAAGAGGGCACTTGTTGGGGCTCTAAACCATAATTAAAAGATTTAAAGCGTCGGAAATACCAATTTTCAAGACATGCCGGAAGTTTTGAAGGAATTCGTACACCATTAATGCGTCGGCAAAGCCATTTCCTTTAAGTTCGAGGCCTTCGACACGTGCGAGATCGGGAAGTGCCTAAAAATTTTATATAAGATTCTAAAAGTCAAAATAATGAAAATTAGGACATTTTTATCAATTATAAAATGTATCGTACCCGGATTTCATCCAACTGAAGGTCATCTACCGGAATTCGACTCCCCTTTGCATCATCCAAATCTTTAATAGCTTCTTCCACAAACTAAACATATATAAAGTTTATTTTAATTCCTATTGAGCAAACCTCTTCCCCATGATCAAACTCCTCCTCCTTCTCCTCTTCCTTGATCTTCTTCGGCTTTTTCGGGATTTTTTCAGGGATGATTTTCGGGGGTTTTGGCCGGTTCAAACGGGCAATCTCTTCTTGAACTTCTTCGGCGGTCATTTTCATGATTTTCTAAAATACAGGCTTGTTTGGATTTATAATTCTATTACCACCTTCTCGCCGGTGTCTTCTTGGAGCTCGAACATTACGAATTCGCCGACCATCATTTTGCAGGAGAACGAGAAGTGGTCTCGAGTGAGGCCGTGGGCTTTGTCCAGTCTATTTAGGTGCTAAAATATGTTTAAATTTAGTAAAATAATTGATTTTATACCCGAACAACTTCAGCATAAGTTCCAAATTTCTTGCCGCAGGGGGCATAGTATACTACGTCTCCTCGTACTCCGGAAGCTGTGATAGAACGGACAAAAGTTTGACGTCTCCATCTAAAAAATAAAACTTAGTTTATATAAAATTATATCTAATAGTAATACGTTATAAATTATTTAATCATGAATATCGGAATTTAACATACCCTATAGTTAACGTCTTCTTAAGTAATTCAATATCAGGAACGCCAGAACGTCGGGCTTTCGTTTCTTCGTCAATAGGTGTCAATCGTCCCATCGACATTTCCGGTTCTTCCATCACAATTTTCTGTGGCTTCTTCGCCTTCCTCTTGCTTGGAGTAGGTGTTCGTGCGGTCTGGAGCCCCAGCAGCTTGCTCCAATCCACTTCCGGTGCCCCGTTTTGGGCGACAGGGGCTGGCCGCTTGCCAAGACTCCCGAGGATAGCCCCAGAATTCTTGATAATATAATCGAGCATGGGGTTTGGAGGTGGCTTCGGGGCTGGCTTAGACTTGGGCTTGGGAGGGGTTTTCTGGAATTACAAAAAAAATTAAATTTTTGACGATTGGGTTAAATTACCGTAGCTTTCTTTGGGACTTCTCCGGGTTCTAAGTCGTTTGAGGATCCATCTGTATCATTTGTAGATGGGGAGGCGGAAGAATTACCATTTGAAGTACTGTCATCTAAATTATAAAAATAGAAATAAATAAATTAAATTAATTTAGATACTTTAAACCAATCTTTCTATATTTTTTTAGCTTACTTGCTAATTTCCGCGCCAGCAATCGATTCAGCATTTCGAAGGGATTTTGGAACCCGTTATTCAAATCGCCCTGAAAGTTTGAAAATTTTAATACGGCATGATACAAATTAAAATAATTAGAATCATAAAGAATTTGATAATACATACCCGTTGCATCATACTTAATAAATTAGCCGCTTGGGCTTGTTGCTGGGCCAGCATAAAGGCTTGGAGCATGTTTGGCTGGAAAAAAACAAATTAATTTTTGTGTATTCATGGTATTTTATTTTAAAAATTTAATCACCATTTTTAACTTTAGAACCTCGACTAATTTAAACAGATTTTATAGTACGTTTTAAAAGACTTACCTGAGCCATTAACCCGTTCTGAAAAAGGGCCGCCAAATTCTGCAGTGGATTCGCATTTTGAGGGGGTTGGGCGGCTAAAAAATGATGAAAATTAATTGATAAATAATTTCCATACCTTGCGATGTGGACTGTTGCTGTGCGAGTTGTTGGGCGTATAAAAGGCGTAGTAACTGGTCCGACATCCCAAGTTGAGACGTTGTTCTTTGGCCCTGGAAATGGAAAATATGAAAATCGAAAATTCGAGAGGAAAAGGTATGGAAAACGTCAGAAACTTTAATGATATAAACGAATCAAAAATCGTTGCAAATTGCATCAATTTTTTGGATAATTAGCATTTAAAAAATTATCAACACTATTAAAGGGACCGTAAAGTCAAAACTATAGTTTTAGATCTTATAAATCTGCTTTATTTACGGTTATATTATTCTACAGAAATCGGTCCCTCCCAAAACTTCATGCTCCCCAAAAAACCCATAGTAGGGCGACTCGTGCTCGATAGCTTGAACTTGGGAGCGGGAAAAGGGGGCTGATTTTGGTGCTTTTCAAGCAGGGTTTCAGCTAAAAGGCGCCAGTTACAGTAAAACGCACAAAAAAAACCCCCCCACGACCCCCAAAAAAAAAGGGGGGAGGAAAATGTGGGGGGGAGAAAAAGGTTTGAGCTTTTCCGACGTGTTCATCTAAACCACACCATTCCTACAGTAATCGACCCTCCTAAACCCTCATGCTCCCCAATAAATACAAAACTAGCCCAGCTCCTGCTCAATAGCTCGAAAACGCCGAAGTAGCCCCGTGGATGGGGTGGCGCGGGGGGCCAGCCGGAGCCACAGAGCCACGGCAATAGCCACACAACCCGGGAGTAGACCACGCGACGGGCTGGTTGAGCCACAAGCCCTCCTCCGAATGCAAGGGCGGGCAAACAGCGGGCCCGTGGCGACGACACCCTCATTTCCCAGGCCAGGCAACGCCAACCGGGAGGGGGAGGAGGAAGGGGGGGCCCAAGGGCCCAAACCAGGAGGAGGAGGAGGAGAAGGGCTATGCTGCTGCTGTGGTGGAGGATGTTGAGGATGGCCATCCGATTCTGGGGGGTGGATTGGGTGAACGGGGAAGGTATCGTAGGGGAGAGGTGGTTTAAAGGGATAGTGTCATGTGGCGTTGAGAGAATCTGATGAATTTTCCATGGGTTTAAAGGGAGCGTGACAACGAATTGCAAGTAAGGCGAGAGTGAGCAAGTCACTGAGATATATAGACGAGAGAACGAGTGAGCGCAAGAAACGCGAGACGAGAGAGAGAGAGAGAGACAGAGAGAGAAAGATCGAGAGAAAGTGACAGAGAGAGAACGCTACAAAAGTGAGAAAAAGATGATATGAAAAAGAGCAAAAGAGTGAGAGCTAGTCTGAGCTGGAGATAACGAAATCTAGTGCGAGAACCAGAGATCGAAAGAGCGTGAGAGCGGGTTATCGCAATTCATATGTAGAGACGACTGAGAAGCGAGCAAGAAATAGTGAGTTAGAGAGCGAGAGAGAGAGGGAGAGGGAGAGAGAGTGAGAGAGAGAGAGAGAGAGGGAGAGAGAGCGCGCGAGCGAGAGAGAGAGAGCGAGAAAGGAAAAAAGAGTTATAGAAAGCAAGAGATACAGGGGAAAAGGGGTGGTGAGCAAGAGGTAGCTTTCGTGCTCTTAAACGAATACCTAAGCTATCCTGAGAATCAGCTTTTAAAGGATCCAAGACCTTTAGGTCCGAATAAATACGATACACGAAATAGCAGCTCCAGAATCCTACCGTAACCCTAACAATCCCAAAATTTCCAATCAGCATAACAACCTCTTGCTCCTCCAAACCCGCCATCGGCTCCCGTTCCACTCCGACGAGGGCCCAGCCCACAATCCACCCACCACCACCCCCAAAACACTCGCCTCGACGACCAGGAGCGGGTCTCCCCATCCTCCTCCTCCTCAACGGCCCTTTTCTGGATGCTGTTCTCGATGGGGAAGGGCCCAGCCAACGAGGAGAAGGGCCAAGACGAGGAACGAGTGGCCCACCGCCGCCGAGACGAAGAAGGGGGGGGCAATGTCGCATAGCATCCTGCCATGGGGCCCTCGTCTTTGTCCTCGACAAAGGAACTCCAGGGAGGGGGCTTGGGGACGGGATGGGGGTGGTGGCCATAGGTTCGTCGTGGAATGGAGGTGCGAGTGGGAGAGAATTTTTGTTAAATTCTAGCAGGTTTACCTCTATTATTGAATTCCTGGAGCAAAAAGGGTAGTTTGCGTTGGAACCTTGTGGAAATTTTGTAAAAACATGAGTTTTTATTCAAATTCTGGCAGATGTTAGATCTTTTTCGAGTTCCTAGGACAAGAAAATTTTGTTCGTGGTGGGACCCAGGTTAGGATTATGCAGAAATTAATTTTTGTTAAAATTCAAACTTATAATTTAACGATTGTAAGCCCTATTCTAGCCCAATCGAATTCGAAAATCCTTTAAAATATACGTTATTCTACCTACAGTAACTCAGAAAGATATCTAAAATGTTCCCTAAGGTTATTCAAGCAAAAATTATCGTTTAGTCCCCCATAACTCGAAAATCTTTGAAAAAAAACTTAGATTTCATTGCTTGCCTGAGGTTCAAAACATATTTTCCATTTTTTAAGGTATAATACGCAAGCCTCGAATAATACCTACAGTAATCCTAAAACCGAAGAAAAGTTTTTCTAACCCCACTACAGCCAAAAGTTTCGCTTTCTCGTAGCGCAACGTGTTTCTTTTCGGAAGGCGCGAGTAGTTCGACACCGCACCTATCGGCCGAAAAGGGGGCGCCGGGGAGAAGCCACGCAAAGAGCAATGCGTCATTTCTTCATGGGACTCTCGGCCCCCCGGGTAACACCCCCAACAGAATGGGGATCCCGAAAGGTAGCAGTTAAGAGTAGGGAAGTAGTGTTGGGGGTTTTTTCAGGTAAAGAGAAAAATGAAAAAGTGAAAAACACAAAATGGCGAGGGGGATCAGATTAACACTTTGCGAGGATTAGGATATCTAAAAATGGAGAAAAAATCATAGTCGTGGAGATATTTGGAGAGAGAGAGAAAGGGAAAGAGAGAGAGGGAGGAGAGAGAGAGAGAGAGAGAGAGAGAGAGGGGGAGGGGGGGAAGGGGGGGGGAGAGAAGAGAGAGAGAGAGAGAGGGAGAGAGAGAGAGAGAGAGAGAGAGAGAGAGAGAGAGAGGGAGAGAGGGAGAGAGAGAGAGAGAGAGAGAGAGAGAGAGAGAGAGAGAGAGAGAGAGAGGGGTAGGAGAGCGCTAGAAGAGAGAAAAAATTAGGGAAAAACATGTGTATGAATACATATTATTAAGAGAAAAACGAAACCTATAAATAACCGGACCCAAGCGTGACATTTTCTGAGGATTAAAACAACTTAAAATAGATAACAAACAATCCAGGGCACGAAAAAGGTGTGGTATTGTTGTCTTAACTTAATAATAAGCGTTAGAGAGAAGGTTGGACTTGGCCCAGGCTTAGGATTAGGCTTAAGATTGGGCTTAGGCTTAGGGTTAGGCAAGCAATAACGAAAAAAGAAAATAACACAAAATAAAGAACCAACCCGGGTATTCAGTGATACTATCTGATAGCTACTGACTAGCTTATCATTAACAGATGTCTAGCAATTTTTAGATAACTTTGCTAAGCACTAATAGACAATACTTCCGGCCAGTCTCCCGTATTTGATACCCACCCACCCCAATCCAATCAATAATCCCCACCGGGGTTGCCACTCGGAAATTATGGCCGGAGGTGCCATCCGTAGAAGAAGAAGAAGGGGATCAATCTGGGTGCCTTATGAAAGCAATTTGTAGATCGGGCCGGGGAGGGATGCCCTCCTCCCCTCCCCCCTGCCGCCGCTCCCCCCGAATTAGTTGGCTCAAAAACATCTAGGGAGATCGACTGAAAAGGCCCATTTTTCTTGGAGGGCCCATGGGTTTTGGGTTTTAAAAGGAGAAATTTGTAAAAAAAGTATCATGTGATCTACATGGTTGAAAAAATGAAGCAATATCGTAATCTGGAAAGCAGCTAGAGTATGAGACGCTTCTGAAAGGTTTATAGCCTTTAAAGGGACGAGTAAGGCATGAATCTACAATAAAACACGGAAAAATACCTGCTTTTCTACTGTAAACCTTTGTTTTTGGCGCTCATTTTTCGATGGTAATGCTCGTAATTTGCTATTTTATCTCTCCCGGTTAAGTAATAAGTTCCGCCTCGCCATAATACGGCTCATACATGACGACCGCTAAGGCCAGACCAGCAGTATCTTTCGACGCTTTACTTAATGACGTTGTCAAAATAGTCGAGACATTTTTGATACCCCCCGTTACGCTATAAGTACCGCTTCTCCATGTCCCAGCCACATATACGGCGACCACTAATTCGGGGCACACCAGCCGAAGGAAGGAGAAGGACCGAGGAGACACGACTCTCCTTTCGGCCCCAGCCTCGCAACACACCACACCACCCCATCCCCCATACCCGCTCGATAGCGTGTGGTGTGGTGGGTGGCCACACCGGCCTGCCCCCCGTGCCGCTCATCGAGATTTTGGCGATGGGTGAATGAATTTCGAGGCTAAATGAGGGGAGCTGTAGCCGAAAGGTCGAAAATCATATGACGGCAAGTCAGCTACAGTATGCCGGAGTGTTCCGGAATTTTGCGGAAATTAGGGTGCGTATCTAGTTTCTTCATATCTTTCAGATATTTTCCAGACAGGAGGACCTCTTATTAATGCGTCAAAGCATGGCTCTTGGGCTTTGGGTGTCTACCGAAAAAATCCCGAAATCCCTCAAAATACGTAAAAAATGAAGATTCTGCCGTCACCTAGAACCATTTTTCTAAGATTTTTGTCTTCCGGGCATATTTAAACCTATCTTTAAATAAATATCCTTTAAATACGCGCCTTTAAACGTTTCGGAATCTATAAAACACGCCAAAAATCAAGTTACTGCCTTTCTCCGTGTCGAGTTAGCTTTAGATGTTTGCCTTCAGTGTATCTTTTTATTATTATTATTATTATTATTATATTAATCTTTAATGATCATACCATCCCATTAATGCGTCAAGCGCGTCAATTTGAGTTTAAGTAACTATCAGAACGTCTTTGCAACTTTAAAGCACAAAAATACACAAAAAAAATCCTTGATTTTAAAGGCTTC